TCTTATATGCTCTAAAACACCTAAATGGGACTTTACAGTGTCTTGGTAAAGAAAAAACCCACTGCAAATGATGAAGTGGATGTAATGAGAGATCAGTTCTTTCTTTTATATCTGCTTTGGGCTTAGAGTTAATTATGTTTTTTTTTTTTGTTTCATCTAAAACTTTGTAAAATATAAAAACCTTGATTATGGCACCTTGTCTACTGTATGAAAAGAAATATAAGAAATCTGAGAAATGTCTTACCTAGAAAAAGAAAAATATTGCATTTTTTTTTTCCGGAAAACTGATAAAGTGTCTTTGCTTTCACTTAAATCTAATCCAATTAAAATCTTTTGTTTAAAAACTTAAAAAAAAAAAATCTTAACTGCTATTATATGTACAACGTGCACAAACAGTTCTCTGAAAATGCTGTTTTGCAATGACCCTGGAATTTAGAAAAAAAATAAGGCCTGCTCCACACAAGCAGGGACTCCAGGAGGTTCTTATCTTGGTGGAAACTAGATACAGTGAGCTCAAGCTAAGCCAAGGTTTGTCCCAGCAAGATTTAAATGGCTTTTTAATTTTGCATTTCTCTGATTTGTTTAACTAAAAAATATCACCCTCATTAGGTTTTCTTTCTCCCATTTTTATTCTATTCTGTTCTCCTACATTTTTAAAAGCAATGTCCAGTCAGATGAAGCAAAATCCAGTGTTAGGTGCTGTTCTGATCCTGTGACAAATCCATTTACTCTCCTCTAATGTGTAACTAAACCTGAGGCATGTGGTCGCTTAACTTCTGCCAATCAAACATAGACTCTGAGGAAACTTCTTATCTTCAAAGCTCTATTATTGGTGCATTGACACAGTTTACTTTAAGAGTTTAATTTACATTCTCTCTTGGTATATTTTAGAGATTAAGTAAATCACAAAAAAACATAGTTCATAGTATACACATAAACTGTGTGTAATACTTTAAAGTGCTTGTGACATACTTTCCTTTTATGTAAATTAATACTTTTGTAAAAACAACATTGATTAAATGCTGTTGAAATAAATGTTGCACAGCTGAAAGAAGCTGAAATGTGTGAAAGGGAGCACCGACATGCAACTGACTTTTGCTACAGAGGTTAAAAACAGAATGTGCTGAAGGACTGAATGTCTCAAATGTTTCTTAAAATTAGTTTTACCAGTAAGAATATAGAAGAATTGACGGTGTTGTGGGAAGAATGTTCAATAATTTAGAAACTATAGCTAAAGACGTCTGTTACACACCAAATACAGCATAAGAAAAATTCCCTTTTCTGAACTGTAAAGCATGGAGGAGGATGTGTCATGCTGATTGAATCTAATTCTAATTTCTATCAGCAGGTACACAAAAAAAAAGTGAGACCATCTGTTAAAAGAAAGCAGAAATTAACCCTTCAACACAACAACAAACCAATAAACACACCAAGCACTGGCTGAGAATAAAGAACTGGAAAGCCCAGATCTCAATCAAAGCACAGTAAAAGGTGTTGTTGAGGATTTTGATCCCCACAGCCTCCACTCTGGGTTCCTGAGCAAAACCCTTAACCACTGATTGCTCCCCGGGTGCCACACAGTGGCAGCCCACTGCTCCCCGAGGGGATGGGTTAAATGCAGAGAGTGAAATCTCTCAATGTGAGAAGGGGATTGGTGGCCTAGTGGTTAACGCAAAAAGCTTGGAATTCTGAGGTTGTCAGTTCGAAACCCACTGCCATCTCTGGCTCACTGTGCTAATATATTCCAGTTATCTTTTTCTTGCCTAAACGATTTTCAACTGCTTGGTCGTCTTCAGTCTCAACATTGGTCTGCTATAAGGGTGGGCATTTATCATATCGTTTATCATTGTTTTGATAAATTCCTAATCATGATCATAATTTTGATTTATCATCTAAACAGTAAATTAAAGGGGATGAAGTTTAAAACCTTAAAATATGGGTGGATTGTCAGGACTTTTAATTTTCCTTTCTATTTTCCCATCAGGGGGTTTAGTGATATAAATTTATATTTATATGCATATTTCATATTTCATATTTAACTATTTTTCAAGGGCAGTATTTGTCTTTATGGTGCTTTGATTGGTGTAGCGTGCAGTCACAGCCATTCAGTTGGAGAAGAAAGACTAAAGAAGTAATGAAAAGTATTTTGTATTCTAACTTGTATCATTATCATGATAGACAAAACATATTGTGATAAGTTTTAGGTCTACATATTCCTGTCTGGAAATGTGAACAAGTAAAAGGGGTGGGGAAAATGTTTAGAGGGCGGTCTGTTGAACAGCATCAGCTACTTCCTTATTGGCTGAGGAAAACCTTCTGGGGAGTATGCTCACACAGATAGCCTCATGCCTGCCTATCTTTGTCTGTCCTTATGTAATAGTTTATTGCAATTTTCTGAGAAACTGATTTCTAGGTTTTTAATAGAGAGACTTAACTTTGAATTGAATCATTAAATAGTTTACTTTTTATTGGGAGAGACACTTATAGACGCACGTGCCCCCCATTCCAGAGAAATCAGTTCCAACTTGTCTTCTAGATTAGCTACAAAATGATGTCCAAACAGGGAAATTTCCATTCTGGCTGCTTAAACCCAGAAACTTGTCTCTCTTATCAGAGGCATAGCCAGAACATTTTTATTAGGGTGTCCAGGCAATAACCAATGTACACTGAGGGGTGGAAGAAATCTACACTGTTCCAACAGGAAAGTGGACATTCACAACCTTAATAATTTCTAAATAAAGACAAACTATACTTTCCTACAGCCTTTGCTAACAAATAGATGCATATATTTAATATATTATTATATTTAATAATCCATGCTGTCAAAATTAAAGGTGTAGTGGACAAAATTCTTTCAGTTTTGAGTTCTGGGACAAACATCTTATTCATTGTCATTACTTACCTACTTTTATTAATAATCATTCTGCATAAGATTAATATTTACATGTACTAATATCTACATTAAATTGATTATTTATTATTAAAGTAGTTATTTATCTTTGATTTCTGTGAAGACTCCTAGATGACTTGCAGAGACATGATTTTCTCTTATATAAGACAAAATCTAGTTCTGAAAAAAGCATGAATTCTGTATTTATCTTTAATGTTAGTCTATTGATGTGCATAATTAACTACAGTGTTTTTGTTGTCAGCTAATTGTTTACATATAGAAAATTTAAATGTTAAATGAGTTAGAACATTCCACTTGAGAGTATTACTGCTGCCACCATCAGTATTAGAGGGAAAAATGGTAGGGGTGGCCACAGGAGTGGCCAATGATTGGCTGGAGGGGTGGTCATGCCACCCCTGGCCCCCCTTCTAGCTCCCACCCTGTCCCTTATAAAATCATCAGTCAGCTGAACTGTTAAAAAAAAAAACTTTACATCATGTCACAGACTCTACATCAGACCTATAACATCAAATCAAAAATACTGCATATTTTCACAGTGTTGCCAACTCAGCGAATTTGTTGCTATATTTAGAGACTTTTCAGACCCCTCCTGCGACTCTTTTTCAAAAAAGCGCCTAGCGACAAATCTAGCGACTTTTCTGGGGTCTGCCGTGGGGCGCCTCCCCCGTCCCAACCCCGTTCTCCCGCAGGAGTCCCTCTTAGCGCTGCAGTCAGAGCCACAGCATGTTTACCCTCAGCGTCCAGACTGCAAAGCGTGCATGCGCCGGGATTGACGTCGCAGTTTGATCACACTGGAGTCAGCTCTCTCAGTTGCTGAACCTGCCATAGAGAACATAATGATGACCCACTCTTTCTGCGAGCAGGCAAGGACAGCCTTTGTGTGTGGAGGGAAATCTTGTTAGTTTAAAAAAACCCCCACTAATTTCCATTATTTTCTACGACGGAGTATTAGGGCCACACATGAAGAGAAAAAATATTTTTGCCATGACGAGATTAAACTCGACATGTCGACTTTAAACTCAACATTTCGAGAATAAAGTTGAAATGTCATGTTGAGTTTAATCTCAACGTGTCGACTTTAAACTCGCCCTGTCGACTTTAAACTCGCCATTTCGAGAATAAAGTTGAAATGTCATGTTGAGTTTAATCTCGACGTGTCGACAATAAAGTTTAAATTAGTTCAAGAGAGCCAACCGCTGCACAGGATACATGCACAGAATCCTATACAGTTGCAGCACGTCAAAGACTACCTTCACTCTTAAAACGCAGACTGCAGCTGTGGAGCGCGGTTGCTCTTTTCTTCAAACTTTGGAATGTCGAGATTAAAGTCGCCACGATATATCAACTTTATTCTCGAGATGGCGAGTTTAAAGTCGACACGTCGAGATTAAACTCAACATGACATTTCAACTTTATTCTCAAAATGTTGAGTTTAATGTCGACATGTCGACTTTAAAGTCGACATGTCGAGTTTAATCTCGTCATGGCAAAAATATTTTTTCTCTTCATGTGTGGCCCTAATACTCCGTCGTAATTTTCTCACATTGTCATTGATTCTTTGCAGTCTTTTTTTTCCATTTAGATTGTTAATGTTAATGTAATGTAAAAAATGTTATGGTTCAAAATGTTCATGTTTTACAATGATTTTTAAGCTCCTTAGTGGACCAAATGGGGAAAAGAAAAAGAAAAAAAAAAGTTGGAAAAAAAAATACGAAAATTAGGCAATGACGTCATTCAGCGACTTCTTGCACAGCCAATAGCAACTTTCCTTACTGAGGAGTCGGCAACACAGGGCCCAACAGGGGCCCTGTCTAGAACCGCCCATCGCTTCATCATCCCCTGTGAACTGATTCACCCCTCCCTCCCCTACTGCCCATGCTTTTGAACTGACCCCAGGTTCACATGTAAGCTTTTAAAACTCCACGCGCGCTACTGTGGGCTCCAATTATTACAGTAAACCTAGATTACACGCTGTCGCTCGTGCGTCCGTGACCGATAACGGCGCCGTCCAATGAAAAGCTAGAGACAGCTGGCAAAACTGCTGTAATACGAGGAGAGAAAGATGATTGGTTGTTACCAGCAGGACAGCATCACTTGTGGAATTTTCCGCTCGATCCCGTCATGTCCACTGGAAACTTACTGAAGCTTTCACACACTGAGGAGCAGTTTATCGCTCAATCAATCCTATAGATAACCATACACGCATGTATATATACCTCATCAGTGACCAGCAGCACGATTACAACTATAATAATGATGGCTTCCAACACAGAAATACAGATCAAAGGTAAGGCTTTTGTTACTATATTTATTTTGGATAATGTTGCAAAATAAAACAAGAGTTTCTGCATGTTTTAACATGACAACTCACCTTGAATCTATTGATGGTTGATCAGCAGGTTTGCAATTATCTGGATCAAGTTTGTTAAACTTTATAAAAGAATGTTGTGCAAAACGTATGTGTTCCAGTTTCAGTGTCCTGCTGTTTTTTTGTTTTTTTGTGATGCATCTGCTGCAACACACCTGGCATATATTTTAACTGATTAGCTTTTTAGAGCTGAACTGCATGCTGGATTAAGGAATGTAGGGGTACACATCTAAAAGGTACACACAAGGTACACATCTAAAAGTTGCAGGGCATTGACCCCAGAAGATTTGAATTCAAGACCTCTGCTGTAAAACCTGCAAGATAGGCCCTCAAGGACTGGCTATGAGCTCACCTGACTTTAAAAAAATAGTCAGTTTCATTGGCCTCTAATTTCTTGTGCAAAATACTATTCATGCAATGAGATGTATTTTAATGAGACATGCCAGAGAAGTTGGGAAATTTTTTATTTATTTTTTTATTTACTAGAGGCTGCAAGAATCATAGTGAGTCATAATGGTCGTCTGCCAATTACTAATCAAACAATTGTTATAAGGAGTATGCAAACTGTACAAAATGCCATTTACTGGACAAATTAGACTGAAACTGTACAAGAAATATGTACAGTTGGCATTGAAGGAAAAAAACAAAAAAATTGTCAGTAATTAAACATCCTCTATTAGAACTAATCAGGTGGCAAAATTTTAGCTTTTGTTATTTCAAATTCTACAAAGAAAGAACCTTTTTGTTATCTGATTCTATTTAAAGTAATCACCTGAATAATTTGCTAAATAATAAAAACCTGCAGTCTTAACTTTAGTATAGAGACTCTAATATATATGCCACTAATGAAAGGAACAACCTACTCAAGCAGTTAAGCTTAAACTTACCAAACCAATCTAAACATTTATTTCATACCAGATTAAAAGCCTTGGATGTCTTTAAAAAAAAAAAAATCCAGAAATCCACAAGAGCCATTTCTAAGCATTAAATTAATTTTTCTCATGTTTTAGCCAATTAACATTTAGTCTTAATTTTTTTTGTTCAAACACTTGCTTATTGAGGCATTTTCCTTATGAAGGGTATAATCTCTAGATTGATCACTTAATAAATCAATCGATAGCTTCAGTTGCTGGTTTGCAGTAAAACGGCTAAAATGAGGGCAAAGGTGACACACACAGACACGCATCATGAATGAATATTCCCAAAACTAACGGCAAAATAAATAAATAAATTATACTGAAATACTTTTATACTTTTATACTTTTTACATGGAATGAATTTAGTTCAAAACTACACAAAAAGCAATAGTATAACAATAAGTATAACAAGAGAGACCAAAAAATGGATGGAAAATTCAGTAGACATGGTCATGCTGTGGGCAGCCATAAAACTAGCATGAGTTTTGTGCATGCACAGTTATATGGCTGTGGGCGGCCATAAAAGGTTGCACAGATTTCTGTGCTTGCATATTTTTCCAAAGTTGTTTTTTTTTTGTTTTAAGTATCCACAACCACTAGAACGATTCCCCTATAATTATAGAAAATGGTGTCCTGGATGACACGTCGCTGGATGTTGCTGCTGCTGAAAGCTTCTTGCAAAAATCCATGGCTATAATTTTAGAAGATGCGGTGAAGAAGGCCGTCGATGTCAGACAAAAGGTAAGCAATGTAATATCTTGGTTTTAGATTTAACAGAGCTGTATTTTCTTTACCTGATTAGACCTTGATAGAGACTGCTGTTGCCATATAACAGGTTTGTGAGTGGCGCTCTCCTGAGGAGCTAAAGGATCTTCTGGACCTGGAGCTGAGAGAGGATGGCGAGTCTGAGACGAAGATCCTGCAGCGATGCCGGGATGCCATCAGATACAGTGTCAAAACCAGTAAGTCTGAATTTAATGAGTTAGGATTGAAGCATCAGATGAATATTTGTAGGTTATACCTCTGATGAAATGGGCCTTTTACCTCTATGTGGATTAGGCTTCAATGGGCCATGATATCATCATTTTACTCAGTCAACAGACACAAATTCATTTTTTAATTTAAGATTTCCACTTGAAAGGTGGTTTAAATATATTTAGAAGTCTCTTGTCTCTTTACATACTTTTAAAATATAATTATGGTTTTCTTGTATCCCAATACCTGATAAGAATGTTCTCAGTAGATATGAGTTGCCATTCCAGATGCAAATTAGCACTTTCATATGATGTTAAAACAGCGTGAGATTTATGTTAACTCCTAAAAGATTATAAATTATCCCAATTTAACCACTCTAAACATGGTTGGAGTCTTTTATTTTAGCACATAATTTTATTTTCTGCACAAACTAATCTCCACACATAAGTTATGAACCTTTTCAAAGAGATAAAAACAAAAGAAGTGTAGAACTCAAACTATTATAGGCTACTGGTTATATTTTTATTATGCTATGAAAATCTCAAACTGGATTTAAAAAATTAAAAGGTGTCTTACATTCCAGTTATCAAGCCTCTAATTACGTAGCAAAGCTGTTGTATATCAGGTAATCTCTGACACCCTGCTGGGAATTTCTCAAAAATCAATAGGTTTCCAAATCTCATATACAAATGTAAAAGACTGATAAGTAATACATTTAATGTAAAATTAACTAAAATTCATTTTCATTTGTCACTCGGTATGGAAGTAACATTCCCTATAAATAATTTCATAGTCAAACAGCTAAGTTGAGTCAGTTTTTAAGTCTAGGATGCATCACGAAATGCATCACATGAGTTATTGGCAGCAATAACAAGACATCATAAGTGTTGATATGGATATTAGGACATCCCACATGCTCCTTGTATTTATGCATTATTGTTGCTGTGTGAGCTCAGTGTCTGATGATAAAGGAGAAACTCCTACTGTTGCTCCAATAAACCAATCTGTGTGCAATTTCCAGCCCACCCTCATTTCTTTAACCAGCTGTATGCGGGATTGGAGCCTTACTCCATGGCGGCAAGCTTCATCACAGAGGCCCTGAAACCAAGCGTGTGAGTCCCTTTTATCAGTAAAATGGGATAAAAAAAAAAAAAAACATTTTTTAAAATTTTATGTTGATCTATTTTGCAAAAATGGTGAAAATGTGCCATTTCAAACAGGTATACGTATGAGGTCTCTCCAGTCTTCACCCTGATGGAGGATGCTGTGCTGAGGAAGATTATACAGGTTCTTGGCTGGGAGGAAGGAGATGGCATATTTAATGCAGGTATATATTTATTTTGAGAAATGGATCCCAACAGAATAGTTAATTTTATGCTTTGTTTTGTGTTTTCTTTCTAATTGTATTATTTGTATGTATTAAAGGTATTCGTCCTAAATTGATAGTATCATGATGGGGCCCCAAATTATCATTGGTGAAATGATGCTAACAATACTGACTATGGTTTGCTGAAATCCCAAAGCCTTAAAATGGCTTTCCAACTTCTCAACTTCTTGTTGAATTATTCTTATATGTTCATACCTATTTTCCTTTTTGAAATATTTCTCCATCATGTTATCTACTTAGGTCTATCAGGCAGAAATTAGCATTGCTGTAGCGATTAAATTTAAACTTTGTTTCCAAATAAATGTGAACTCCAGACTTCAAAAGAGGGACTATTTGTATTACTCTTTCTAAACATGGTAGGCTGGTTTGGGAAGATTTATTTCATTACTATATGAAAACAGCAATGGAATATCATGTTTATATTGTTAGGTTTACTGAGGTTGTCTCTGTAAAAGTCTAAAAATATGAAAGTCTGAGAAAACAGGAAAAATCTCTCAAAAGACACATTATTTTTTTGTAGAAACATAAAAGTTGGAATATTGTTTATCAAAGCCTTTTGATTCCTACAGTGTAGAAATGATCTGTGTTTATTATACTTTTTCATTTATTAGCGTTGTTAATAGCAAGAAATGGCTAGGATTTATTTACGCAGCAGAATGAACCGGATATCCTAATTAACATGTCAAATGCATCACATGTTGTCTGCAATAATCCCTTTAAGGTGGGTCGATGTCCAACATGTACGCAATGAACCTAGCCCGGTACCGTTGCTTTCCTGAAATCAAAGAGCATGGCAACTCTGCAGCTCCCCAGCTGGTGGTGTTCACTTCACAAGAGGTAGGGTACTACATAATGTCTCCCTTATACATCCTAGCAGGAAAAAAAACAGCTTTTTTGAAGTTTAAAGACATATGTGGCTCCAAACCATAGATATACATAATCAAATAAATGAGCAAACGTCTCTGCTGGCTGTCAAACTGACCATCAACTTGTTTCAGACTTGACTAGCACTCGCTGTGCTTTCTGTACACTTTTTTTCTTCTAAGGGTGTTAATATATCTTTCGCAAGTGTTTCCTATTTTTAAATTTATAAGAACGTCTAACTTTGTTTTTCATATGTCTGAGTTTTATGTGCGAAAAAAAAAATCTGTGGTGTCATTATTACCCCATTTACACTACCCTTGAAAAACCGTGCCGAGACCGGTCTGATAACTTATCGTGTGTAAATGGACAGCAAACTGAACTGAACCGAGTTAGACACAACCGAACCGAGATAACTGCAGACCAGTTCCAGAGGTGGGCTCGGCTCGGTTTTTTCCTGGCTCGGTTCTCTGATAACAAGAGTGCATGAGCAGAACGGGTCATCTCCGTCTGGCTGCACATCGCGATTCACACTCCATTCCAGTAGTTGGTGGTAATGCACCTCTGGAAGTTGCTTTCCAACCAACACAAAAAAGAAGAAGAACAACTATAAACATCCACAAAAGGTTGCCGTCTTCATCTGACCCTCTGCAAACACCGAAGTACAGCAATAATAATCAAGCATAACTTTCTGAATGTGATGGGCGCCGCCATTTTGATTTGCTTGATTCCCTCCTTCTTCGTCTTCTTCTTCTTCTTGTGTTTTATGGCGGTAGGCAAACAACTTTTGGTGCATTACCGCCACCAAGTGCTTGATTTCCTCCTTCAATACTGGCAGTAATACCGCAGATCGTCACTAGGAGGCGAGGAGTCGAGGAACCGAGATAGTGTGATGTGTAAACGGTCGTCAGAACCGAGCTCGGACCGGTCTCGTCATGGATCAGTTTTTCAAGGGTAGTGTAAATGGGGTATATGACAGTGATGTTAAAAAGCAAAGACCGAAACAGTCAAGAAACTTTAGAAATCAACCAGATTATTTTTTAATGAAATGGACCATTTGACTGAATAGACTTAAAGCTACAGTGTGTAATAATTACAGGGATATACAGTCAGAAATGTAATATATTATACATAACTATGTTATTTATCATCATCTATGAGCTCAGCCTCTTAACCTTAATATTTGCGTTGCCTTAGAATTCGTTATTTATAATTACATAGGAGCGGGTCTCGCAGCCATGGAGGCAGACATCTTTGCGCTACGGCAGCGCAGAGCCAACAAACTAGCGATTGCGAGATCTCCCATTACGCTCGAAAGTAACTACGGCAAGTTGAGAGAGATGAACTGAGACGGTACTGAACACCCTGACGAATGAAATACTATCTGTAAAATTATCTATGTAAACAAACCTCATCACTTGAGAAGGTAGGTGATGCGGACGTCGTGGAAGACATTTTTTTCCCGTAACGCTCGCCGTACTGTTGGAGGGGAGAAGCGGTGGGGGGGAGATGTTCATGTTGCTGCGATCTGCAGTCTGGACGTTAGATGTCGCTGAAAATTACACACTGTAGCTTTAAGTTTATTCATTGTTAGGTAACTTTTCTTTTGTGATTATTTTCAGTGCCATTACTCCATCTCAAAAGCTGCGGCTTTAATGGGAATTGGAACAAAGAATGTAATTGTGGTCCCAGCTGATAAGAGGTAAATCGCCACACAAATTAAATAACATCATGAAACCAGGGTAGTCGAATTAACCTTTTAGCAATTTTAATTCCAATTTTTTTGTTATTTTATGATGAAAATCTGAAATTATCTGCGTCTTTTAGAGGAAAGATGATTCCTTCTGCTCTTGAAGAGCAAATCAAGTCTGCTAAAAATGAGGTGAGATTTATTTTAACAGAAACGTACAGGAAACAATTGGGCAATAAGCTCAATAAAAATGTCTGTTTAAATTCAGGGTGCTGTTCCTTTTATGGTAAACGCCACAGCGGGGACCACTGTACTTGGTGCATTCGACCCCATTGACGAAATCGCAGACATCTGCGAGAAATACAAAATGTGGCTCCATGTGGATGTAAGACAAGGAATTTATTCATTCATATAACATAAACATGCCATCCCCAGACATTCATTTATTTTTTTTGTCATCAACAGGCATGTTGGGGAGGAGCAGTGATCCTGTCCAATAAGCACAAGCACCTAATGAAGGGCATTCAGAGGTAACTCCCCCAGCATCGCTGTTTAAGCTTCAGACCAAGAACGTTTGCCCTGTTATCTCATTTTCATTTGTAGGAAGTACAATTAATTAGTCCAAAAACCACAATCTAAAACCAAACATATGCTGACATTTAACGTCGTCAGTGTTGTGATTAGGGACGTTGTAGCAGAACTAGTCGGTAGTACCAAAAGGAATTATAAACAAGGAACTTAAGAGAATCAAAGTAAAGATGCACAGGTATGAGGAGCAAGCAGACAATGAGGAGGAACGGAAGAAACCAGTGATGAGCAATGAAAACAAGAGTTTATGTACAGAGGAAGGTGTGGATAGGAGGAACAGCTGAAACTGATAAAGGGAGAGAGTAATTATTAGGAGAATGAAAGAAATACAGGGAAGAAATATTATTTGAAACATAAAATGAACTTAGGAATTATCAAAACGCTAAACAAAACAACCTAAAAACTCCCTATGATCATGACCATCAGAAAGACTCAGAAACTGGCAGATTTCATTTCTAGTACCTCATTATTAAAATTTCAACATAAAAAATAAGTCTATTTTGCAAATCTGTTTACAATTTAAACATTGTTAAAATGTCAGGGCTTAAGAAAGATAAGTTTGCTGCCTGTCAGTAAGAGTCTGCCAGACTGGTTCAATGCAGCTTGTTATGCATTAAAGTATGAGTCTGGTGTTCCTCATAATCAGTGTGAGAACTTGTTATGATTGTAGTTGTAAATTTATGAATGTAAATTTGAGTGAAAATTATCAGATTGGAGCAAAGAAAGGTGTTTTCTGTCATAGCAAGATTGTGTGCAATGTGTCTTTTTTTTCCTTAAGAGTCAACTCTGTTGCCTGGAACCCCCACAAGATGCTGATGGCTTGTCTGCAGTGCTCAGCTTTCTTGGTCAGAGACAAAACTGTAAGAACGGCTCTTTGATCTTCTGATTATTTCTCAGAAATTGAAACCTCTATATGTTAAAAACTATGTTCAAGCAATTCCTCTGTCTTTGTGGAAACCAATGTGGATTATTTTATTGTTGTTTAAATTCTATAAGACACACAGGTACTTAAATCTGGTAAATGCAACCTCAGGAAAAAAACAAATGACACAGCGCTGCTCTCTTTCTTTAGCGTCTCCTACAGCACTGCCATTCTGCACGGGCTTCCTACCTCTTTCAGCAGGACAAGTTCTACGACTTGAGCTACGACACTGGGGACAAGTCGGTGCAGTGCAGCAGGAAGCCAGACGCCTTCAAATTCTGGCTAATGTGGAAGGCTTTAGGAACCAGAGAGCTGGAGCACAGGGTGGACAGAGCTCTCGTCATGGCCAGGTCCGTTTAGGGAAACACATTAGCTTCAGATAACCCTTAGTAACAGGAGGTTAAATCTAGTTGCCTCCGGATATGAATTATCCTAATGGAATAGTGGCCTTCTATAAAGGCCGCTATTCTGCAGCTTTTTTATTTGTAGTGACTAACTGAAGTCAATTTAGTAATTCTCTATTATTACCTAAAGAAGATTAAATGGTACTTATGTTGTACAGTTTTCTCTAAAGAGCTGTAGATGCTGATGGCTTTAGGCTTTCCTGTAGCTGTCTGTCCTACAGTAACTAAAGAATCTTCTGACTTAAGGTACTGTTATGAATAAACCGTCTGATGAAGAGTATGCTCAGGCATTATCCAACCTATTTTTTTATTGATTTTATAAAGAGTTGTACCCAAAACAGGTGAAGAAAGAAGAAACATCACTCTCCACAGTCCAACTGCAATCACGTTCCAGGACATAATAATCCTTTTAACTTAAAAAAGGTAGGCTGTTAGGTCTCTGTACGACCAGTGTCAGAGCCTGGTCCGCATTGCTGGCAGTAAGTCGGACTTGTTTCCGGTGAGGGTTGGACTCCGCCAAAGTTGCCCTTTGTCACCGATTCTGTTCATAACTTTTATGGAAAGAATTTCTAGGAGCAGCCAAGGTGTTGAGGGAATCAGTTTTGGTGGCCTTAGGATTGCATCTCTGTTATTCACAGATGATGTGGTTCTGTTGGCTTCATCAGGGCGTGATCTACAGCTCTCACTGGAGCGGTTTGCAGCCGAGTGTGAGTGTGAAGCGGCTGCAATGAGGATCAGTGCCTCCAAATCTGGGACCATGGTCCTGAGCCGGAAAAGGGTAGAGTGCCTTCTCCAGGTTGGGGAGGATGTACTGCCCCTAGTGGAGGAGTTTAAGTATCTTGGGCTCTTGTTCACGAATGAGGGGAAGATGGAGCGGGAGATCGACAGGCAGATTGGTGCGGCGTCTGCTGTGAAGCGTGCGCTGTACCGGTCTGTTGTGGTGAAGAGAGAGCTGAGCCAAAAATCAAAGCTCGATTTACCGGTCGATCTACGTTCCTACCCTCATCTTTGGTCATGAGCTTTGGGTCATGCACGAAAGAATGAGATCCCAAATACAAGCGGCTGTAATGAGTTTTCTCCGTAGTGTGTCTGGGCTCTCCCTTAGAGATAGGGTGAGGAGCTCAATCATCCGGGGAGGACTCCGAGTAGAGCCGCTGCTCCTCCACATGGAGAGGAGCCAGTTGAGGTGACTCGGGCATCTGATTAGGATGCCTCCTGGACGTCTCCCTGGTGAGGTGTTCCAGGCACGTCCCTATGTTTTCTCGGCTGGTCTGGGAGCGCCTTGGGATTCCCCCGGAGGAGCTGGCCCAAGTGGCTGGGTAGAGGGACATCTGGGCTTCCCTACTAAAGCTGCTACCCCCGCGACCCGACCCTGGATAAGTGGAAGAAGATGGATGGATGAAAAAGAAATAACAGACTTGTGCTACATTTATACATGAAAGTTAAGCAGATACATATCCATCCCGTTGCCTATCTTCTTTACTTTAATTCAAAAATACTTATCATAAAGGGAAATTTAATGTTGCAGATTCTTACTGAAAACACTCTGTCATTGTTTAAAGGAAAAGTCCGGTCAGCAAGGAATGATCAATGGATCATTATCTATACCTAAAACTAATACATCCAGGTGATTTAAATAATTTAGCGTTGATCAAAAAATAAAATCAATAATTTTCGCGATTACTGAGTCCGGGAGCGGCCATTTTTGCCCAAATATAGTAACACCTCATTCCTGAAGTCTTCCGGCAGTGACGTTGCGGTGCGGTAAGCCGGGCGCCATTCTGCTCGCTTTACAAGCAAAATCAATGGGAACTAATAAACACAACTGCAATCAACAACAATTCTTTAGGATTTCAAGAGGACAAATGCAGAATAGTTAGAGCACAACGTTACTGGGGGCATTTTGGTTGAGCAGCAAACCTTTAGTTAAAGACAAAAGGGAAAACTGTTTTCTACATCAATTCAGTGAAATCATTGCAATGCAACAGTCGAAAAATTAACCTAAAAGCCCTCATTTCTACAGACAAAGGAAGAGTAATGGGGGGGATACAGTCAGGGTGGTTAAGTGAAGTTGTGTCATCTCCTGTTACAAATAACCAAAGCCATTGACTGAAAGTATAATTATTATATAATATTTATAAACAATGGACAAAAAGCTGAGGCATGTTTTTTATTTTTAATCATGTGAATAATAAGATATCAATATTTAGAGTCCAGTCATGACACTGTTTTGGATGCAGTTTATTATCAAATGTTAGCTAAACATGGGCAAACAATGTAATTCTGACATCAAAAAGAAAAAAAACCCTGAAGAACCCCTTACCTTAGTAAAAATGAACAAACAGTAGCTTCCATTGGTTGCTAATACATTCAGCCGCTCATACATTTGACAGTTTTATTTTTTTGTTTTTGGTTCATCTTTTACATTTTTGAAGACATCTTTTCGGTTTTGAAAGTGGAATCAACTGTGTGGGTAACATGCATTTGGACTGCATGTTCCCCATTGACAATATTCAGCCTTTTATTTGGTGTCTTTTTGAACAACACTTCCATGTCTGTTGTGCCTTTGTAATGCGTATTCCTGGCAATATTGTCAGAGGGTGCTCCTGAAGGGGACAGCTGCTTCACTTCAGGATAAAAACAATTGCTGACCGTGAGATGCTTCCAGGATGATTGAGGATCAGTTTCCTGTATCCCTCCCTGAAGTTTTTTTTTTTGTTTCTCTGATTTAGTAGCAGCTCAGGGTTACTGATGATCCAGGGTTGGTTATTCAGGAGGTGTCTCTGTTCTGGTGGGGATAGTGTTATCTACTAAAAGTTTATACGGTCTATCAAACACTCCATCAGGCTGGCACAGAAGGAGCTTTGTCTCCTTTCTAGCTTCCATTTACTCATAGACCTCATTGCAAGGTGCCTATGAACAAAGAATTTGTATTCCAGTTAAAATGTCTGTAGAACCGAAGAACTCTGAGAATACTAACCTGAAGAAACATTTTGACCTATTCAGAAGGAGTTTTATATTTAGTTTATTTTAAATAAAACATGTTATGGGTTTTTATTGATGCACCCATTTTAAAACGCTCTACTTATGTTATGACTAGGGATGCACGGTATTGGGATTTTGGCCGATATCCGATATGCCGATATTTTAAAACTCATGTAGCCGATAACCGATATCGATACTGATGTTAAAGCTGGACAAAAATAAGTAGTCATTGAAAATAGCAGTTTTGTTATCCATTTCTGACACTTTGAAAAATAATATATTCAGATATATTTTCATATGCTGATATCAAATAGATTTTTAAAAACGCGGTATCGATCTATTTTACTTTCAAAATCTCGTGAAATTTCATCGTTCTGTTACAAACTCTCGTGATATTTTGCAAATTCTTGTGAGATTTTGTTAGTAAAATAGATAGATACCGCGTCAATATATCAACATATAAAAATATGGCAAAATTTGGTGAATTTTCGGGGGAATTTCGTAGCATAACGATGACATATAGCAATATTTCATTAGTAAAAGAGATTGATATGGTGTTTTTTAAATGGCAATATATCAGCATATGAAGATATTGTGATATTTTAATGTATCAATATTTTTCCCCTCGTCTTTAGAAGTTTTTAAGTCTGTAAAAAATAAGTTTTTGAGGAAGAAGAAGTAGTATTTTTTTTTTTTTTTTTTTAGACTTTAGAAACTCAGAAGCTGATCAAATATCGGGTTAAATATCGGTGGGGTGGCCGATGTCCGATATTTAGTTTTAAGGCCGATACAGGCCGATACCGATAGGGGGCCGATTATATCGTGCATCCCTAGTTATGACATCAAACATGTTTTAGGTATATTGTAACTCAGCCTTTAAACAGCATTTTCCTCACTACCCACTCCTGTTCGACACTCAGTGCACATTTTTTTTCTGCAGGTATCTTGCAGAACAAATGAAGAAAAGAGAAGGCTTCAAACTGTTGATGGAGGTAAGGTTTTCCATAAACAATAATTTGTTGAATGTGCGTTTGCTTGGAGTTTTAAAATTGTTTCTTTTTGGGGTTCTTTTTTTGTTTTTTTTTGTTCTGCAGCCAGAATTTGCAAACGTTTGCTTCTGGTACATCCCACCAAGCCTAAGAGACTTGCCAGATTGCCCCGAGTTCTGGAAAAAACTGCACAATGTAAGTAATGTTATTAAATGGTGGTTATCTTTGCTTCTGCTGATTTTTTAAAAGCTTCCTTCTGGTATTTTCTGCTCTTTATATATATTAGATCCAATCACTAGAACTGTTCCCTCTTTTAGTTGTTGAAGGGGTGTGTTCCTTTTTTATTGTGTGAGGTACTTATGAATTGTTTACTTATGTTCAGTAAACAAGAGCCAAAGCGATCTAAATCTATAGAATCAGGAGGAAGGCTAAACTACTTCTCTGAGCATATATAAGCGCAGAATGAGGACTATATAGTGAGTGCAAACAACTGTAGAGCTCTTGAACTCTACCCGAATGCATAGGCCAGTACATAAAACAAAATAAACCCCACATAAAATACCATTTAAATGTTGAGTTTCTGTTGATTGGATTGTTAACCTAATAAGAAATAATCGCTTTAAACCACATCAGTCTGATTATGAAAAGGAATTTCAAAACATTGATTTCCTTCCAGTTTCAATTGACCTCTTTTATTGCATTCATGATTTATTGAAAGAAACTGACTGAACAGCATAAATTGTCCTTTAAATACTTGCATAATGTAGTTTCGGGGTAGACAATATAAGATAACGAGCTACAGCTCTCAATCACCCTTTCTCAAGGACCAGCCTTGGATCCAGGCTGAATAGTAAATTAGTCTGACCTCAATCCCTACTGAAATTTTTGTTTCAGCCTTTTTAGCTCTGCAAGTTTTCTTACTAAACACAACACATGTAGAACACATGTTATATATTTATATAAGATATAATTAAATGCCCATTACTGCCGTCCAGCGCACAACTCCCAGTAAAGTAGACTCCCAGCATCTCTAAACCCTGCTGTTTGGGAACATTGAGGTTTATTCTGCTACAGTTATGATAGACAACAGGTATAGGAGAAACATGGCTACTTGCAGCATCCAAGCCCCCCATATGCAATTAGATGCAATGAAGAAATCCTGTTAAGATGGACAGCTGTGGGAAGAAAACATTTCTTTAGTGAGGTGGGGGAAGATTTAATGTGAAGGATCTGCTGGCGTGGCGTCCCCTCGGGGTCCGCCCGGAGCTGCTGGAGGAGATGTGTGTTGATCAGGAAGTCTGGGCTTCTCTGCTTAGACTGCTGCCTCCCCGGCTCCGGATAAAGCGGAAGAAAATGGAAGGATGGATCTTCTCATCGGAAGCTTTTTAGAGACTAACCCTTATCTAGAAATCAGAATTAAACCTTAAAACTGGAGAGCCCCTGCTATAGACCTTAGCTGGGTGTTATGGATTTTATTTTGCTGTTTTTGTTGTAATTGACGGCCAGTTTTAATGACGCATGTTTTGTTACCGCTGTGTGTACAGGTGGCTCCCCTTATTAAGGAGCGCATGATGAAGAAAGGCAGCATGATGGTGGGCTACCAGCCGCATGGCGGCAGAGCCAACTTCTTCAGGATGGTGGTGATCAGTCCTCAGGTCAGCAAGCAAGACATGGACTTTGTCCTGGATGAGATACACAGTCTGGGGATGGACTTGTAATACATTGATTCGTTCTTAGGGAAGCTTATGTTTCATAAGTTTACAAATAATTATCTGCAGCACAAGGACCAAACTTGGCATTGCATCTCATTGAATTAATAATTGTCTGAGTTGCAATTTACTTTTAAAATGCTGTCCATTTGACATAAAAGATCATGCTTGTGGCACTTTACCTGTCTTGTCATGGGATATGAGGTTTCTGCATTACATTGCAGTGTTGTAAGAGCTCGACATTTATTTGAATCTCACTTTATAATACGTAGTTTGAATAATAGTTTCTTTTTTTATAGAAACTCTGATTCTGGTCTTACTAAAGTGTGCATGTTTCCTTAAAGTCTGAGAGACCATTCCTGAATAAATGAGACTGTCTGGCAGTAAACTGCCATGTTCTATCACAATATATGGAGCACCACAAGGGCCCCTGAAATATTTGTCGGAAACTAAATAAATAGTATGAAAAGAGTTTGTGTAAAAACCAGAAGTGTGTGCAATTTCTTTTTTTTTCTTCACTGGAAAATATACAGTTGTTTAATTAAAAATTAAATTAAATAAAACATTTTAATGTTCTCTATGTAAAAATATTTCTAATTGGGCTGTTGGTATGAGCTTTAAGATTAGGGCTGGGCGATTAAACACTCAAATAGATTAATCAGATTTTTCCGTTTCTGAAGATTTAATTTTTATTGTGGAAAATCCATATATTTTATAACTTTTTTCATCAATGCATTTCTTGGGCTTTCATCGCTCAGGGTGACATTAATTCATTGCTTTTTGTTCTTATAACTGATAAACTAGCCGATTGTGTAACAGCCCTAGCTGCAAATATTTAGGATTATATTTTCCTTCTTTTGTGAAACATCGTTTTACAAGCATTTATCCACCTTCATTTTTAATTGCCTTTTAAATTAAGGTCACCTCCTAAAGAAGTCGAAATAAAAGCTAGTTTTGGAAAGTTATGTAATTTATTATTTTTATTCTGAGACTTACAAAAAAAATCGATTCATTGGTTTTTGTAAGAAAAGGAAAAAAAAGTTAGATTAATTTTTATAATTCTTATTCATATTTACAATGGACGTGGGTAACAAATCAATGCAGTTTAGAGACTGACATTTTTTCGGGAATCTCACGGGATTCCCGTGGGATGGGAGTCAGTATTAGTAACGATCACGGGATTGGGACGGTACAGGATTAAACATTAACGGGAGCAGACGGGAGTGGGAGCAAACCAATAGTAACTTCCGCTCTGAGTTTTTCACCCGCGCTCAAAAACAACAAGAATGGGAGTGGTGCAGGAGCGGGAGTCATTCTGAATGGGAGCGGGATGGGAGTGGGAGTAATTTCACCAGGAGTGGGATGGGACAGGATTTAGATTTCTACTCTGGCCCGGGATCGGGACGGGACACCATTTTTTTCTGTGGGAGTGGGACAGGACAGGAGTGAAAATCCACTCCCGTGTCAGTCTCTAATGCAGTTCTATTATAATTTAAAATGACACAGGAAGTAAGGAAAGTTGTACACAACCTCAAATACTGTGATAGAATTTACATTTTCTAGGACAAATTTTACATATAATGTTCCTTATCGTAATATGTTCGAGATTTTCAGAAGCTGTATTAGGAGAGTTTTTGTACATAGGTTCTACTCAGGTAGTGGTTTTAAAACTATACATGTTAATTTGGAGAGAAGACTGATGGATGGATTTGATATTGTTCCACTTCTTCATGATAAACTATTCTTTAAAAGCTGCATTTATCAAATATTAACAATGGTTTGATGATCTAAAACAACTCAGCAAGACAAAAAAAAAAAAACCAAGATGGAGGAAATCTGTTAAGTGAGCAGATATCTTTAGAGCTAATTTCCCCCCCAAAAATGGTGCACAGATTTTGTCACATTACTTTAATAAAATATCAGTTTATTAATGCATAATCTGCTGTCATAAGAAAATTTGATGATCTAATATGAACATTTATTTTCTAATTGTATCTTTTCTAATAAATAAAAAAAAAATCATAAACTACTCATTTCTAAAGCCGGAGATTAATTCTTACAATGTTATTTTCTAGTATTTAATCAGATTGACCAGAAGACCTCATTTAAAGAAGCATGTAAATTTAAGCAACCATAAGTAACATGTCTAATATAGGATAACTAGAACATTAAAAGCTTGTGATCATAGTGTACCTTTAAAAGGGGTTCCTCTATAGAAACTAACTATACAGGTAGACAACAGTGATTTTTAGCTTTCATTAAAGAAAAAAATAGTTCCCTGGCTTGGTCCTTGCCTTTGAGTGACCTTTTATTGAGCTTTCATCTTCTTTCCATGTAGTTGTAGACGGCCTTGTCAAAAACTGCCAAGAAGAAATCTGCATCCTCCTTTGTGATGCACATGGGGGGTTTGATGCGGAAGATCTTCAGCAAAGCAACAAATCAATCAGTAAACACAACTTATTAAAAAACTGTGAAGGTACACAGACAGATTACTAATACAGGGATTTTGACTATAGTTATCATTCATCTAGTTACTTAGAAAAAAGAGAAAGCTGTTCTTCTGTTTCACTTTGTTTGAATTTTCTTCTATATTCATCTCGTCTTCCTGTTTTAAGTTTATTTGCCACCTTTTTCTTGATGTCCCAATTCAGTTTCTGGTTTGTTATCGTCATAATTTAATCCATTTACATTTTGTGCTTCAAGTTTGTAACATTATAATCAGACATATGTTAGGATCCTTTAGTGTTTAGGTTTTCTATCTATTTTACTTTTGGGTCATTATTATTTAAAAGGCCTTGATTTATTCTGTTCACTTTATTCTGTTCACTGTGTTGAATATTGCTAGAAAGATTTTGCCATATTAGTTTCTTTGTGCTCAGTTTCTATCTTTATGATGCACTCTCTTATTTCACATAAATGGGTTGAGGAATTTCCGTGCTATCCCTATGTTGGATAGGTGCGTTCAGAGATGGATTAGTTGTTGGCGATGCAACAGATAAGAGTTAAGCAAACTGCTAGTGAGTGGACATAAAGTCATATTTCGCTGAAGTTCAAACCTCAGAACATTCTTTCAGTTTCCCTCTCGTTAACCAATCAGGGACTGGATGTGCTTGTGATTTAAGGTGAACAAACGCAGCAGAGGCAAAGCTTTTTTCAGTCAAATATAACTGGAGGTTGATCCTTTCCTTGCTGCAGTACATTGGCTCCTGATAATTAGTCCTGGACAGATGGTAGTACAGCTACTTGTGTCTTTGGGTCACTTTTGCACCTTTCCTCCGGATGCCTATATGCTCCCTTTCATAGCCATTCCTAACCCTCAAAAGAACTCGCCTGCATTCAATGTCATTGTCCACCTCCCCTCAGTATATCACCTCACAGCTTTTCTTTGGTCTTGCTGCTTACTTCTGCTACATATCCTGTGCTTCATGCCAGATTCTTCCACCAAGATCCCTAAAACTTCTCCTTATGACCAGTGTTGGGCACGTTACTTTGAAAAAGTAATTAGTTATAGTTACTAGTTACTTCTCCCAAAAAGTAACTGAGTTACTAACTGAGTTACTCCACAATAAAAGTAACTAGTTACTAGTAAAAGTAACTATTGCGTTACTTTTGTGTTTCTCGTCCCCGTAACCCTCACCACCCAGCCCCCACCTTCTCGCCGAGTGTTTCAAAAGCCAGCTGAATAGAGAGGATGACAAAGACAAGAACCTGCAGAGAGTTTAGCATTTATTGCAACTCAATGTAAATGACATCAGGGGGGAACGCCATGTGAAGCTTTTTAACAGGGCATTCAGATCTGGTGAGTATATGAAGTTAATAACTGGGGATGTCTAATTCTGAAATCCTGTGTGTTTGGGTTGTTATAGATACTGCAACATCTATCTAGATGTATACTCTGTGTGTGACATAAACTATGGATCTCCATCCCTGCCACAAAGGCCATCAAATAATGTTTAAAATAAAAAATATAGTAGGTTGAAAAGGCAGAGTATCCATCCATCCATCCAGATTTCTCCCTTTCTCCATATAGGCATAGACATTTGATCGTTCACGCTCTCCATAGTTCTCCTGTGGCGCGAGCACAGGGCGACTGTTGTGCGCCTTTAGCGAGCATGCGCGTTTCCTGTCGCTTGCGCAGTGAATCGTGCCGCCTGCGCTGTGCGGAGATTGAGGGGAAACCGTATGTGATGGGGAAACGCAGCTCGACGTAACACCGGTATTTCCATGTGGAAAGCGCTGTTTCGCTGCTGGAGTCATCCTCACTCTCCATCTCTCTGTGTGTGCTGTACGTTAACACCCGCCAGCAGAAACACCCACCTACCCAACTGACAGACGGAATCTCACTATACATCAGCCATTCTCATCCTCAAAGTAACGCCGTTACTTTCAACGACGTTAGTCCCATCACTGCTTATGGCTAATTATTAATCAACTCTGTTGTTACCAGTCAGTCTCTGTGCTTAGGTCTCTTACTAACCTCAAACATGACAACATACAAGAGAGATTACGTGTTGCATTTTGGATAAAAACAAATAAAGTGTGCCTATATGAAATCTCTTCTGGTTATTTTTTGTTTGGCAGCTCCCTGTGTATTCATTCTTCTAATTGGTTCCAGCTTAAAATGTTCCTAAACCCCCCAGGAGCTGCCATGCACTCTGCAATTTAACTCACCTGTGAAGCTCTCCAATAATCACCCTTCCTTTTTGTTATTCATAGCTTGATTTTACGACTGTTTCCATGGTTCCTGATTCCTCTGAGTTTAGCCATCTGAGATGAATGGCACTTTTATTTATATAAAGGTACAGCTATTGTGTTATTCCTTTTTAACTAATTAATCTTGAACTACCTCCCTTACATCTTCAGGGCAGAATTGAGACATAAGAGAAAAACTATATATAAAACACAAAAGATGCATTTTTATTTTGCAATGTTAAATTTCCTGTTTCATTATTCCTTGTGTGATATATTTGTATAATTACTTATTACAAGTGCATCTCAAAAAGTAGAACATTCTCATTTTTTCTGTCTCATTTGGAAGTTATGTTTCAGTAATTCATTAATTTCAGCTTGGAATCTATTTGTGAACAAAGCTTTTTTTTGTACCTTGTTCTGAACAGCAAAAGCAAATGAATGAAGAAATAACTCCCCCCGTCTCCTTTGATATTCTATTTTTATGAACATGCCACAATATTTAAGTTCAGTCATTTATTTTCATTTGGTTTAACTGTATAAAGATTGTCTGTCTTTAAAAGTGGCTGTACTGTATGTGTCTTTTGTAGTTTGATGGCTTTTAGAAAGCTACAGCAAAGTATATTTAAAATGACTTTTCAATTACCTGCCCAATATAAAGGCCATATAAAAGCCGACGCTCTGAATAGTAGCCGGAGAATATAACACTAAGTGGTTGACATCAGCAGAGGTACAAGAGTAAAGCAGAGGAAGACGCAAAAATATTTAACATGATTTTACTAAATTGCTTTAAGGCCCATAATTCACAAAATGACTTAGGTTTATTTAAATTGATCCTTAAGCGAAGATTATCTTAGTCCTTAGCTTATATACAGGTGCTGGTCATAAAATTAGAATATCATGAAAAAGTAGATTGATTTCAGTAATTCCATTTAAAAAGTGAAACTTGTATATTATATTCATACATTACATACAAACTCATATATTTCAGATGTTTATTTTGTTTAATTTTGATGATTACAAATGACAACAAATGAAAATCTCAAATTCATCATATCAGAAAATTTGAATATTGTGAAAAGGTTCAAAATTGATGGCCCCTGGTGCCACACTCTAATCAGCTAATTAACTCAAACCACCTGCAAAAGCCTTTAAATGGTCTTTCAGTCTAGTTCTATAGGCTACACAATCATGGGGAAGACTGCTGACTTGACAGTTGTCCAAAAGACGACCATCGACACCTTGCACAAGGAGGGCAAGACACAAAAGGTCATCGCTAAAGAGGCTGGCTGTTCACAGAGCTCAGTGTCCAAGCACATTAATAGAGAGGCGAAGGGAAGGAAAAGATGTGGTCGAAAAAAGTGTACAAGCAAGAGAGATAACCGCACCCTGGAGAGGATTGTGAAACAAAACCCATTCAAAAATGTGGGGGAGATTCACAAAGAGTGGACTGCAGCTGGAGTGAGTGCTTCAAGAACCACCACACACAGACGTATGAAAGACATGGGTTTCTGCTGTCGCATTCCTTGTGTCAAGCCACTCTTGAACCACAGACAGCGTCAGAAGCGTCTTGCCTGGGCTAAAGAGAAACAGGACTGGACTGCTGGTGAGTGGTCCAAAGTCATGTTCTCTGATGAAAGTAAATTTTGCATTTCCTTTGGAAATCAAGGTCCCAGAGTCTGGAGGAAAAGAAGAGAGGCACTTCATCCACGTTGCTTGAAGTCCAGTGTAAAGTTTCCACAGTCAGTGATGGTTTGGGGTGCCATGTCATCTGCTGGTGTTGGTCCATTGTGTTTTCTGAGGTCCAGGGTCAACGCAGCCACATACCAGGAAGTTTTAGAGCACTTCATGCTTCCTGCAGCTGACCAACTTTTTGGAGATGCAGATATCATTTTCCAACAGGACTTGGCACCTGCACACAGTGCCAAAGCTACCAGTACCTGGTTGAAGGACCATGGTATCCCTGTTCTTAATTGGCCAGCAAACTCTCCTGACCTTAACCCCATAGAAAATCTATGGGGTATTGTGAAGAAGAAGATGCAATACACCAGACCCAACAATTCAGAAGAGCTAAAAGCCACTATTAGAGCAACCTGGGCTATCATAACACCTGAGCAGTGCCACAGACTGATCGACTCCATGCCACGCCGAATTGCTGCAGTAATACAGGCCAAAGGAGGCCCAACTAAATACTGAGTGCTGTACATGCTCATACTTTTCATGTTCATACTTTTCAGTTGGCCAACATTTCTATAAATCCTTTGTTTTTATTGGTCTTCAGTAATATTCTAATTTTCTGATATGATGAATTTGAGATTTTCATTTGTTGTCATTTGTAATCATCAAAATTAAACAAAATAAACATCTGAAATATATGAGTTTGTATGTAATGTATGAATATAATATACAAGTTTCACTTTTTAAATGGAATTACTGAAATCAATCTACTTTTTCATGATATTCTAATTTTATGACCAGCACCTGTATGTTTTCATCCATTTCACATTTTTCTCTGTGGCTCTGTGCTTTGAGAAGTACAACACAGCGACTAATACCACATTTACACTGCAGCATCTTTATCAGAGTTTTATGCCACTTCCTATTTATGTGACTGGATAGATAACTGATTTCACAGACTCAAATACATTATTGCAAATTAAAAGAAAATGAAATTCAAAATCACTTTGAGACGATTAAATTGTGTTACCTGTCCATAAACTCCTCCTTTGCCAATGAGGACTCCCATATCTTTAACATCCTCAAAGATCTCAGCCATATCCTCAGCAGGCAGTGGATCTTTGCTGGTCTGTAAATGAAGGAGCAGAGGTACTTTTGAAGATGTAGTCCTCAAAACATCACATTGGCCTACAATTATTAATGCTAGTGGAAGAATTGGATTTAAAGTTCTCATTTAATTCTCTAACTGTAAGTTAGAGAAATGTGTTTGTTTAAGGTCCACACTGAGTACGGATTTGAGGCTGAAAATCTGTGATGGAAGATAAGATTAGGATGATTTTAAACAGAATAAGCAGAAAAACTAAAAAGACATCTTGAATTAGCGCTAGGGGATAAAAGCTTGGACACAAATGGATCATACGAATTAGACTGAGATCTTAAGTACACCAATGCATTGTAGCCGCCATGATGTCATGATCAGTCCCACTGAAAATTTAGGGAAAGAGCTGTGAAGCAAGGGCCATAATTCCAGGAAACCTAGGGAAGGACTCCCAAAAAAATCAAATGAATGTCATTTAGTTTGAAAGGGAAATAAAATCAGGACTGTTTGCGCCTTTAGTAATTTTTTTTTTTTAAACCAGAGCCTCAGATTCACTCCAATTTGCAAAAGTTTGCCAAAACTATCTGACTGTTAGGACATCGCAGTCATTTCAAAGTATTGGTGCTAAACTGTTTTAACCTAAAAACTTCTATCAGCAGCTTTAAATACCACGAAGGCAGCTGATATTAAAGTGTTTGTCTTTTCTATGATAAAGAAGCATAGCTACAGCTAGAAAACATGCACAAATACAAATGGCTAATGGTTAGGTGGGACGCAGCTGAACCCAAGATGTAGCATCCTGAGGTGCTTTTTGATAAAGCTTATAGTGAGAGTGGCTCATGTTATCCTGAGCTATCTCTATAGTTATGCTGATATAGGCTTAGACTGCCGGAGTACATAGGGACTCCTTTTTCATTCTATCTCTATTCTCCCACTCTGCAGAATTTGTTAGATTAGTCTCTAACGTTATGTTCTCTCTTCTTTTTCTCATAGTAGCTTCATCTGGTCTTTTCCTGTTTGGCTGTGACACCATCCTGAAGAGAAATATCAGCCATGCTGCTGCCATCAACTCCTTTGTTTATAGATGTTCTAAATCGGCCTGTTTTTCAGTGTAGTCCTGTTTCTCTGACATGGAAGCTGGCTCGGAGCTCATCTGCCTGGCTGTGTGTTTCCTAGACGGGGCCACCTATGGACCTGGTTTACACTTGCTTTTTGTATCTCTGCTTCTTTCTGTATGTCTGCTTATGTCTCCTTGAACTCCAGTGGTATGTCAGCAGATGGCCGCTCACACGGAGTCTGGTTCTGCTGGAGGTTTATTCCTGTTAAAAGTGAGTTTTTCTTCTCCACTGTTGCTACAAGTATGCTTAGTGTTAGGGATTGCATTTGAGTTAATAAGTTAATGCAATCAACTGGTTTTCCTTATATACAGAAATTTGAATCAATTTAACTGTATGATCTGGTTAAATTGTATAGTGCCATAAGATGACGTGTTGTGAATTGGCGCTCTATAAATACTCTAAATTGAATTGAATTAATAAGCACATGTGAGAAGAGGTGAGCGTCGTCACACACTCCGTACCTTGTTCTTGACCATTTCTACACCAATCTGCAGCCCTTTCCCACGAACATCGCCGACTATTTCATACTTGTCTCTGAGTTTTGCCAGCCCTTTCATGAGATAGGTGCCCACATGGAGACTGTTCTTCTGTGAGCCATCCTCAACAATGGTCTGTTAGAAAAACAACAAAAAAAAGCAATCAGGAAAGGTTTTGTGTTCCTGAGTGTTTAAAGTTCCCCTTTCCTAAATAACTTTGGCAAAAGCATCGGAAATTACTTACATCAAGCACTGCCGAAGCAACAGCACAAGCCACAGGACTTCCACCAAAGGTGTTAAAATGGAGTCCCTTAACAAAACAAGCAGCGATTTCTAAAAATGAAAAAAACAAAAAAAACAAAAAACAGAAAAAAAGGAACATGAGTTAACAAGCTCACACCTTCAGCCTCAGCAGGTCCAAATAAATGTTTCAGGCACAAAGTGTTCAAAACATTATTCAAAAAAAGTGATTTTGTTTGGACATTGATTCAAATTTTTGTTTGTATTTTTTAGCAGAATAAAAGAACCTCTTGAGAAAGTTAGAGTGGGTCTTGAGGTATGCAAAAGTTTATCAAACAGGTACCATGGAAACTGGCCCATTTTCCAGAAGAAACCTGTAATGTGTTTCCAAAAATAAGATGCAGTTGTTCAAAAGTGCAAAGCCGTTCTTGATGGTAATCAACACATAAGGGCAAATATATTAGAAGGTGGAGGGTGAAATCAATAAACCATGTAGGTGGGGACCACGAGGGCTCATTTTCCAGCCCTGATTTATTTATTTTATAACAGACATTGAAGCTGTTAGGTTTCATAGGTAGTTTATAATGTTACATTTTTTAACATTGTTTTTATTTTAATTTCTATATGAACCATTTATACAAGTATTAAACAGTAGGGATACTAGCAACACTTACAGGTGCTGGTCATAAAATTAGAATATCATGAAAAAGTAGATTGATTTCAGTAATTCCATTTAAAAAGTGAAACTTGTATATTATATTCATACATTACATACAAACTCATATATTTCAGATGTTTATTTTGTTTAATTTTGATGATTACAAATGACAACAAATGAAAATCTCAAATTCATCATATCAGAAAATTAGAATATTACTGAAGACCAATAAAAACAAAGGATTTATAGAAATGTTGGCCAACTGAAAAGTATGAACATGAAAAGTATGAGCATGTACAGCACTCAGTATTTAGTTGGGCCTCCTTTGGCCTGTATTACTGCAGCAATGCGGCGTGGCATGGAGTCGATCAGTCTGTGGCACTGCTCAGGTGTTATGATAGCCCAGGTTGCTCTAATAGTGGCTTTTAGCTCTTCTGAATTGTTGGGTCTGGTGTATTGCATCTTCTTCTTCACAATACCCCATAGATTTTCTATGGGGTTAAGGTCAGGAGAGTTTGCTGGCCAATTAAGAACAGGGATACCATGGTCCTTCAACCAGGTACTGGTAGCTTTGGCACTGTGTGCAGGTGCCAAGTCCTGTTGGAAAATGAAATCTGCATCTCCAAAAAGTTGGTCAGCTGCAGGAAGCATGAAGTGCTCTAAAACTTCCTGGTATGTTGCTGCGTTGACCCTGGACCTCAGAAAACACAATGGACCAACACCAGCAGATGACATGGCACCCCAAACCATCACTGACTGTGGAAACTTTACACTGGACTTCAAGCAACGTGGATGAAGTGCCTCTCTTCTTTTCCTCCAGACTCTGGGACCTTGATTTCCAAAGGAAATGCAAAATTTACTTTCATCAGAGAACATGACTTTGGACCACTCACCAGCAGTCCAGTCCTGTTTCTCTTTAGCCCAGGCAAGACGCTTCTGACGCTGTCTGTGGTTAAAGAGTGGCTTGACACAAGGAATGCGACAGCAGAAACCCATGTCTTTCATACGTCTGTGTGTGGTGGTTCTTGAAGCACTCACTCCAGCTGCAGTCCACTCTTTGTGAATCTCCCCCACATTTTTGAATGGGTTTTGTTTCACAATCCTCTCCAGGGTGCGGTTATCTCTCTTGCTTGTACACTTTTTTCGACCACATCTTTTCCTTCCCTTCGCCTCTCTATTAATGTGCTTGGACACTGAGCTCTGTGAACAGCCAGCCTCTTTAGCGATGACCTTTTGTGTCTTGCCCTCCTTGTGCAAGGTGTCGATGGTCGTCTTTTGGACAACTGTCAAGTCAGCAGTCTTCCCCATGATTGTGTAGCCTATAGAACTAGACTGAAAGACCATTTAAAGGCTTTTGCAGGTGGTTTGAGTTAATTAGCTGATTAGAGTGTGGCACCAGGGGCCATCAATTTTGAACCTTTTCACAATATTCTAATTTTCTGATATGATGAATTTGAGATTTTCATTTGTTGTCATTTGTAATCATCAAAATTAAACAAAATAAACATCTGAAATATATGAGTTTGTATGTAATGTATGAATATAATATACAAGTTTCACTTTTTAAATGGAATTACTGAAATCAATCTACTTTTTCATGATATTCTAATTTTATGACCAGCACCTGTATATAGTCCATGTCTGTATTGATCCCAACAATACATGGATATAAAACATTTGGTCTGATCATCTGGTCAGGAACAGAAGACTGCACAGTTAAACCAGCACAAAAAAAGAAGGCAAAAAAACAAGAGAAGGGCTCTCAGAGGCAAAATAGAAATCAATCACATTTCCACACATTATCATTTTTTCCATTTCTCATTTATCAGGGTCAAACAATTCTAATATTTTTTATTTCACTGTACAAGTGTTGCATGTTTTTGAAAAATTAATAAAATGTCCAGACCTCCCCAAATTTCTCATGCTTCACTTTCTCTACGTATGTTATGCTTGAAAAGCTTCTAACATTTGTCGAATCCAAAATGTAACATTTGGAGTATATTTCCAAAGAGTGCATTTATCCAAACATAATCCTTCTGGCTATATTTATGACCACTTAGACTTAGACTTAAGACTTCCTTAATTGTCATTGCACAAAAAACACAGAGTGAATCTTGACAACGAAATGTCGACTACTTGGCTACCAATGTAACAGAGCTAATTTTGCACAATAAATATGTTTTCTATGAGTAAGAGCTAGCTATATACAGGGTAAAGAGTATATATATATATATATATATATATATATATATATATATATATATATATATATATATATATATATATATATTGCACTGAAGTTATTGAAGAAGTAATATCAATAATAAATATTGCACTGAGTTATATAAAAAGAAACACTGAGGTATCATCCCGGGATAAATAAAAATATTTTTCGAAAAAAAATTTGATATTGCTTTAAACTCCTCCCTAAAAGCCCTGATTTCACAGCCTTGGTTTATCAGCATTGTTATAGTGTCCCAAAATTTTAAAGGTCCTATTTTACATTTGAAATTAAATCATAATAATAATGAGCCCATCAGAGCCTGTGTTGGCAGTTTGAGAAGGAAAATTCCTCTAATATTAGGCAAACGTGTACCAATAACCTTCTAATTCAGCCCTCTTCTAAACGAGCTTTTTGGCGTTCCACACCCTCCACCTCCCGAAGGCCGCGCCCCCCCCATCCCGACAACCAGAGTTTGGAATGCTGGCCGTTAGGAAAGTGGAAGGATCAGGTAGATTATGGCCGACCATACAGTTGAGTTGATCCTCAATTCTATATAGATCTAGCCTGAAGTCGGGAACTCTTGAGTTTTCGGTTTCACAATGGAAAATGAATTTGTTCAATCAACTCTGAGTTGAAAAGCCTTTATCACGGAGCGCCGTTTGACGAGTCACTAGGACAACAAGCAACAGGAAGTGCCAATTTCACCCCACTGGAACTAGAGATTTTAATGCAAAAATAATAAAAAGTGAGACTGTGTTTAACAGACAGAGAAACAGCGCTACAGCTGCAAAAGAGAGGAAGATGGCAAAGGAGAAGTTTGCGCATTTATGTGAAGTGGGTTATGGCAGACCATTTCAACATTTATTAAAAGCACTTTCCTCTCCGTTGTTCCATTTGTAGATCACTAAAATAAGATGGTCAAAATCACACTCCTAGACCTAATTGTAATAATAGAGGTTCTAAATTACATTTCTGCCAGCAGAAACCAAATTTCAGAAGGTAAAAAAACTAAATTGTACTAGTAGAAGTAAAGTTTTATATATCTAGAAATGTTTACACATTTTAAGTGACCGTTTGACATGTATCATTTTGACTGAATATGTATTTATATCTGAAATACATTTACATTCAAAAACAAAAAAACGACATGACAGGGAATGTACCGAGTTTGTAGCTCCAATTGTCTCTTGCCTGCATACCAACTTCAAATTATTTTTAAAACCCAAGATTACTGAGTCCATAAACTGCTGCAGCTATGTCGACTGTAATATTTAGGGATCCATCTAGCAGAGTTTAAACAGTTACTGCTGTGAGCATTAGTGGAAAAAAGCAGATGTACAATTCACTGCCTCAGAAGCCAAACAACCGTATGATGTTAAAGAAAATGAAGCTAATTTAGATTACCCTTTGCCGTTTATCCCACCTGATGTTGTAACAACAGCTCCCATAGGGAATCCATTACCGATGCCCTTAGCCATTGTAACAATGTCAGGGATGACATCATGTCCTTGAAAACCCCAGAAGTGGCTTCCAGTTCGCCCAAATCCGGTTTGAACCTGCCGGGTCCAGTAGAAGACAATAAGGTTAACCATCAACACCTGTGTTGTGTTCATTGGTCATCAGTCCAATCATGGAGTAATCCACATACACATACAGATTTAAACAGTTTCCTTTTAATATTTTTCTTGAAAGACATAAAGAAGAATGACTCTAACTAAACAGTAATTTACTTTAACATTTGCAGTAGACTACTACTTAAATTCTAGCAAGGGCGTAGGTTTGATTTGAACTTTGGTAGGGACACTATTGGTCGGGTGTCATTGGTGCTGCAATATGCGTGCCCTTTTTTATGCTCGATGTGAGCATCCGTACTGATAAGACGAATTCATTGTTAAAAGAGAAAAGCATCATTTTGCTACATTAATAAAAATTTTATAAGCACTACACTCATTAGATGCTGTTTATCAATGTTTGAAGTATCACTGGCTCTGATGAATGTGGAATTAGGACTGTTTTCCACTTTGTAAATGGTTTCATTTGCATGACTAATAGAGAAGGTAAATACAGTATTTTCGTTTGAAGATATACAATTGTGCAGAGTTAAACCCCACTCTTATATTTTACCTACTATGCTCTCTCTGTATCCAGCAAAATAATACATTCAATAAAATATTAACTTCACTATAAAAGTTGAACATCTGGGCTGTAGTTACTCTGTATAGCCCATTTTATGTATTTTATCTAGGGCTGAAAAAATGAATCGTATTAATTGATTATTTCAATAATCGTCAACTAATTTAGTATGTGATTAATCATTAACTGGTGAATGGAGACTATAAAACATAATATAAATGTAAAATAAATGTCCCTTTCCCCTATAGAACAATCAACTTAGATCAGTAATTATACCAAAATTGTAAAAATACAATATATATATATATATATAAGATTAAAAAAAAAATTTTGTCTGTCAATATTCTCCATCCAGAACTCCTCATGTGGAAATATTTTAGTTTCACCTGGTTTATTTAGACATCACCTGAAGCACTGAAGGGCCAGCTGCTTCACCTACAAGCTGCCCTGCATCATTATTACTGGATATCTGTGTTTCCTATAATCATATAATGTATAAGTGCAATTTTAATAGTAAAGGATTAAATGTAACACAACCTTTTATCATTGTCCTATGTCCTATATTGCTTACTGTCTGACTGTTTAAATAGCTCCTTACTGTATGCCTATTTTCTTTTTTAGTGGAATCATCTACGAACACAACACTAAGAATGAGCCTAAGTGTATTCAAATATAAAATAATTTTTAACAATCATAAAAGACACTATAACACTATCTTATCTGTAATTTAACATTATCCAAAATAAACAGCCAGATTCCAGCATTTTTACCAGACATTAATGTTTGTACTAATTTACTTATAGACTGTGTGGAAATCTATGTAAGATAAAATCAATGTTTATATTCTTCCTTTTTTTGTTCTTGTCTTTATCCTATTTCTAGAAGTATAAATAGTCAATAAAATAGAACTATTATTATGTGGAACCCTAATTATGCTTTTTAAATGAAAAACAGCGGATGTTTAGGCCCCATTTCTTGTTGTTGTACTCTATAAGAGAAATAACACCTGCTAATAATTATACCTGAACTTTCTCAAAGAGTCATAAAAAATGAAAACAGTAATAGCAACTAAATATTGGTAAAAAGGAAACCCTCACATTTTCTGTTTTAGTTGGCTGTGGATAAGAATCAGAAATGTTGATGGCTTACAGCCTTTATTTGCCCATTTTGTGTCTTCAGAACTCCTGGCTGACTCAGAATATTTCGCTTTATAAAAGAAAAAAAAAGGTTTTTGTTTTTTAGTGTACATGATATTCATTTTTTTTAATTGGGACTAGTTTTGTAGCCTAATATTAATTGTAGTAACCACAGCATTCTAGTGTGAATAAATTTTCAATTTTGTGCTCCAAGCACGCCAGGACTAGAAAACAGCCAATCAGAGAGAGAGGAGGCGGAACCTAAGGCAGAACAACCAATGAGAGTGGAGTTAAACAGCGCAGCACAGTTCCATGCGCTGCTGCGTGAAAGGGACAGGAGAGACCAGGCAGAGGAGCAGCGAGAGGAAAAGAAGCCACTGCTGGAACAACTACTGCTGTAAATTATAAACATGTTGCTCACATCCAATTATTGGTAGGGACAATTAGGTCGGTTCAAAATTTTGGTAGGGACATGTCCCTATGCAAACCTACGCCCATGAATTCTAGGTATTCCCCTTGAGATACTACAGAAGAGGCGTTATCAAATAAATACTCAAACAGAACTGTTGATTCTGCAATACAAACATCATGTTAGCCAAAATGGAGCCTAGGCGGAAGTTCAAATACATCCACCTGCGACACAGCCAATCGGCTTTGAACCACACCTCCACGAAAGCCAATCAGCATCCAAAGTTCATCTTAAAAGGCCTCCGATCTGCACTGTCTGCTCCTGTGTGCAGGCGGTGGATGCACTGTGTGACTTTATTCAGATGACACCGTTTCAACCCACCTCCAGCCCCTCCTCCACCATCGTAGCTAAAGCTTCATCAGAGTATAATTCCTCCTGGACTCTTACTGCGTTCTCTGTCTCATCTCAAATGGTCCGGCAGAAGACCGCCATGTTGAGCCTGGTTCTGCCAGAGATTACTTCCCAACGGGGAGTTTTTTCCTCTCCGCCGTCGCTTCATGCTTGCTCATCATACACTCATCACTTCCATCTTCCAGGTCCCTGAGTGAAGCTCTAGTATCAGCTCACGCAGTCCGCTGGATCTCCCCATAAAGCTCAGCATACCGTCTCCCTAACCAGCAGTCTACAGACTGACCAACTTCATCTAGCTCCACTCCACCACCAGTTTCAGGCCTTGGGGGGAAACAGCCATATTCTTTGCTCCTGTTCATGCATATCTATCAAAATTAAGCGCTATGTTTCCTGCCAGGGTCTGAGCGCCAAAGACAAAGTAATTGTATCAATACATTTCTCCTAATTGTCTTTTCTCTTTGTGTGAGTATTTCAGAACTTAAGTCAGCGCTGGCGTGTGAAAATCCACAAGTTAGGGTTGGAAACCGACAGTGTCCCAGCTGTAGCAAAAATATTATCACTATCCACAACAATACAGCATTTTGCCCAAAGATAACCAAAGTAATTGCAGCAATTCTTCAAAGCACAGAGGGTCAAAGTTCCTCCAGTGAAACATTCATTGCCAGGTATTAAAAAACAGCTGATGGGAGCTACAGTATTGCTGCCCAGGGAGGCAAAGCTCATCATTAAATTATCATGTTAGTTTGGATGTTTGTTTGTTTTTTATTTCCTTTCCCTCACAATTTTAAGCCTGTTTTGTTTTTGCTCAGGTTAGCAGGCAACATTTTTTTATTTAAACTATTATTTTTTCACACCAATGTATATAAAAATTATTTCAGAAATATACTATCTTCATTGATTGTAATGGTATTAACTTTTATACAAGACAGCCATAAAAATAAACCATCAGACCTCATCAGCAATGCAGAGCCCTCCTCTCTCTCTTATAAGTTTGTAAGCTTCTTTAAGGTAGTTTTTCGGGTACTGAACAGCTCCTCCGACTCCCTAAATAAAGCAGACATATCAGTGAAAACATAGAACACAGTGTTAAAAGACCCTAAGAAGTACTCTAGAAATTTCTTTAGCTGGCTAAATACACTCGCTTCCCATATATGTTCATTCAGCAATGCATTAAGTAGATATACTTAATGTTAAGATAAAAATTGAAACATACCACATTATATGAGTTACATTTCAAACATGACTGCATAATTACTTGCAAAATAAAAATACAAAACACCTGAATAGGCTCTGCAAAGAAAGCAGCAATTCTAGCTGGGACGCTTGTAGCTAATGTCTCTTTCAGTTGTCCAATGTACTGCTCATTCGCCACACACTGACCTGTAGTATAAAAACATAGAAAAATTCTGATCAATGCAGAGCATTTAACAAAGGGGGTAGGGAAAAAAATGATGTTCTCTCTCTCTCCAAAGTGATTTTGAGTTTTAGTTCTAAAGAACAGATTATTTTTTTTTTTTTTTGGAAAAAAATTTTTTTTCTTTGACTTGCCTACAGCTGAGTCTTAAAACATTTTAGATGACTGCAGTCGGAGCAAACCTTACAAAAAGGCAAACATTTCACAGTGGTTAAACATACAAAGAAAGTCAATGATCGACAGGACGACGCTGAACTTTATTCTGCTCTTCTAGTGTTTATTCTGGTTTCCTCGCGTTTTATTACAGGCTTGATTTGCCTCACTTTTATGGATTTAAATATAACAAATCTATTTGATTTTTCGCTTAGACAAATAAAAAAACTGGAACACTAAGAGACAACAATAATACAGCATAATAATATAAGGGCAATTTCGTTGTTAAGCAAACACTCCAGCATTCAAACGTCATTCATTTCTTAGCAAAGCATGGCTCCCTGACAAGCTGCTATGATTTACTTTAGTTGTTAATGAGAACTGAGCCTGATCTGTGTACCTGGAGGACAGCTACACTCTCTTGTAGTCTGTACAGGTGAGTCCCTGCAGTGGCTTCCTCCCCATGGACCTCTGAACACATCTGGACACATGGTCTGTTTCATTGGTGGAAAACAACAAAGCTGGGTTAAGGAGGCACAGACAGGGATTCACATAAAGCAGCAGAAAATGTTATAAAACTATGGAAACTGGCATATAACTCTGCTGAAACTATTTTAAACTTTTGCATAAAACAGCATTAAATATGAAATACTATATTTCAGTAATTCTATTCAAAAAGTTACTTTCATTACCCATAAAGCCATACATTTAAAGTATGCATTCATATTAGCAGTCTTCCACATGATCATATCGGCCAAAATATCGTCCTTTTAATTTAATTTAAAAATGCTTTAAAGTCTTATGCTGTCATTCTAAAACCATATCTGACATGCTGAATCTAAAATCTGATTTTTTTCAGTCTAATTTAACTTTCTAAGTAACCGAATATGGGATTACCATTTGGTTTGAGCCGTTAATAAGAAAAATAAATGAAAAAGTATTTTCCCCCCTTACATATTTTTTATCTCTTTTTTTGTTGCCGTTAAATGTTTTAAACTGAAATAATCTCAGCATCAGATAGGTAACCTAAAAGTTGCAACTTTAAAATTAGGATTTTATTATTAATAAAGATGGTATTTTAATCCACCTGGTCCTATCTGAAAGCGAAATATTTTCTTACATTCAGTACCAACAACATGGCATGATAACTCATTAGAGGAAATCTAAAGCACTGAGATCCTCACTTTCCTGGCTCAGTTAAGGTTAGTGTTCATTACTTAACAATTACCAAGAAACGAGGCAAAAATTGCATCCTTTGGACAGTTTTAAATGCAAAAGTCTGTCATGTACAACCATAAAGGTGTATCTGATATTTGGCAAAGAAAAAAAAAAAAAAAAGTTTATCCCCTAGGACAAAGAGGGAATATTGGAAAGGGGTGCTTTCCTTTAACATGGCATAAGCAAACATTTCACAAAACAATAATAATTTAACTTTATTGATCTCACATTGAAGAAATTAACTCTGCATTTAGCCCATCCGCTTGGGGAGAAGTGGGCTGCCATCGTGGAGTGGCAGTCTGTGAGAGTGGGGCTGGAACCCAGAACCTCAGAATTCCAAGCTCTATGCACTAACCACTAGGCCCCCAGACCCCCAAAACAAACCTGTTGTTTTCGATTAAATATGGGTTGATGGTCTGGAGCTTTTTGTTGCCGTAAAACATGAACATGGTTTAATTCATGGCACTAAGAATGATGTTTTCTTCTGGAGAATATCAATCATTTCTTGATCTCTGGCTCACTTGATTTGAATATGCAGCAGGGCAAGAAACTAAAGTAGTCAACAGGAGGTCCAGCCAAGAATGGCTAAAAAAAACATGAAGAGTAGCCTAGGTGAAGTTGAGACTTTAATCGAAAAAGGATGCCTGGAAAATCCCTAAAATGTGTCCAATTTGGAATATTTTTGCAAAGAAGATTTGAAAAACAAAGGGTGGGATATCCCATTGTTAGATAGTTGGATGGATGGATGGATATCATATAGAGTCTGATTCTCTTTAAGTAAGGACTCTTGAAAACTGCAAAGTCTAAAAGAAACCTGTATGGAGGCGAAAACATTTCCAACTGTACTCTATTCCACCGTGTATATTAAATGTATATGAATTTCACTTCATGAATGTAATTGTTGAAATAAACAAGCTTTTCAGTGAATGGAAATGTTCCTGTTTATATTTGATACATAGATTAATTTAAATGACATCCTCTACCATATCAGCATGCTTCAATTATGCACTGATGTTCCACACTTTACCTCTATACAAGAATAGTAACTTGAAATGAGTCCATCTATCATCTCATATGAGTGGCTATGTTTATTTTACAATAACACAAGATGTTCTTATTAAAACAAATGCATGTCTAATCAAAAAACAACGATTCTGTCTCACATTGCCACACGAGAGAGAGATCCATGCTATACGTACATTTGTACAACCTAGACTGCTGGGCACCGGGTATTTATAGGCTGCGTTAGACGTAAGCCCGATGGTCATTGATCCCCCACCATGATAAGATCCTCTGAAAGTTAAACAGAAACTGTAAACATTAAAGACATCTTTATCTTAGAGAAAAATTAATGACAATTCAGCTTTGCTGGTGGACGCTGAGGAAGTTTAATTTCAATAGTCTAACGGTCAGCTTTCTTTTAGTTTGGTTAATTGGGTATTTCAAAAAAAAAAAAAAAAAGCAGTCAGAACTTGTATAAAAAAGCAAAATTGGACCTCAAAGTGATAATATCGAAGTTGCCAGTGTAGAGACGAGCAATCAACATCGCAAGATCATTGGCTTCAGTGCCGCTGTTTGTTAGAAAAACCACCTGTGTAGGGGAACAGATTTTAATTGCAGAATAAATTCACATACTCGCAAATAGTCAATAAAAATACACCACCGTACCTTCAGAGGATCAGGGAGGTAGGAGACAAGTTTTTCACAGTACTCATGGAGAGTAGGATAGGCATAAATATGAGTGGTATGCCAAAGTTTTCTCAGCTGTTTTTCTGCTGCAAGAGTTACTTTCCTGTGCACATATGGATATCAAAAAGCAAATATAAATATGCAAAACGGTGGAAAAAGGGGCCGTAAACAACAAATGGTAAATGGCATGTACTTATATAGCGCCCTTTTTTCAAGTCAGGAGACTTGACCAAAGCGCTTTACACTACATTCATTCACCCATTCACACACTGATGGTGGCGAGCTACAATTTAGCCATAGCTGCCCTGGGGCTCACTGACAGAAGTGGGGCTGCCATACACTGGCGCCACCGGGCCCTCTGACCACCATCAGTAGACAATGCAGGTGAAGTGTCTTGCCCAAGGACACGACAATGAAAGTCGGAGCCAGGGCTTGAACCCTCAATCCTTCGATTTCAGGGCAAACTCCTACATCCAACGCCACTGTCGCACAACAACAAAAAATCTGTCTCAGTGGGAGAAAAATGACAAAAGGACCTTACGGGTGGCAGTGGCCCACGCTGACGGTGGCCACACCAGCAAATAGATCCAGATATCGGTTCCCATCCACATCCCACAGATACTGCATGTATCCCTGATGGATGAACACTGGTTTCTTATAGTAAGTAACTTTCATGGTCATTGGGTTGCAGATCTGTTTGCGGATCTCAATCATTTTTGCTTTTGACATTCCCTGGAGAGACACATGACGGGGTTAAACTTAAATAGTAATACAGCACAGTAGGCTTTATTTGATGTTGCATTTTTCAAATTATAAAACGGAGGCGGTTGAAGTCTTTTTTTTTACTATTACAAACTTTTGGATTCATAACTCTTATATTATACAAAACAAAACTGCCCATCGGTTTTAGGTGTCTGCATATTTTGTCACTTACCTTGTATTCCTCTGGAATGAAATTGCAAGAGGGCATCTCTGGTATATCCGTAGGAGGGCATCTCAGTTCTGATTTCTGACATGATGCACCTGTGAAATCATTTTTATTTACAGAGTCAAGTTACAACAATCTTCAATGTTTATTACTGGTGTTTTACATGATAGATCAACATAAATCAGGGTACATTTGTTAAACAGGGGGGGGCATTTCTTTTATCTTTTGCAAATGGGAATTTGAAATTATTCAGTTTCTTAGAAAGGTTTTTAAAAGTTGTTTCAACCCTTCAATGAAGGGAGCCAACAAAGCTGACAGTCTTTGTGGTGTACGTTTACCAGACCTACAGGATTGAAAGAAAAAAAATCAAGTTTAGTCTTTTTTCTTTGCAAAATAGCTTAAGGTCACTCAGGTTGGATGGAAAGTAGGCTACTCTTGAATAGCAAATATCCAGTCCGGCCACAGATTCAAATTAGAGTAGACTTTGGGTCTTTTTGATATATAAATATACATAAAGGTAGATTCAAAAGTCACAGCAAGATACCAAGGTATAATGCCAAGTGAATTTTTTTTAAATAAATATTGTCACTAATTGTTTATAAGGTGCGTTCTGACTTTCTGAATAACCAGATATATAAAATTTGAGATATTATTTATATTATATTATTATGTTTGAAGATATAAAATTTGCAGAGAGAAAAACTCAAAAACTGTCTCCTCTGTTTCTTGTTTAAGAGTTTTGCTCTCTTAACGGCTGCTGCTTCTAAACTAGTTCGATCCAGATTCAGTCTCCATGGTAACTCACCGCTCGCCCAGTGGATTTTTGATGAAGGGGCCGCGCGGCTTGGCCGTCCCGTAAGAAATGCCCAAGTACAGCCGCCTACATAAGACACAACTTTGAACATGTCGAACAGCCACCATAGGGTTCACCTTGTACAACATTCACCCTGTCCGGCATTTATACTTGTTTTCCTCTTCAAGGTGGGCGTACATTGGCGCTGCTTCGCCAATGGTCCTCTCCTCTTCCGACGTATTGAGAGGTGTGCGCCTGCAGGAGCTCACAATTAAAAGCACTTCGTTGGGCCCCATTCTTACTTGGCCAAAATCCTTAATGCACCTTTACCCGTGGTACAAGGAAAAAAGTAATAAATACCATGTTATTTTATTTATTATCATAATTAAAAGAAATGTAACCCTTGACAATGACTTGGCCATGCAGTTATTATTTTTGCTTACATTTAATATCAAAAGATCTATAAATATTTTTTTAATCAAATTTAAAGATAAAATTCAGGTGTTAAAATGTGCTTTAGGACAAATAGTACAGGATCATATTCCTCACCTACAGCGGTACAAAGAAAGAAAATATAGTTTGTAGTTGCAGAGACAAACAAAACACTTGTGACTTGATCTGGACTTTGGAAAGATGACGTAAACATTCATTAAGCTCCTTGCCACAAAAGCACATGACATATTTTATGCTGTGCCCTATGCTTTACTGTGCATTTATACAATCCTTTTATTATCCTATAGAATGTTTAGAAACGTTTTGATGCATGGCATTCACATGTAATGTGTTATCTATTGATGTCACTAAATTATTTCATTTGCACGAACAGCAGTTGGTTTATTTAAAAGGAAACCTTTTCATTATAATTAAGATTATGGCATTAAATCAAAATATATCAGACATATTTAAAATATGTTAGCAGGGTTCAGGGCTACAAAAGCAGCCATTTAAATGGAATATTGTGATACATTTGAAATAATGTGATCAAGATGTCACTTGTTAAGGGAGATTTTACCAAACATTACTGAAGATGCATTTATAAACGATATCATCTCAGTTTTGTGTAACTCGTTTATAAATCTGAATTGGTGAATCTTAATTGCACATTTAACCTGCCAAAAAAAAATAGTGGTTACAAAAGATCCAACCACAAAAGAACTAACCATGTAAACTTGTTTGTCTTAGTGTAAAAAGAAAATAAACATTCTGTTTCAGCACAAAGTAGATTTATTAAAAACTCCATTTTGTTAAAGCAAGCTCTCAAAAATAATTTCGATGGCTGTATCTTTTGCATGCAAATATCACCACAGGTGTAACTACATGTATACATATGAACACACGGCTGTACTTTCTTATAAAGGGCGATCCAACAGTCATGACACAATTATCCCATCAAAAATTTCACATCTTTATAGATTTCTTCAAAAATCTTTTTTTAAATGAAAAATAGCTTTAAAAATCCTGGCTTATTTTTTCTTATGTTACACATCCACACACACACACACACACACCCCATCACAAATATTAAAAGACATATATAAACCAAATAAAGCATTTGAAAATAGTTTTTTTTTTCTGACTGGATGGAAGCAACATACACCAAAAGACATTCTCTCTTTCAGCATTTCTATAATGGTCCAATAGCAACTTTTAGCATGTGAACAAAATTTCCTTACATCAAAGTTCCCACTGGTGTTTAGTAGCTGTGATGAGAGCTGGTGGCGTTTTTATATCTGTCTAATGATTCCCGCTTCTACCAAGTGTTGTAATGGTCTGGGGCATATTTAAAATCAGCACAGAAAATACCAAAAAACATACAAACTTTGCATTGATTTTTACAGATCCACCCCTCAGAGGAAACAGCCAGGCAGGTACAATAGGAGCATCCCCTCACTGGGTCAATTGATCTATTTTCTTTTCTATTTTTCTGAGGTTTGCATGTCTACAGTACGCAGCAACCTTAAGATCTGTTTTTAGAGGTAAAAGCAGTGTACAGTTGACCAAAATAATAACTCAAAGTACCTCATAATCATAGATAATTCTTTTTTTCACAACCTGAATAAAGAATATAATTCTAATCGTCTGAAAAACATGTCTCTTAAAAATCAATGTTTTACCTTGAAAGAAAAATTAGAATAAATATTTCTGTGAAAGCATTCAGTGTCAGCATAGTTTTTCTCTTTTTTTATTTTTCGCTTCCTAAACTGAAAGTAATCTGCTTGCAATGTCCTTCAGCTGAGTATTTGCAACATCTAGTAAGTGGGCAGGCCAAACATGGTGGCGGTGTCAACGTATCCACTGGCGATCCTGTCATCCAGAATCGGCAGGGCGGAGTTAATGCCGACCATAGGCTTCTCTGAAGTTGGAGTGATGGATGCTGTGTAGCCATTCGATGTTGCTCTGCTTTCCACTTCTTCTTCACTAAGGCATATTCCCATCTCTTCCCCTGTGGACTCTTTATGAAGCAACAGCAGACCACTGTCATTGTTCACCGTCTTCACCCTGCTGTAATGCTCCGTTTGATGGCTCATGGTCCCGCCGTTTTCTTGGCCTGCAGACACAGGGTGAAGGAGAACCGTATTCCCACCACTGACCCTCTGGACCTCCACATATTCGGTGGACCTGACGCTGGGCGCTTGGACACCTAAGGAAGCTTCTGTGCGGTCACCGTGTACCCAGCTGATTTCGTTCTGAACCTGGAGGTGCTCTTTGCCCGTTGTCTGGGGATGGAGAGGATGTTGCTTGTGGTTGAAGTTGCACTCCCAGGGATTTGATATAAAGTCATTTTTAGTGCTGGGAGGCTGAGTAAAGTAAGAGGGAAGGGAGTCTGGGTTGAGCGGGCTATCTGAAAGGCAGTGTTTTTTCCCCATCTCAGGGGGGTTTGGTTGATTCATCAGGTTGTACCGGGGTAGTGGGGAAAACAAAGAAGGCGTGAACTTCCCCTTCTCAGAAATATCGGGGCTATTCTTTTCGTCACAGCATGCTAAGGGGTCTTCCTCCATGGCTTCCTCTGGGCTCGTTGGAACCCTCTCATCATGACTACCCTCCTGATCGGACTCTAGCGCCTCCTCTTTGTCTCCTCCGCCCTTATCGATGAGCAGGGTGTGGCTGTCACAGCTGCTCCGGCCAGAGTCATTGTCACAGGTGGAGTTTTCAGATTTGATGCTATCATCTTGAAGAACTTTGCTGTCTTCCATGATAAGTTCCTGCTCCTCTGGAACAAACACCTCTAGGTTTTCCACAATAAAGTCCTCATAATTGGATGTGGTTGGAGGGAAATCAGACACCACCAATGAGCTAAAGATGTCCTCAAACTTGCCATTCTACACATAAAAAAAAAAATCTGGTTAAAAATATGTCCTGAAGCAAAAAATAGTTTTAATTAGTTTTCAGCACAGTGAAGTACATGTGGATTACCTTGAGAGCTTTTTTATCAAATCCTTTGATTTTAGGTCCTGGCACCGGGGGCAGAACGTAGTGCTTCAGACTATACACACAGAAAGTTAGAAAGATCATTAGAATATAATTCCTTTAACTTCTGTATGTTGTAAAAGTGCGAAAATAAAATAGAGTATGAAGTTTGAAATTCTTGGTCATAACAGTAGATTTATTTTATTTATTCATTCTCAAAAAAAAAGTAGATAAAACCTAATACAATAGAGCCTGATCAAATGTCATCCTGCTAGTGTTAAATCTATATTATAATACTACTTGTCTCTTTAATAAACATCAACTCAATTTACAAAGAGAATTGCAAAGTTTCTCACGAACACAAGCAAGGCGACCAATTGATAAATGATCATTTGTCAGCATAAAAGCAGTATCATATAAAGTTTATGTTACTGCTTCAACCCCGTTCATTAGAACAAATTGTGAGCTACTACTGGGTTATTGGGTTAGATGTCATATTACATCTAAAGAAACTGACAATGAATTCAGCAGCAAATAAAACTAAATAATTGCTCAAATCACTGTACAGTTTTATTCCTATAAAGGAAATATGAATGTATATAAAACTGATGCAGACATAAAGTTTGGATTTTTCAGCACTGTTGGTCTTTAGTTTACTTTTATGCCTTGATAATTAAAACACAATATTAAATTACGTTGATGAAGATTCTCAGTCATCCAGGTCATAGTCATTCCGTAAAAGTTTCAAATCTTGGAAACCAAGTCCAGTAGATATTTTTTGAACTTTTACGGAATGTTAAATTACTGGAGTGTTTTTAAATCTCTTGTCAAAACCCACCTTTTCTTTTGGGCTTTTAACACCTAGCAAGACAGTGAGCTTTATTTATTTTTTTTAAATCTTCCTTCCTTTAATATTTCTTTTATCTTTTACCTATTTTTAATTTAGTTTTGTGAATTTTATTTCCCCATGTTTTAGCTGTTTTGTTGTTTTAACTGAAATGTTTATGTTGTTGTTTTTAAGTGCTTAACAAATAAAATTGAATTGGATTGAATACTCTACAACTTATTTGTGTGCAAAATAATATGACACTTTATCACACTTGTTAACTCACAAACATATTAAAATTGTTTTATGTAATTTTATGCATCAATACTCAGCCACACAATAAAATGAATAATAATAGTTCTATTTCTTTAACATACTTTATTTTTTGAATGTTTACTTCTTAGTTAGATTCTTTAGATTATGGCTTCAGGAGTTGACATAATTTATTATTATGTATTTTAAAGTCATACTGTAAATGACCTAAACTTTGTTAAATGTTAGAGGCCTTCAGTTAGATAAGTAAAGAATGTTGTAGTTTATAAACTGTCAGCAATGAGAGGGAGGTTTATATGCCAAAACTGCACTAGTTTGATTTTCCCTTCATTTATTAAAGTATGTTAATGTATATAATATCTAAACACATAAAACATGAACTCTTACTTGTGAATTTTCATGTATGACAGCCAGATGAAGGCGAAGGTGAGGATGATGAAGGCAGCAAAGACTGCAATAAGGATCCACATTGACCTTTCTCGTGGGAAATCTAAAAGAAACAAACCAATAAAAACAGATAAATGTTTCCATTCATCCAAAACCTCTTCATTGCTACAATTTTTATTTTTTAGATTCAAGTATTAAATCTTAGTGGACATGTGAAATACTGGGGGGCATTCAAGGATGCTTACCCTGACGAAACACTTTATAAATGAATTCATGATTTCAAAACATGCTTGTTCGGTTTTCTTTGTAGTTAATCACTTACTTGTGCCTATTAGGATAAGGTTAACTAAGCATGTAGGTCATAGATGGGAGTATGGCAAACATAGCAATGGTTTTCAGTAAAAATAAACCCTCCCGCAGCTTTCTACATAAGTGAATTCACACAAAAGCAAGTTGCAGAAGTCCACCCTTACCAGAAATAGCTAAAAATCCACTCCTCAGAGTTAATAATTTATTGTTTTATTAAAGGAGAATCCGATTCATGATATGTTAGATGTTGTTAAATCTAGTTCGGATATCTTGACTGTTTCAGCCAAAGTTTTGAAACCTTGCAAAAGCATTTATATTATTTTCACCAGCTGCAAACTTCAGGGTATTTTACTTTTATTTTGAACAAGTGGATTGAATTTTCATAACATAGTGAAAGCAAAATGTCAGTTATATTTTTATATATATTGTAATTGTGACTTTAAAGGATTTTAAACATTAGAGACAAATGGAAATGACTATCACAAAGTTGTGCATAATTGTGAATATTAATTTTGTTTCTTCAATTCTCAAGAGCAAAATCCTCCTAAAATCAAACATTTGTTTCTGAACAGATGATGGGCATGTTGTGTGCAGTGAATATCTAAAGGTCTTACAGTCCGGAACTTTGACGAACGTTGTGCCACTCCATTCACTCCAGAAGCCATGATCAGGCTTGCATCGAACCTGGACATGATATGTACTATCTGGTCTCAGGCTGAAAATGTTGAACACCTTCTGCTGGCCTGCAGGATGCACCTGAAAAAGAAACAATGTAAATAACAGTAAGATAAGTAACTAAAGCCACCATATTGTATGTTTTGTTGTTGTTTTTTTTACATGAAACTCTTTGTGACATATGAGTCAAGCCTTTATCATGAGGGTTTGGCTAAATGCCAATTTTCCACATTTGAAAGACAAATTCTCAAACCACCGGGCTACTCCATCCCACTGGAAAAAGTTTCCTTACCTCCCATTCATCTTCATTCTCCAGCTTGATTCGGAGCTCGTAGATTAGAGTAATCCAACCCGAACGGGTGTCAGCCTTTTCAGGAGGTTCCCAAGAAACTCGAAGGAAAGGCCAGTTTGTGTCCTCTATGACAGTCACTGTCACCTCTTCTGGAGGATTTGGCATTACTGGGGAGAAAAATCGGAGAGGACATCTGATTTACAGACCTGAAGAGAAACACTGAAAGTTTGTAGACTACAAATGTTCGATGTTGAGATCAGTGAAATAAGCTGACATTAACTGATACCCTTTCCATTTTTTTTTATTTAGTAAAGGTTGTCATGTATTCATCCATTTTCCATCACACTTATCCCAAGCGGGGTCACGAGAGGTGCAGGTGCCTATCTCCAGCTGTCTACGAGCCAGAGGCGGGGTAAACCCTGGACAGGTCGCCAGTCCATCACAGGGCAACACAGAGACAAACAACAATTCACGCATACACTCGCACCTATGGACAATTTAGAAAAGCCAATTAACCTAACAGTCATGTTTTTTGGGCTCTGAGAGCAAGCTGTGGGAGGAAACTGACATTAACTGGTACTCTTTCCAATTTATTTTTTTTTTTTTATTTAGAAAAGGTTCTCAAAGTTAACATTATTTTTGTTGGTATTTCCAAACTTCTTCTTCCAAAACAGTCAGGCAGTGAATACCTTAAAAAACTTTTAAAATACATGAAAAACATTACAGCATTAAAACTTGTTCCAGATGCTTTGCTTTATTCTGGGCTTTCTCTGATCTACACCAGTTCAAAATGATACCTACAGCCCAAACTACTGCCACCATTTTTGAACCCCTGGTATGGTTTCTTACAGTAGGTCTAAAGCCACTGTATCCAGAAAGCTCAATTTGCGACTCATCTGACAATCAAATGTTTCTCTAACAGACTTTAGGCTTCTCCATTTAGGAAGACACAAATTTCCCCTTTGCCTAAGGGTAGAACATTTTGAGCAAAGGCTAACTTCTTGGCATTATCCTTCTACATCAACACAAGTTTTATTCTTTCAAAACATATTTTCTACCTAAATTCTCCCAGTAAGACGTATCAGTGTTGTAATATCGAACCTTTATAGCATACTCTACTTTCCACTCACCGATGTAAACGACATCTATTTCAACGGGATCCGAAAATGCTCTACCCAGTGCGTTGGTGGCCACAACGGTGATGTTGTAGGTCACCCAGATGGATGTGTCATTCTTGTTAAAGAAGCAGGAGTTCTTTCCAGCCGTTTTGTAGTCGGGACACTCGTACACTGTGTCAGAGCTGACAGAGGAAGGAGAAGAGCATGTATTTGATTCTGCAATGTTACATGGGGAAAAACCAGTGCATATTATTTGTAATGCAATCTTTAGAAGAAAAAAAGTATATTTAGGAATGAACCAAGGTAATACATATAAAAAAATGAAAACATTTATTACAACTAATAGGAGACACTGGAAGAGTTAGACCTAAAAGGCCGGAAATATCTCAGTATTTTGACCACACTGCAAACCTTTCATTCCATCTTGTGTACTGATGTTACCTTGTGTTCCGTTTTGTTGGTATAAAGAAACACTTAGCAACCACTGAGGGCTAAAACCCCATTAGACCTGTGGTAGTTAAATGAGCAGAGGCTTTGAGAGTTGGTTTTGAACACATGGGAACATCTTGTTTTAACGGTGGCAGCAGCTGCTACTGACAGAGCAGAGGACTTGCAGGAAGCACTTCAATGCTAATCTAGATGAAACGTCTATTTTCAGGTAGTAGGATGAAACTCCCAAGCTCTTCTTTATGTTTTATAATACACTTGGATTAAAAAAATACAAGAATAAGACTCAAGCACAGATTTAAAAATGAATAGAGAGCTTACTGTCTTTCTAAAAATCTAACCTGACATTGCACATTAGAGTCAAATCTCTTAACCTAGGCTTGTAATAGACTGAGGACCAAGCTTTTAAAGCTCAGATGACTTTACCCATAACAAAATTGGTATTGTTTAGAAAAAAAAATTAAAAAGACAAAGATACCGGTAATAGAATATTATTTACAATTTAAGGGAAAGAACACACCAGTTGCGTACCATTTTTTAATCTCCAATCCAATTTAGGGTACGACTAGGCAAGGTGAAAAGATCTGCACAGATTTTTTTCAATTGTTTCTCTGTGCTACATAAAAATTAAAAGTTTATCTCATTTGACTTGGACAGATTATAAAAAGTAATTAAAAAATAAATTTAAAGAACACTAGTGCATTCTATAAAGGAAAGCCCCACTTTATGAGTCTGTGCGTCATCTCCAACTAGAACAGATAGAGATTGTTCTAATGCCTATATTAAAAACATGAGAACTACGCCTAAGAAAAGAAAAGTGAGGTCATTCTCATTCTTTTTTTTAGAGAGATACGCTGCGCTTACCTGCTCTGTCTGCCCCTCATTATTTTGTTTTTGTGAGGCTAAAAAAGGATCACTATTTTAGTATATCTGTTGTATCTCCTCCTAAATTAATTACTTTTTTTTTTCTCGAGTAGGTCGATAAACTGTGTTTCCTGTCCCACGTTGTTTTTGTGAGGCTCAAAGAGGATCACTACTTCATCCGTATTTTTTCCCTCCTGAACTCCTATCGTGGGTAAAGTATTTTTTTAATGTTTCATTTCATTGTTTCATTTTCATTTTTTTTTTTGTATGAGTCTATCCTAGCTATATACATGATGTGCACTATTTCTTTATGCAATTAACTGATTTTACTTTGTTGTGATGTTGTGTACGGTTGTGATCATCCCCATTGATTCTCAATGAGCACTAAACACCACAACCTCGTCCGACACGATTTTCTGTCGCAACAGGCTGAAATTCAGTGTGTTCTGGCCTTTAACTGGGTCTCAGAAAATATTTTTTTATTAAATGCATAAAATATTCAATCTGAACACCAATGTGAAGTTAAACAGTGGAATGACATGTCAAGGATGCTCTACAGTTTAAGGTCTTCTTTAAAGAGATGTAAGTTGATCTAAACAACCTGTTGCTTAAACTGGCTCCCACACTTCCTGGGTACAAACCACAAGGCAAATCCAATGGATAAAAGCCACACTTCAAACCGCTCTTACAACTTACATAGCTGGTATCTGAACAAAATGTTATGAGCACTGATACTGTGGGTTTGTACAGCAAGATAGAAAAAAAAAAGTTTAACAGTGATTAGGGCAAGCCATTATAAAGACCTCAGAAACTATCTGATAGGAGCTGATACGTGGTGTAAAGAACGTTCTGGATCAAATTTTTTTTTACCCTCCAAAAGAAGGTTGGGAGAGATAAGTTTAAAAACCAAATATTCAAGGGGTGAACAGGTAGATATGTTAAATGTGTCTTTGTCTGGTTGAGGAGAGTTTTGAAGTTAGGAGTCTTCATCAATCTGTGGCACGTAAACTCTTTAAATTTAGGGCTTTGCCACTTTTGTACCATGCATCCAATTTTTGAACATGTATGTTGCTGCTTATCTTCAGCAAATGTAATGATTTTGTTATTGAACAGATGGCCTATTGAACAGCCCTGTTGGAAAAAAAAAAGCTGTCATATGTGGACACACTGTATAAATCCCATGCACCTTTTTCTTCCTTTGGCACTTTCTTCCTTTGACTATTTGAGCTGATCTAACGAGTACGTTTCTCCACTGTGAGATTAATAAAGTCAATCAATCAATCGAAGTCCATCTACTATTTCGGTCCCAACATCATCCTGTTAACACAATGTCCTGTGATCAACGTAGCATAAGAGCACCTAGTGTTGCGTCTGAGGGAGCAATACGTCACATTCTACTGTATCACATGTCTAATGCAGCTCAAGTTAATCTGAGACAGATGTATTTCGATCGCTGGTACTAGTTCAATGGATTACGATTCTTTTTCTAATATGATCCCTGCGAGTAATCCAAGATGGACATATTTTATGTACATATAACAAAATGCAAGACAGTGACAACAGTGACAACCCTGAAAACTACAACTATAAAAGAACAAATACATCATAAACTAAACAAAAATATATGGCATTGTGGGCAAATATTAAAGCAAAATCTTGAGGAAATTATCCAGCTGAATATTTACTCTGGACATGCTGCAAAATAAGTGGCTTCAGAAAGACAAAATCAATGTTTTGATATAGCCACTTGAAAACCTTGATCTTAATTTAACAGAAATTAAGGACGGTGCAGAAATAATTAACCAGTTAAACTGGTTCACTCTGGAAGAATGGATCGAAATTCTAGCAAAATATTATAGGAAGGATAGAATAACACAGACTCAAGTAAAAGACAATTCTACCATGCTCTAAGAAAATTAGCAAAAAGAAAGATCTCCCATAAATTCTCACTTATTCAGGCATTTAATGAATGGGAATCATTTACACAGTCCTGAATAACCCAATAATATTTTACACTTAGTCAAATAGAAATTTTAGATAATAAGTTAAATTAATTTCAGACAGTTTAAAGAATTTCACTGTGGGCTGGTAGATGATATAGTCAATGTTTCCAATTAATGTACATATATGGAGTTATAACAAAACCATTTTTTGTTGAAGTACAATAAGCTAGAACATCATAATAGATATTTATTGATTGCTCCAATTGTTCCTTAGGCAAACCACACTGCTATTGTTTTCTCATTAAGTGCAGGGTGTGTTCTGGGCTACTGAAAAATGATACCAATAAATTTTCTCTGCACTCAGCTCTCAGGCCACGTCTAGGTTATTGCCTGATTTAATGAGTATATGAGGGAAAACAGCCATTTCTAACAGAGAGGTCAGCCTAGGAGGTGAGCAACAAAAAAATGAACCCACTTTCTCAAATCATTTTACCACAGGGACGTCCACGAAAAGACAAACCACTTATTTCAGCTCTATTTTTCCTTGATAATGGTGACGTTTTGCATAAATCTTGCAGATTCTGATTGCAAAAAATATTCTTCTAAGATAAGAACTGAATTTCTATCAGAGAATTTTCCTGCTTGTCAAAAATCATGTGGAAAGAAACTTTTAAGATTTGTATGGGTTCAACATTACCTTAGCCTTAGAGAAAAAGGAGACCAACTGTGTAAAAGTATCAAAAAAATTGAAATACATAGTTAAAAGATGTATTTTTCTTTTTTGTAGTGTAATCGGCTGGACCATGGCCTCGGCTGAACACATCAGGATCTTGAAGCAACATTATTACCACAAAGAGATAGCTAGTGATTATTGAAAGAAGGTTATACTAAAAGGTTATATGAAGTTAATATCTTACCAGAAGTAGATAATTCACTTGGTGTGTTCATTGAGCACTGTTGGTCCGGCTGAAACTGAAGCTAACAACAACTATAAGAGGGGCCAAGACTTCTAACATTTGGCAGTAAATGAAAACAGTATTTTCAGGAGTTTTTAGCAGATATTTTTTTCTGAATTGGCCGTCTATTCGAACAAAAGACAACTAATAGGACAAGATATACCAACAGTAATCTTCCTGGACTGGGACTGAAACATTTAAAGTCTCTCCAGAGATGTTAAAAGGTAAAGAACTTAAGAAATGACCATTTAACTAAACCTCCACATCATTCTATCTTCATACACAGCAGTATTCTTCCATAAGATGAGGAATGCTTTCTAAGTTTTGCTAATGTTTTGATCTTCTTGTTTCGTATAAAATCATTGGCCGTGCACTGCCTCTTACCGCCAGTGTCCATGTCAATAATTACTTGCTCCTTTGTAACCACCCAACGAAAAAATGAAGATTGATTAAAGGTTCACAAAATAGGGTCTTTAAAAGCTGATTATTCATATATGTTTTTTAAATTGGTCTTGGTCGTTCTCGGTTGAGCCATTAACTTTGACCACAGGGAACAACTCAATCTTAACTTATACTATAGATAAGGAGAAACATCAACTGCAGATTACTTCACAAATTCTGAACTGTCTGAACTTTATGGCATTAATATTTATCTTATCAGTTTTTAGTTGAAGTTTCATATCCAACAGACAATCTTGACAATCAGTCCATTCAAACTAGCAGTTTACTTCTGGTATCAAATAGGACCTTTCTGATTTTAGTTTCCATTTACTTCCTTATTAGCATGTATTTTAGCTAAGTGGATTAGACTATAAAGGAAACCAAATCCACTCTCCTTTTCCATATCTGTGTTTCATCATTACCACCCTTGCTCACCTTTTAAACTCTACCTATGCAGGAACAGGCAGTGCTGCATAACCCTTTACAATCTTTATCCTCTTACGCCAGGCTGCTGCCCTCAGTGATTCACACCATGTGGTTCACACTCAATGGTTCACCGAGAGGCCAGCAGGTGAAATATGTAACCACCACTCTGTTAAGAACTTCTCACAGATCAGTATGAATGATCTTGTATGCTTATGTTTATATCTAACTAAGTAATAAATGTTATATTTTTCAGTGTTCCAGATTATAATATCATCTACAATTTAATAGATCTATAATTTTACAGCCATAAGGCTAGTAAGGAAATCGGGATGCTGGTTAGACATCTTGAAAAGTTGAATATAGTCCTGAAAGAAAACCTATTGGCTGCTCAAAATGACTGAATATTGATTAGGAGGGTCAACTTCCAGGAGGTCAGTGATAATAAATATACAAGCCCTGATCTACTAAAAGATTGTGTGTGTATAAACACATGCAAAGTTGATAGCACACACAAAGCTAACCTATTAGATGGGTGCAGCCAGAATTGTGTCTGTGACTATTCTCAGAATAGTAGATGTGATCAATTTTTACATGTTTGGGTTCATGAATTAACAGAACATATGTTGAACATCAGAACATGTAAAATACTGGGAGAAGGGATTTGCATATTGTTAAAACTCACCACTTAGAATATAATTTTTATCTAACCTGAAACAGATTTCGCTTTTTTGTCTATATTTAGCACGTTTGGATGACAGGTGCAAATACTCACATGTCTGCAGCCACTGTGGCAAGAGGAGAGATAGGCGAAATCACAGATAACGGAGAGAGGGATTATACCATAAATGTGTCAATATATTATGGCGGATATATATTGTTTATCGAGCAATGATCTTTTATGAGAAAAACTCCTTGCAACACTGCATTTCTTGCATGTGGATGAATTATTTCAGCACACCTTCACAGTTAGTTGTATCTCCCAAAGTAGATTTTCCGATGTGCTGTCAAGTGGGCCAGTTTCACTTCAAGAAAGAAAGAAAGAAAGAAACTGGGTGTTGCTCAGCCTTAACCCTATCACTACATATGTTTAATTCCAATCATTGATTAACTGGAAAAGTAGTTTTGAACAAGTTTGTGTTTTGAAAATGGGAACATTTTTTAAATGACCTGCAGCGCTCATGAACATGAAGGTTCCCTTTTTTTCTGTTTTGTTATTGGTAAAATGTATTGCCATATAGGAAAATAAGTGGCTTCTCTCTGTTGATTTTTTATGGTTTGTCTTCACACAGCAAATGGAAAGAAAATGCACAATCTGCAGCAGCTCCTTTAACCTGGCTTTCTTGTTTGTAAAGTTATTTAATAGGAACAATGTTTCAAGTAAGGCAAAATATAATCAAAGTATGTCTCCTGTTTTGCCATATGCATTGTTGAACCACTTATTTGTAAATCTTTGACACTATCAATATCATACATCCATACTTCCAAATTATAATTATATAGTACTTTGTGTTGATTCGTTATATAAAATTCCTTTAAGAAACATTCAACTTTGCAGCTGTAAAGTAGCAAAAAGCATAAAAGTTGTATGAATACAACTTTAAATCAATGTATTAATTTATATTTGTTGTCATTGTATGTGCTGGAAACAGATACCTAACGTTTTTTTTAAAGAAACAAAGAGTTGCTGTAATTTCAATTATATTGTTAGTCTGAAATCTACCTAATTTGTCATTCATGTAGAGTTGTAGGCAGTTCCCATTAAGAATCTCTATTTCTCAATGACAAACATGCACATACATGCACCAGTTAGGCTCAATAAGCCCTTGCCAGAAAGGAATGACTATGTGTGCATTCCTAAGCCTTTTTCCATCTGTATGCAGCTCCAAACATGCATGTACACTGTTATTTTATTAGAACCTGCACAGCTCTTGCTTTTAAACTTTTCAAAAATGCTTGCTTGTGGCTGTGCCACAACCAAAGCAGAGGAAAGTTTATCTTTTAGTTAACAAAAAAGTGGATTGTTCCATTTTAAAGTCTCAGATTAAAGATTTTTTTCTTTACTTTTTACTATCCTATATTTAGTCTATTTAGACTAGACATGCTTTGTCTTTTTTAAGAGCATGTAAATAATATTTTAGAAATACTGAAAATACAAAACATGGCCGCTCTCTAACTGGCTCACAACTATTGATGCTTCATGAGATAATGAAGCCTTTCTATATAGCATCAGCAAATGTCAATAAACCAGAGCAACATAAATATTATAAAAGACCTAGGAATTTACATTATACACATTCCAAAGGATAAAGGACATAACTAAAATTCTGTCAAAAGACCATAAAAAAGAAAAAATGTCAATAAACTTCATAAAAAATAGCAAAAAGACCAGATGCTTCTATTCAAATCATGATGACTAAAAATATACTAAGTAGGAGGCTACACAACATGTGATACATAATGCTAAATCTATTATCTTTATTACTAACAATAACCATTTCCTCTTTTGAAAATGTTTCGAAAACAAAAAACTAACCAAAATCTCATGCTGTGTTTTCCTTAATAAACTATTCATATAAAGAAAAATTGGAACGGGACGTATCCAAAGCATTGACTGATACCAGGTGTAAAACCTGAGTCTCTACATATCCACCTCCATATCCACAGCCCATAGAAAAGGTAACACTATATTAGACAGGGGCATATGCTGACTGTTTTACTTTGATGTGGTGCATTAACATCACAACATTTAGAGGGTCTTACTTTTCTTTGCGATAGTACAAGGCATAGGTGGTTGGCAGCCCTCCATCAGAGCCTGGCTCCCACCAGCAGGTGAAAGTCTCTTTTTCGGGAGAGCGACAAATTATATTTTTAGGTGTCCCAGGTGGGCTGAAACCTAAAAACAAAATAAAAAAAAGTAAAAAAAAAAAGGTTCCAGAAAAAGAATTACCATAATTTCAATTGTAACCAAGTATTTATAGGTTATTAATTATTATTAATTTCGATATATATATATATATATATATATATATATATATATATATATATATATATATATATATATATATATATATATATATATATATATATATATATATATATATATATATTGGCCAGCTAACATTCACTCATTTCTTGTTCTTGGATGTCTTAACTCCTCAGCAGAAAACACTAAAAGTTTAAGCCTGCATGAAGACAAATACCTGCCTTGATTTTAAAGACCCCAAAAAGGGGGGGGGGGGAATCATTAATGATGTATGGAAACATTTTTCAAGATCTTTTTATCCAATTATTCGCTTTCCTTTTTATCATTCCTGCTCTTTCCTTTATTATAACCGCAACATAAAATTTATCAAAATGCACATAATAATATTTTTATAATAAAGAAAACATTTGAAACTTAAAGAGTATTTACATTAAACTTAAGGATTTAAAGAGTTTCTGGTACATTTTATCTGCCTGGAAAACAACATGAGTCAGTAAACTAGACCTGCTGTCATCCAGACTGAAGAACAGAAGTTGGTAGAGCACTACCTTAAAATTGTTTTACTCAAGTAAAAGTTAAAAAGTATTTTTGAGTACTGAGTAACTTTTGGATAATAACATCAGATTTAATGTTTATACATGATGCTGGTAAATAGATTGTGTGCAAGATCTGGCATTTTAAAAACTAAAATGCCTAAAAAATACATATAAATGTTATGAATATAAAAGAACAAAATATGCAGAAGAAATACTTTGTAAAAGTATGACATGCTAACAAACTTCCACTGTTAATATCTACTGTTTAGCTGATTTAGAATAGTTCATATTACTCACATAGGACAGTAGTCAGAGACGTTGGAGTAGTAAAACTTTAAAAGACTATTACTCAAGTAAAAGTAAGAAGTACGGCATAGTAAACCTACTCATAAAAGTACATTTTTTTTACTCAAGTAAATTTAACTGAGTAAATGTAAATAATTTCTACCCACCGCTGCTAAAGAAGCACACAAGCATACTACCAAAATAAAATAAAACAGATTTCTGTACAAATTGCATTACATTTAAATATTTCCCCTTTTTGTCAAGAGCTTTATGTTTTCTCTATATATCCTTTCTCCAAAAAGCTGCTTCTTGGTTGGTGTTTTGTGTGTATCTCTGCTGCTTTGCTAGGATGGGCATAACTTAATGTTATCCATCTAGAAATGGTACATCTGGTATTATAGTTCTGACAAAAAGACAGACGGAATGACATGTTTTAACAATTAAAATAGATTATGAAAGTTTAGTATAGTCTTGTTTTTTTTAAATAACATCCAGTGTTTTTCCCTATGAAGTAAAAAATAGATAATCGGAATTCTCTTTTCACCAGACTTTTCCAAACTCCATATATTTAAAGTAGAAAGATGATCAACACTTAGGCGCTATTAATGTGGAACATATGAAAACTGCATTGGTAACATGGAGCTTTTTGAATGCAGCTGTTCCATCAAGACCTCACAGGTTGCACACTTAACAATTTCCAACAAGACAACCAACTTTTAAAACTTTCACACTTACATTATTTCAAGGATCAAACTGAAAAGGAAGTAAATTAATTTGAATCTCTTTTTGAAATCGGGTTGCATTGGATTGATTTAAATATTTATTTTTTAGGAAAATTTGTCATCCTGTAAAGTGCCTTAAAGGCTAAACATTTTGTTGTTTAAAAAAGATGAACAGAATAAATCTGATAAAGAAGACAAAAAGAACAGTGTTATAAACACTAAAGTTAACAAATGAACAGAATGAAAACATGAAGGCGTTACATTTAGATTAACAGGTGCAAATCAGCTCGAACTAACTGCTCTATTAGAGTCATTATTTCCTCCCACATGGAGGTGCATAGGAGCAGCTGAACATGGATTCATTACAAGTTGGAAAATTGATTTAACTAACAGACTTTGAGAATAAACGAAACAAAAACAAAGCATATTAATATTGTTGTTAAAATGCCTCCTAAACTGAGGGAAATGCAGTTTAAAACAGGTCAGAATTGGTTCACATTCTTCACAGATTAAAATGATCATTAACAACGACTAAAAACAATGGATCTATAAGTGGTCCCTAATTTGATTAGAATGTGAAATTAATGCAAAACCAAGTGCAAACTTACTCTCTCCTGCTGCAAGCTGGACAAATACTAGCAGCAAGCTCAGCACAATAACTCCCGCAACGTTCCTCATCATGGCAACACAAAGTCTCTGCTGTCGGTTGGAGCTGAGGAAACACAAACAAAGACAGGTGAGCGTGTCAGACTGGCTTATCCAGGAACTTGACCAATCAATAGACCCATTACCCATGATGGTAAGAGAGAAAGTAAAAACCGTTTGCAACAAACACTCAAGTTCTGACTAAGAGCCAAGCGATGCACACAAGGATAATATTAATACCATGCATACACATCTGGGACAGATAAATACTATTGCAGAAGACTTGCTATTAGAGAACAAAAAAAAAAAAACATAAAATATTGTATACCTTACAAACAAGGTCAAATGTTTACTCTTAAAACATTTGTGCAGTGATTTAGAGCAGTCTAGCCATCCTACCGAGTGTTTAAGAGATAGAAAGTGAATATATGAAAAAAAAAAGCCTTCCAAAGCAAATGGATGTTTTTTGAAGGATTAAAAAAACTAAATAGACACATTCTCTCAATGACTGTCTGACTACCTCTACCAGCTGGCACATGCAGCGTAACTGATTGCATAACCTGAGTTAGTGTTAGAGCTCCATGACAGCAGGAGGCTGGATATTATTGCTTGTGATAGACTAAATAGGCTTCCCCGTTTGCCAAGCTATGATCGGATGCCTTTATTGTTAATCTCTGTTTGAAAGCTTTTCTTTCTAAAATGATATATAAAATGAAATGTGACAGAAGACCAAAGAAACAGCAGACACATAGAAAAATGGACCAAATAACGCCCTCATCTGCTGTTCCCTAAAACAAGGATTTAATGCTGAGACCCCTCTGTGAAGCGCCTCCTGTGTAAGACACACAGACCTTATGATGCAAATGAACCTTTCTATGAGTGCTATGGATTTTTATGCAAACACATGTAAAACAAAACTGCCTTCTTCTTATAAATCCCCCTCCTTTTAACTTTTTACAGGGCATAGTAAAAATGACTGTTTCTCATCTTCAATGAAAAACATGTCTTTATTACTAAATAAATAATAAAACATTAATTTGTATGTAAAGAAATATCACTTTTTGTTTGTCTGCTACTTTTTCTACCTGTCTACACAGTCAACCTGTTGGTCTCTGGGATTTTGCTGTTTTTCTGGTGTGAGCTTAATGTTACAGAGAAGATCTTTGTTGGTGGCTGAGCTGACCGGTTTTGCTGCACACCTGAGAACATTTCTCAATCAAGATGACTAGCACGAATATAAGGAGGCAAAGATCGTCTCTCTTTGCCTTATGATAACCCCCTGAAGTATTTCAGCCAAAACCAGGAACAGCTTGTTGAATTTTGTCTTCTTGTGAATCTCATTAAATCAGAGTCTGTTATTGTTCAATACAACAGGTACATCTCAGTTTGTCTCTTATCTTCATGGAAAAGGTCTGATCTGTGTGGAGCAGCTCTCAGTCTTCATCACCTACCTACCAGCTCTTAAGCATGACGTCTTTTTCAAGTACCGACCCTCTCAGATCTCACTCACATTCTCCTGGATCTCTGGGGTTCAGTCCGCAAAGCCCACTGAATCAAACCCCTACAGATCCATGCTACCTCCCCTTCATCTCTCAACTAAGCAAATCAATCAGTCCTTAGTTGTCATCAACCAACTCCTTCCTCATCAGTCTGCTTTCTCCCCTCAGACCAACAAGAAAGTTCAACTGGCTTCCTGCAGTTCTCCGCTTCCAGATTCTTGTTGCTATCACCACGATCAGTTAAAAACCCTCTGATTAACAGATGGAGCAATTTATAGAAATGTTCTAGGACCTGCTTAACAGAACCACTACCACAGGGTCTACTCCCTCTACAGCCAACTGCAACTGCTCCCGCAACTTCTCATTTTCTTTGCCAAATCCCCCCACCCGGGCCTTATGCAGGTGAAATTGGAAGATTCCATGGATTGCTGTTACGTTGTTTACTGGTTTTCAGTCGGTCTTTTTTGTTTGATAAGGATATAATCTCCTTTGTGAGCCCTGCAGTGAGCTGACGCAAGATTTGGGGGTGAGTTTCAAATTCAAATTTCAGCCAGTATCAGACTTTGCCACTGAGTTTTGAACTCTAACGGCCTCTTTAGCCTTGAACCCTGAACCGTTAAAGAGAGCTTTTCTTCAAGCCTTGGATGAAAGAATTAAGGCTGAACTAGCGAGCAGAGAGGAGTCTAAAACTCAAGAGGAACTAATATTCCTGACTGTAAGGATTAACAATTGATTTGCAGAAAGAACCTGGGCAAAACAATGGAATAATTTACCTCATTCCTAATCTCATCTTCCAGATCGTTCACATATTTCCAACTCTTCCTGGCCAGATCTGGAGGAACCGATGCAGTTTGGTGGAACCCAGTTTTCACCTGAGGAACAACGACGTGAAAATTTAACTCTTCCTGTATTGCTTTCTCTAATTGACTCCTCTCTATGACGGGCAGGACATTGCAATTAAAGTTTGGCTATCAACTTATGAAATGAACCTAAAGGCTTCCAATCAGAAAACTCTCTCCCAGATTCATAATTCCATTTGAAATCCAGGCAGTGCTCAATTGCACTGCGGTTTGCCTAAAGCTGGCGGATCATAGAAAGATTCATCTTGTTTTTTTACGTCTCTTATTAAGCCTGTTTAGTCCTCTTTTCTACCTTCAGACCAACAACCAAGTTCAACTCACTCACTGTACTTCTCCATTTCCATTCCTGTTGCTTTTGTAAACGAACCATTAAAATTAACTGGCTCTCTGAGATTCTGCATGTGGTAAAAAAAAAAAAAAAAAAAAAATCTACAAACCAACATGACACAACCTGCATGACAGAACATGTTCCTTTAATGCTATTCCATACGGCGAAACCCAGCTAATTACCAGGTTGAAAACATAAAGGTGTAACATCTAACTTAGGAGTGGCTGTTGCTTTCACAACTATGCCATTGCAGCATTGTATGAAGGTTGGAGCACATGGATACCTTAGCTTGGTCTGCTTAGACGATTGGGATGAAATATTTTCTTACCAACTCTGCTGTTAACTTCTTTACAAATGTATCTCTAACTTGTTTACTCTTTAGGGAGGTTTAAAGCTGCTCCAAACTCATTTTGGAAGATGGAATAATTAATTTTTTCAAAAAGAAAGGGGGAAGGAAAACTGCAATTACATGTAAATTTAGTTTATTATGATATAAACTGGATATACTCCTCCTATTTTACAAATATGGACCACTTTGTGTTGGCATAGCATGTTGATATTTTTCAAAATACATTCAGGTTTCTGGTCATAATGTGATAAAACGAAGCAAAATTTTTTGAGCTATGGTAGTGCATAAAGGTGCTACGTGCTTTTGCTTTGTTTGTTTCATTTTATTGCTGCATAAAAAATATCCCTATCTATCACAAACTGTTATTAGAGTTGGGTTTTCTACGAAAGGCCTTTCATTTCCACCTGCAATATAAACGTCGTACAGGGAAATACTGTGAAATGGGTGATTAGACATGCTCTGACCCATCTGACCCATGCCAGCAACTCTCTGGTTGCAGTTCACAGCACAGTAAGAGCCTCCAGCTAAATTCCTCCTGGTTCATATGTTGCAATGCTGCTCAGGGGTGTGGCTGCCTGGGTATGTGTCGTCAAGTAGCATTTGCGATAACATTAGCTTAAGTCTGACTTGTGTAATAGCCGAAGATGTGTCTGAAAAGGTGTTTGAAATCTTTCTATTAATACATTCATTCTGGAGACACCTTGTTTCCATGCTGCCACACTGTAAGAACCTTAGGACACAAACCATATCCAGCTCATCTTTATGGTGCCTTAATTTTAGGAACGTCACCATGATCTGATAATTGGCATTAAGATCAAGGCGCAGGATTAGCCTCCTGCTACATATAGCTGTCTTATGTAACCAGTAGCCGAGACTGCGGGCCTTAAGCTGTTGGCCATGGCAGCAATGTTGTTGTTTGGTTTTTTTTACTGAATATAAGGGTGGGACATAATTATAATGATGTTGCAATCAGACAAACAGTAACTTGGGAAAAATCAAAATACAGTTTTCAAAATATGTTACTTTTATTTTGAAGAAATATTAAATTTTTAAGGGGGTGGGGGGGGGGGAGTGATCCAAACCACCAGGGACATATCTCAATTGTATCTTGGATTCAAATGGATGCAAACCTTTCTAAAAGTTATATTAAAGTCTTTTTTTCCAGTCTTGGGGATTATTCAGGTGTTTTCTGGAAAATGCAGCGTTGACCTTTGTGTTCTGTTTGGCCAGGCATGCTTTTCACTATGGAACTAACCGATGGACGCCATTTTTCTCAGTTTGTTTCTTGAGACCACTGATGCCTTTTTGGAGGAACTTTGGTCAGGTGGCTGCTTAAAAAAATTCATCATTGCTTCATGTTTTCTCCATTTGTGAATAAAGGCTCATTGTGGCTAATCTTTATGTTCCTGTTGTTGAATTTCCTTATTTCAGAGCGTGACATGCCTCTTTTTTATATATATATATTTTAGCCTATCTTTAGATATTAACATCTATTTGATGGAGAAAAAACATGAAAAAAAGAGCAAATAATTTTTTTCACAGGACCATGTGTATTCGCTGAATGCCATTCAATCGTCATTAGATATTTTATTTTTTGGGTCTTTAAATAGTTCTGGATTTCAGCCTTTCGGTTCCTGACTTGAAACACCTTTAATTTTTCTTTTTAAAGGGATATAATTTGCTTCCACTTACTTTCCTTCAGCTTATTTGCATTAAATTGCATCCTGAAATGCCTCATCTCTGCGGAGACCAACCATAGCACACATGAGGAAGCCATATCCAGGCAACAGCATGCGCAACATTCAACCTAGGTTTACTTGATGTAATATGCAAGTGCACTTTCACATACGTCTCCATAGCATGAGAATGGACTGACGTTACAAAATAACTGAATGGTATGTGTGAATGCTGTTTAAAGTAATAGTAACATGTTTTGTTCTTCTGCTTCTTTCTACCTGATAAATAGGTATGTCTCGTGCAGAAAAAAGTAAAATCATTTATCAGATATGTGTTAATTGTTTTGCCAAAAAGAGCACTGCAAGTAAAAGACAAAACAAAGAAGGCAGATTTCAGATGAATTGTTAATGAGCTGTGTCCTTCTCTGGTCTCTCAATTTCAGAAGGTGAGAAGAGGATGTATTAAATGGCGTGCTGAGGGCAACTGTGAGCAGGGGGAGGTGTCGCCTGGCGGCACACGGCGACACCTCTCTGTGTCACCGAACACCTTTGCACAGATGACGCGTGCGTAAAGTTTCTCTCTCATGAATAGTCAAAGCATTCTCAGGAGGGTAGACCGACAGCAGAGTTTAAAGCATTCCTGTTTCCCAGAACTTGTTTGTTTTCCCCCAAAGATTATAAGAACAACCAGAGGAGAGCACAATATATCTTGAATGATTTACGGTGCATTTGTGTATTTTAGTTTTTTATTAACTTAAGTTTAGTGTTGTTTGAAAAAAAAAAAAACTAATGAGACTATTTGTGTTCTTGGTAAGCTAATACTTTCTGTAACGCTGAAAAGAAAAAAACAAACTCTCAATTTCCAGGTAGTTGATAGAGTATTTACAAACATAAACCGTAAAGATGATGTTGTTCAACAGGTTTGGCGTGACTCAAATACGATTCGTTATGTCAACAGACCCTCAACTGTTTAACCCTTTATGAGTGAATTTATGGTACAATATGTTTTGTGATTCTGGATGCCAAGAACATGCAGGCAGTTTGGCAGAAGGAATAACAGATACCAGAAATGTCTGAAACTTCTCCTGTATCATAAGCTTGACCTGAGAGCCTGCTCAGACTGGAACGAACTTAACACTTCCAGGTATTGTAAAAAAACCGGTTTTGAGCAACAGCACAAACAGATTTCTAGGAACTATGTTTTCCTCCCTCATATAGGTAGCCTGGGTGAGGGAGCAGAAAAACGCAAAGCCGAAAGGTTTAAAAGGCTTTCAGGAACACTGAAATGGTACCAACCCATGAGCCATTGTATATTCTGAATAAAGTGAAAATTCTGGGAAACGTTTAATCTGTATCAGGGTGGTTATTCTATATCAACCTAACCTATGGTATGTTGCGGAATTTTATTTATTTATTTTTTTTAAATAACATGTATATTTAAGTTCAAAATACATCAAATTAAGCAGAGATATACTAAAATATGCCAGAAAACTAAAGATACACTGATTCCCTTTACACTGATACTTTTAAACAGGAGTTTGAGAAATTGAAACGTGCATCGTAACACGCGGAAGTTCATCTATTTATAGGTAAAAGAATAATAGCCGTTCTTAGGTTGGATTCATTTAAAAATTATGTTTGTGTTTGGGCATCGGGTGGGAAATAATTAAGGAGGCAAGTTTAAAGGTAGAAAAAGTTTGAATATTTGCAGAATAAAACACATATGTGCTTCAGGGTAGAGCCTTTCACAAAAACACAAGCACAACTTGAAAGTAAAGATATGCAAAAATGTGGGGGTCAAGAGAACTGCTTAGAAATTTGTAAAAAGAACTGCAGGATTTTCTATCTTAGCTCTGCATTTTAATGCCTGCAAAATTTCCCTTCTTGCCCAACGTATCCTACGTCTGGCAGATTGAACATGCTAAATCAGCTTCAAGGACAGCAAACACACCCTTCCCTTGTTGAAGCCCTAATGATCCCACTTATCTTAAGTCACATGAAATCAAAACACCCGTTACAAGATAAAAGCACCGGCTTAATTTATGAGCCATTTCTCCCACTCTGGCAACTTTGTTGGAGAAAGCAATATTAGTTCAGCTGCTTTCGGACGCTTAAGCCCAATGTTTGAGTTCATTTATCTGCCAGAGAAGCATGCACATGAAAACAAATCTACATAATTGTCAAATGTGGATCTGATAAAGGTGACTCTTTTGGGAAGTTTTAGTGTGGCTTAGACTGCACGCCACTCTTTACATTGAAGGAATCTTTACTTTGAAGGTTTATTTACAGCCAGGGATGCAATACACGTTATATCAAAGAGGATGAGTCTGTAATTACTTTTCAGAAGCAATATTTAAGACTCATCAGAACTTAGTTGGGAACCAATTTAACCTCTAATAATGAAGAAGGTATTTGCTGGGTCCTTTAAATAAATAAAACCCCTAACATTTCAATACTTTAAATAGTTTAAAGCTTTTTAAATGGTTTATTCAGGTCTTGGACATTAGCTGCGAGGCTGAAGTTAATTAAAGGCTTGTGTCGGACTTAACGGAAAGAGTAGTAAACTGCCAGGTAAGTAACAGAGTAATCCAGTATTGAGATGATCAGCCTAGTGCTATAAAGGGGGGGAAACTTCTTCCACTCTTTCCAAACCTGACATAGGTCGGTATACAGAATGAAGAGGAGAATAACCCCGGTAAACTCTACTGCAACCCTGCATATTCCATCCTAAATATATATATATATATATATATATATATATATATATATATATATATATATATATATATATATATATAGAAAGATTTTTTTTATTAACATTTTATTGAGTGCATTTTCCAAAATTGATATACATCCATCACATCCATTTCCTAGGTAGACCTTACATAGGCAAATTAAATTCACAACAGTCCATGCTTGAGCTAGATGACAATTATACTTTTTGTAATTTTAACATTTTATCCTAACTCACATTCCTTCATGGGAAAAAGAAAAAATCCCATCACCTCCTCTTTATTTATGGATATAAGTACACTTTTTTTTTCTTTAACAAAAACAAAAAAAGAAAGAGAGAGAAAGAAAAAACACCCAATGAAAAGAGACCAAAACTATAGAAGAACACTCTAAATGTTCTCAATCCCAATTTTGTCAAATGACAAACTCTGATCTCAGTTTTCCCAATGTTTCTTAAACTTGCCAGATTTTAAACTAAAAGGAAAAAGTTAGCCTTTCCATTCTATAAATATTATGCATTACTTCAACCCAACCTTCACTTGTTGGAGGATCTGTTTTCAGCCAATTCCTAGTTCTAGCTTTCTTACTGTCTACCATCATGATCCTGAAAATATATTTATTATCCTCTGAGGTTGTCCGCTTATTAATCCCTCTTCCCGTGTATAAAGTGTTCCATTCTAAATATTTCATAGAAATTTAAAATAAAGGTATGGGAATAAAATGAAATTTACCGGCAGCTGAGTCTTCCTGGTTTTTCTTGGACAGCTGGGGAGGTGCGCACACGCTCGGCTGGACCGTGGGAAACTGGTTAGACGGCAGTCCGGTAAGTGAAGGACGCGCGACTGGCACCGTCCCCGCGCCCTGATGATCCAGAGGAGGGCGGGTTGGTACCAAGGAGGAGCTCAGCCTCCACGCAGCGCTGCGCAGCGCAGGACCCGCCCACGGGTTCCTCCTCAGAGAGCTCAGGGACTCAGTAACAGATTAGAAATAGCCATTAGAGTATTTTCAAACTTTATCATTAAGGATATTTCTTTGTAATTACATAATTATACTATCTCCATCTTTAAAATTTTCCTGATATCGGAGTGAATTTTTCCAATTTGCGCTAAAATTACAGAATTTCTTTCTATGATTAATGCAAGAAAAACAACAATGACCTGACAAGCAGGGGCGGAGATAGATGGGGGGCCAGGGGTGGCCATGGCCACCCTTTGTCGCATTCTTGGTTCCTTTTATGTTTTACTTTGCTTCATGTTTTCTGATTTTATTGGTTTAATTCCTATTTTGTTGTATTTTCTGGAGATATTTTAGTTCTAATGTTTTTATTTGTTGCACTCTTGTGTTGGTCTCCTTTTCTCTAGCTCCTTTCTAGACTCCCCTTAGCAAAAAAGTAGTATACTTGAAGAAAATTCTATTAAGAATACTTAAGTATAAATTTAGAAAGTATACCGAACAATGTATTTTTAGAGTACTAGAAGTATTACTTTAGTAATACTTCTTCCAAATTGGGACATTTTAAGTTTACTAAAGTATACTTAAAGTATACTTTAGTAAACAATAAAGTAAACAATAGTATAGTCAAGTACACTTGACTATTTTTAAGTATATGAAATATAGTTTAGAATAAGTAAACTCTAAGTGCACTGCCTGATTTTAAGTATGAAATTAGTGCACCTTTTGAATAAACTACTTTTTGCTAAGGGTCCTCTCTTCACACCTGCTGCCAATCTGCTTGTTAGTCCTCTCTTTGTTCAGTCTACTATAAATACTCTCCTTGTGCAGTTCCTCAGTGCTGGTTCCTCATCTTACTTCATCTTATCTCGTCTTTTGCCATCTTTACCTGGCTCCTTGTGGTTGTTTTCCCCTGATGTCTCCATGGTTCTGGTTTGTTTTACATTTTTCATGTTGGATTTTTGGATTCTTACCTCTGTTACCTGTGTTTATTCATTAAATCTTCAATAAACTCACCTCTGCCTCCCTGCCTCTGCATTTGGGTCCTCTAACCTCAACCAAACCTTGACACCCTTAGCCAACCATTGGCCACCCCTACCATTTTTGTGCCCCTCTAATACAGATGGCGGAGGTGCGCCAATATTCAAATACATTCTAATTTTTGTGGTTAATTAAACACATCAATATCAATTAAGGTAAGTACAAAATTCATGCTCTTTCAGAACTAGATGTTGTGTTATATGGGGTAAAGAGAAAATTATGTGTATCTGCAAGTCATCTAGGAGTCTTCAGTGAAATCAAAGATAGATAATTTTAATAACAACTTATCAAATAATCAATTTATGTAGATATTAGTGCTTGTAAATATAAATTTTATGCAGAATGTTTATTGATACAAGTATGTGAGTAATGACAATGGAAAAGATTTACGCCCCAGATCTCAATACCGAAGAGCTTTATACACTATACCTTTTATCTAGAAATTATGGATGTTTAAATATATGCATCAATTTGTTAGCAAAGGCTGTAGGAAAGTATGGTTTGTCTTTATTTAGGAAATATGGATGTTTTGCTCGTTAATTTTCCTGTTGGAACAGTGTAGATTGAGCCTGAGGTTCTGGCGCCTATCCACTTTCGGCCACTCCTCAGTGTACACTGATTATTGCCTGGACACCCTTATAAAAATGTTTTGGCTATGCCTCTGCAAACAAATAAAATAACCGGTATAAACTGTAAAATAATGATGCCATGATATTTGTAACAGTCACAACATTTAAGAAGGCACACGTTTCAGATGTGTGGCATCATTGGGGAAATTAAAATGAATTCACCAAGACATCAGGTAGAGAACTGCAGCTTTCAAAAAGTTTGATACATTATTGGGAGTCATGAGCTGTTTTACACAGGGGCCAAAAGGAGCCAGTGCCCTTTAAGAATCCCTTTATAGAAAGCATGCACAAAAAACTTGAAATATTAGTAATTTTTCCATGACATAAGTGTATTTTTAAAGAAAATCTGCATTTAAAAATCCTTATATCTTATAATAACAAAGGCAATAATAAGTGATGATCTTATACAGGTGCTGGTCATAAAATTAGAATATCATGAAAAAGTAGATTGATTTCAGTAATTCCATTTAAAAAGTGAAACTTGTATATTATATTCATACATTACATACAAACTCATATATTTCAGATGTTTATTTTGTTTAATTTTGATGATTACAAATGACAACAAATGAAAATCTCAAATTCATCATATCAGAAAATTAGAATATTGTGAAAAGGTTCAAAATTGATGGCCCCTGGTGCCACACTCTAATCAGCTAATTAACTGAAACCACCTGCAAAAGCCTTTAAATGGTCTTTCAGTCTAGTTCTATAGGCTACACAATCATGGGGAAGACTGCTGACTTGACAGTTGTCCAAAAGACGACCATCGACACCTTGCACAAGGAGGGCAAGACACAAAAGGTCATCGCTAAAGAGGCTGGCTGTTCACAGAGCTCAGTGTCCAAGCACATTAATAGAGAGGCGAAGGGAAGGAAAAGATGTGGTCGAAAAAAGTGTACAAGCAAGAGAGATAACCGCACCCTGGAGAGGATTGTGAAACAAAACCCATTCAAAAATGTGGGGGAGATTCACAAAGAGTGGACTGCAGCTGGAGTGAGTGCTTCAAGAACCACCACACACAGACGTATGAAAGACATGGGTTTCTGCTGTCGCATTCCTTGTGTCAAGCCACTCTTGAACCACAGACAGCGTCAGAAGCGTCTTGCCTGGGCTAAAGAGAAACAGGACTGGACTGCTGGTGAGTGGTCCAAAGTCATGTTCTCTGATGAAAGTAAATTTTGCATTTCCTTTGGAAATCAAGGTCCCAGAGTCTGGAGGAAAAGAAGAGAGGCACTTCATCCACGTTGCTTGAAGTCCAGTGTAAAGTTTCCACAGTCAGTGATGGTTTGGGGTGCCATGTCATCTGCTGGTGTTGGTCCATTGTGTTTTCTGAGGTCCAGGGTCAACGCAGCCACATACCAGGAAGTTTTAGAGCACTTCATGCTTCCTGCAGCTGACCAACTTTTTGGAGATGCAGATTTCATTTTCCAACAGGACTTGGCACCTGCACACAGTGCCAAAGCTACCAGTACCTGGTTGAAGGACCATGGTATCCCTGTTCTTAATTGGCCAGCAAACTCTCCTGACCTTAACCCCATAGAAAATCTATGGGGTATTGTGAAGAAGAAGATGCAATACACCAGACCCAACAATTCAGAAGAGCTAAAAGCCACTATTAGAGCAACCTGGGCTATCATAACACCTGAGCAGTGCCACAGACTGATCGACTCCATGCCACGCCGCATTGCTGCAGTAATACAGGCCAAAGGAGGCCCAACTAAATACTGAGTGCTGTACATGCTCATACTTTTCATGTTCATACTTTTCAGTTGGCCAACATTTCTATAAATCCTTTGTTTTTATTGGTCTTCAGTAATATTCTAATTTTCTGATATGATGAATTTGAGATTTTCATTTGTTGTCATTTGTAATCATCAAAATTAAACAAAATAAACATCTGAAATATATGAGTTTGTATGTAATGTATGAATATAATATACAAGTTTCACTTTTTAAATGGAATTACTGAAATCAATCTACTTTTTCATGATATTCTAATTTTATGACCAGCACCTGTATTAAAGACAAAAATAGTAATTCCACTGACAGATCATCTTATTTCCCTGCTCAGTTTAAGGAAAGATACACTTATTTTCACAAATGTTTACATTTTGGATCAGTTTTTGCAGCGTACCACAAAATGAATTTCTCATTATGACATGCGCTGACAGAAGGAACAGCACTAGAAAAAATAACCACCTTACCAAGTCTAACAATCTTAGATTCAGCCAAAAAGTCTTTTTGATCTTGGTTTGAGACTAAGATCCTTCTTGTTTTGAGAATATATATCAAGATGTCAAGAAGTCTTACAATGTGATTTTGTCTTACTGCTTTGGTGGATTATTGCAACTATTTTAAGTAGAATCGTCTCAGATGATGATTAACAGGATAGCATATTAATCTCCAAACAAGATTGTAAGACTTTGCTAAATGGAAAATTTTGCAGTGTAATTAATCCTCTATACCAATTTATATTAACAATTATTTGCAACTTACAATCACCTTTAATCTTCAGTCATATTATGATGCAACAAGTTTTCAGTAGTCTGAAACCTTGGTTTTGTGGTTGACTTACTGTAATATACTAAGCTGTTTTTGTTACTATTTTTGTTCTGTGCTGCCATGAAATGCATTTCCACATGCACAGATTCTTCTATTCAAATAAATAATATGCAAGTATAATTGCTATGGAAATGTGAAGCAAATCATAATGTGCAGGATGGGGACAGGTTATGTGTATATGATGAACATGTGTTGGTGCAAGTCGGTCCATAAAGGGCCATCAGCGAAGAAGAATAGGTTACACCAAAGGCAAATTACAGTGATTTTGATCTTTGACTTGTCATCATATTCCAGAGACCTCAAAACATGAAGTTTTTGGATAACTTCGGAGTGAACTTCTCTGGAAATAAATGCATCTGGCTACCATGTTGCACAGGTATTTGTGTAACTAATGCGTTTTACCATGAGAGATCAGGGTGTGAGTGATAACTTTGCAGGAAATAAACAGCCTACCAGTTCTATTTGAAAGGAATTTGATTTTTATTATTGTGTCTAAGTGCGTTAAGTAAGGAGTGGCAGTTCCCTGCAGCCTTTAAAGGATGTAAACACCTTCCGTATCTTTCATCCTATCAGGGAACAGGAGTTCGCGTTGACATCAGCAAGGAAAACTCATTTTAAAATGTTCCCCTGTGGGAAGCAGGACATTTGCCTGGGCTGTAATTATGCCCATTTTAAGGTTGTTGTATTTATGCAGCAGGATCCCGCCTCTCTCTGCAAAATGATACTCACGTCTCCTCATGGAAACACATGGAGCCTGTTTGGTGCTACCTTAGTGACTTTTGCTCCCTCTGAGTATGGACAAATATTGTAAAACCCATCGTGAACACCAGAATGATGTGCTATAAATCACTTTTTATCCTTTTATTTCTTTTTCCTTTTAAAGAGAGCTATAAACATCATTTGGTCTCCAAGTATTTTAAATCTATCCAGACAACCTGAGTCCCTGTTTTGCTCTTCCTAATATGCATGAGTGTGTGAATGAGTGGGGGGTTTTCAAAAATCTGCTTTTTTAAATTTTAAGTGCAATTCTGTGCGAAGAGTACAAAATATAAATAGGTAAAACAGAAGTACCCTTACACTGCATCACTTCTTCAAAATTTGGACCATGAGCATTTTGTTTCCAGGGAAACAAAACTCTCCGTTGGAGGACTCAGGAATTGTGGAGTCAGATTCCCTCTGGGATCTTTGTATCCGATTATTGTCTGTCATGAAACTTCCTCAAGGCTCATTGTGTTCAGCGTCTGGAAAGACAAGCCTGAGGAGATCTTTACGGGCTCTGACGCAAACGCACAGATGTGCGTTTGCTGAAGTCTTTCAAAGAAGGAGAGGAGACATTTTTGGAAACATGTATTGTGGACTAAGAAAACGTTTAACTAAGCTTTGTTTATATAAATATGATCGTACTGTAAATGAAGAGCATCTAATAATCACTGTTTTTTCCTCTTTGAAAAAACAAAGAAGCCTCCAGATATCCACATTAAATAAGATCTTAAATAAATGCTTGTATCTGTGAGTAATCTGCATTTAGGCAGACTATCCGGCCGCTCGCTATCAGGGATGGCCTAGGAAATCACTCCCCCTCCCATTTTCAGATCTACTTAGTCGCAATAACGTTGCATAATATGGCCATCTGCTCTTGACATTGATTTAAAAGTCTCACTATGCCTGCCGTGTAAATGTCAGCAAACATTTTAACACAAGTGGCTTTATTGATGACCTCGACGGTAACTTTTGACAGTACAGAGATTTGATTTAGAAATATTTATGAGTTTTCCTGTGATTATATTTTATTCTTTCAGAAAAAACATCTATCTATACCGTTAAATTATAAAAAATAAATTTAAATAATTAGATATGCCATTAAATAAATAAATACAAACCTCTAAAATGATGAATGAAAAAAGGAAATGCCATTTAAGAAATACATCTTTTTAAAAATGAATATAATGACTAATAATATAATTTTTAGAACCCTGGTATGGAGTTTGTATGTTCTCCCTGTGAATGTGTGGGTTCTCTGCGGGTACTCCAGCTTCCTCCCAGAGTCCAAAAACATGACTGTAAGGTAAATGGCTTCTCTAAATTGTCCTTATGTGAATGTGTTTGTGTGTGTGTGTGTGTGTGTGTGTGTATGGTTGTGTGTCTGTGTTGTCTTGCGACAGACTGGCGACCTATCCAGTGTGCCTCTCCCCCATAGACTGCTGCAGATAGGCACCAGCCCCACCGTGACCCTGATGGGATAAACCCCCCACTGTCCATTGAACAACCAGTGTGATGAATATGACCGTCTGGGGACACCTGGTGGAGGTTTGTGGAACTGATTTAATTCCAAATTGAGAAAAGCAAACAATGAAATTCACAAAGCCCTTTTTAGTCTAGCTTTTAAATAAGGCATTAGATTATAATTTTTTTTTTAGGACAGATTGCATTACCACAGCCCTCTTAATCATCCAATTACATGCTTTAGACTAAAGACACATCTTAAAGTTGCAGAATACCGACCCTCTGGAACTGGAAATGCCCTCCACTGTTTTAAATGATTCTGCTGAGATTAAAGATGAAAGAAAGAGGACAAACAGGCTGCATTCACAGGCATTTAACTCTATGTTTATATACTCTAATAAACTCTCTAATACTATAATATATGCACTAAGTACTTAGTGAGATTGTTTTTGCATGAATATCTATTATACATATTCACTGTGTTGATAATGAGATAAAGTAAGGCCAGCAGGCCATTGGGACAGTAGAAATGACTTACCCTCTTACTGTCTCTGTCATGATGGGCTCTCAAGGGGGACCCAATTATGCAGAACACCACTGAGGCGGAAACAGGAGTAAAGGTTTTAACAGAGTTTATTTAGACAAGCACTGAGATTATGACAGGTTCGGGTTCAGGCCTGGGAAACTGGTTCACTGGAGTCTGCGTGAGAGACAGTTCAGTTAGCTTAGCACGTTGGAGCTTGATCTCTAGATGATAACTGATTGTACCTTGAGGGTTCTTGAGGTTAGCTTTGGGAGAGTCACTGTTGGATCTGGAGGGGAGTTGCTCAGCAGAGTCCGCTTGCTGCTTCAGCGTCTCACGTCTAGAAATGAACAGACCTTGGCTTTGGGTTTTCCAGCTCTTAGTCCTGAGCTGCATGGAAGTTCTCTATGGATTTTCAGGTTTGGCTCTGAGGGTAGGCTCAGCAGGTTAGCTCTTCCAGAGCTTCACAGAGGAGACACAGGTTTCCTGGAAGATAGAGACAACGGTTAGAATCCTGGCAGGATTCAAAGTCACAAAGATATACTTAGAGTCTAGGCTCAGGCGCTGACCAACTGGATCAACACTGCGACATTGAGGCAAGGTCTGAAGACAGCTTATATAGTGGATCCTCTGATGATGGTAATGAGCAGCAGCTGTGCAGGAGGCTCTGCTCAGGAGGATCCACGGCGGACTCTGCTGGAGAAAGATGGTACTACTCCAGCTCCCAACAGTCTCACTGTTGTTATGCATTATGATGAAAGATTTAAAGTATTTCATCATAAAAACAGGAACAACATAATTTTTAATACAACCTTCTATACGTTTTTTGTAGTTTTCCTTAAAGTATAGTGGAGGATGTTCTTTTTCTGGGTGGATCATCTAAATAAGTGGTCCTCCTAATTGTCAATCATTCTGGTGATATGTTTACGTAAGGCTGTCCTACGTGCTCGTCCCCATTTTCTCTGACCTGTGGTGAGTCTGACATAGTGGACAAATTGCAAATCTTTTGGAAATTAGCTTGTATCTGTGATGCAAATAGCAACTTTTAAACAGCCTTTTAAAGCCTCCACTACACCGTTAACTATTTTGTTAGTTAGTCTGTCTATCATACATGTACTCGTACTCCCACGCTTCCCTCTCACTAGACACCTCCTCCAGGCCAGCTGAGAGACATATTCCATCCAGCAAGTCCTGAATCGACCGTAGGCCTCCTCCTCAGGTACATGCCTGAAACACATCACGAGAGAGACATCCAGAGGGGCCTCTAATACAGATTTTCAAGCCACATCAGCTGGTCATTCTCTAAATGGGGGTGAAGCGGAACCCAGCTTCTTGATAGGATGAGTCTCTTCTGCTCTGTAGTAACCTGTGGGCATGGGTTGGTATGCTTGTCCCCCAGCTCAACCATCTGGTGTTGGAGTTTATACCAGTGAAGGATAGAATCCCATCCATTTACCTTAAATAAGGCGAGACAGATCTTTAAAAAAGCCTGTAGGAAAAATACATATATATATATATATATATATATATATATATATATATATATATATATATATATATATATATATATATATATATATATATATGAGATAGAATGACATTCCAGCTAGTTGTTAGATTTACATTAATAACTTAAAATGGGGGTATTTTACCTGAGATATATAATCTATTTCAATCAATAACACGCAAGTACGGTCTTATACAGTACCACCTCCGCTCCGCTAGGGGGTTTATACCTCGGGAAATGTGCGCTCACTCTCGGCGATTCACGCGATATTTGAGATTGTGTCTGCAACACGGCCTTAACAAGCATGGCTGCGTCCAAAAGGAAACGTGGAGGAGAGGGACCCGCTACTAAAAAGAGTAAAAAGGGTAAATTTGTTGCAGACGAAGGCGAAACTCGGACTGAAACCGAACAGGAGAAAAGAAATGAGGTTACAGTTCCAGCACCGGTATCTATGGTAAGTGTTTAGCCTGGATATTAGCCAGGTAGCTAGCCTAGCTCTCACAAATAAGTATTATATCAACGAAGCTGATCAATTTACAACTTTAATTCTCAGTTATACAGGCTATTATGAGATGTTAAAGGCATGATAACTTTAAATAAAAGTGCCAAATTAGAGTTTCCTCTAATTTCTGGTATGGTTCTCCTTTTTTAATGTAAAACGGTGAGTATGTTTACTCCATTCAAAGTATTGAGCTATGTTGTAATTCTTAAAGTTTTACCGGTTGTGGTTATAGATTTGACAGAATAACACAACTCTAACCGACAATTAAAAATCTGATGTTTGCTTGTAGTTCAGCTTTAGTTTTAAAATTGGTTACCTTAAGCTTTGGTGATGGACTCTCCATGTCTGCCTGCTTCTCTTGCAACTGTAATTAGATTGATATTATGTTTAATCTCTGGCTAATAGGGCAAATGGACCAACAAGGAAAGAGTTCTTATATTCTCTTCAAGAGGAGTCAACTACAGAACCAGACACTTGATGCAGGACCTGAGGACCATGATGCCTCATTCAAAAGCTGGTCAGTGTTTTTAAAATGAAAATAAAAAAAAAGCTTTATAAATAACTGTCTGTGTGTATCATGAGCTGAGATTGACTTCTACAATATTCTGTCAGATACAAAAATGGACAGGAAGGACAAGCTGTTTGTTGTAAATGAGGTAAGTCATTGAAGAACAGAATTTCTCTTTTATCGCAGCAGAATCTGACATTTTTATTATTTTTTTCTAGGTGTGTGAAATTAAGAATTGCAACAAGTGTCTCTTTTTTGAAGCAAAGAAGAAGCAGGACCTCTATATGTGGTGAGAAGTTTATCCTAATTACTTATGTCCTTTATTAATAATGGGAAACCACATTTACTTTTGCTCTAAAATACTTTTAATTTCTGTAGGATCTCCAACTGCCCACACGGACCCTCTGCAAAGTTTCTGGTTCAGAACAGTAGGTAGCTTCTCTCCTTCCCTTTGGTGGAGAAGACATTTGTAGAATTAGAGAGTTGATCCCTGTTATTGTTACCGTTGCAGTTCATACGCTGGCTGAGCTGAAGATGACCGGAAACTGCCTGAAAGGATCCAGACCACTGCTCTCATTTGATCCAGTGAGTTTCACACAACCATAAAGCAGTAAAATTGGGGAATTCTGACAAATCTGACCTTTTAAGTTTTTTTTTTTTTTTTTTCCCTATATGATGCCTGGAATAATAAGTAGAGCCTTTGTTGCATCAGATCTAAAATAAACTTTATTTTGTTTAACAGAAATTTGACAAAGATCCCCACTATGCTTTACTGAAGGAGCTCTTCATCCAGGTATGTGTTCTGATAAGGCATATAAAGACATTTGCCTGCAGGCAATCTCTGAAAAATTTGGAAATGAATAAAATTGGGTTTTTAAATGTGGAAAAGTCCAGTAAAAAAAACTCAAACAGTATGCTGCCGTTCCGTGTGTTTTTTTAATTCAATGTATCCATCCTTCCTTGTTTTTTTTTTTTTATTCTTTGTTTCTGTTTATCCATTCATCTTTTTTATTCCTTAATACTATATATCCTCAAATAACATTTTTCTGACCATATTTTATTTTTACTCCTTCTTTCCAGTCCTTAATTCCATCTACCTTTCAATCCACTTATGTTGTAATAAATTTAATCTGCTCTTTTGTTTTGCAGGGTTTGTTTAAAATGTACTATAAATTGAAAATCCTTTTAAATGGGTTTTATTTTTATCTGTAAAGAAAATTTGGTCTAAAAATAGATTTGGGATTCTTAATTTTAAATGATCATTAAGTTTGATTTCCTTTGTTGCAGACATTTTCCACTCCTTGCTACCACCCTAAGAGCCAGCCTTTTGTTGACCACGTCTACACGTTCTCCATCGCAGATGACAGAATTTGGTTTAGAAACTACCAGGTGAACTTTTTAAAAATCAAATATCTTAAAACGTTGCATATTTTTCAATCAGCATTTCTTCCACAACACCCAATATTTTCCCTAGACTTGGCTTCCACTTACTATAATTAATCCCCTTTTTTTTATTTTATTTTTTTTTTTTCCAGATAATTGAGGAGGACGCCTCTCTGGTGGAAATTGGCCCACGGTTTGTTCTGAACCTCATAAAGATCTTCCAGGGGAGCTTCGGAGGACCCACACTATATGATAATCCAAACTTCCAGTCTCCAAACCTGGTAGATATCTGCAAACTAGTTCTTGTACATGGGTTTTATAGACATGCTCCAATATATTTTATATTCGGATATTGCTCACATTCGACATCGGGAGAAATTGGATTTATATTACCAAAACGGATGGTCTCCTCTTGATACCATCAAAATTTCTGCGTTTTTTTTTTTTTTGGAGCTAAAAATCCACATTTTTAACACATTTTAAAACAAGGTCAGGTAAGAAGATGTAATTGCAGTGGAAATCTATCTCTGGGTGCTTATCTGATGTTCAGGATGCATCTTAAAATCAAGAAGTCTTTTCCCATTATTCATTAATTTGACTCCTTTCGTCCTCTCAAACACCCACAGCACAGAGCACAGCTCCGCCTGGCAGCGGCAGCTAAGGTGCGAGAGAGGCAGATGGTGAAGGAGATCCGGAAGATGAAACGGAAAGAAACAAAGGAGCTGGTTGACGACGACGTGACAGCTGATGTCTTTGTTACGCCGGGAGAGGAGAAACCTCTTAAGATTCAGACGGAGCCACCGCCACCGAAAGTGGTGAAGAAAAACAAACACAAAGCTTTCAAGAGGCAGCGGATGCAGAGGAGAGGCAGATAAACTCCATGGACTGGATCTGAAGGATGATTTCCTGTTGCAACAACATTTTTTTTTTCTTTTTTTTGACATGTATCATGTTTGTGTTTAATGAATTTGCAGATGGTAATTGAAAACAACACGTTTATTTTACAAAATAGCTCAACATTAACAACCCTTTTTAATAAATATACATTGTTAAAGAAACAAGAGGTGATATTTGTTCCTGTTGCAGCATAGTGCGTTTAATCTACACAACTACATTTTTTCTTTCACCTTGGGTTCATTTTTGGACATTAAATATTTATCATACAGATAACTGAAGAGATAATCCAGTTATTGGATCCACCAAGGTCAGAAAAAATAGTTAATAGTTCTTTTTATGCATAAAAACTATGAACTCTAATTTCCATTTAAATACATTTTAAGTAAATCAAAGAAAAAACACAACATCCGAATGTATGGGTGAATGAAACCTAGCATAGCCATTACCATCTGATCTGTTTTTTTTAATGAAACCTGAAATTCGAACACAAACCTGACATCGGCATCATCAGTTTTCCATGTGCTCTTAGAATCACCAGTTACCTGAAAAAATAAGGGTGGAGGAAAAGTCCCTCTCAAGGTTAACAGAAATCCTTCCTAGCTGTTTGTAAATCCAATGTTGGATTTTCCAAACTATATATTTTTTATTAGCAGGAAGATCATTCATGGCAAGGCTTTAGTTAAATCTTTTTCTGCAAGAATGGAACCTCTTAATAGTGAGGTCAGATGAGCTGTTCAACTAGCAGCTGTAGTTTACAAAAGGTCAGACCAAATCAGCCGTTAATCCTCCTCCACCTCCTCATCGGGACAACAGAAATACTCCACAAAGCAGATCTGTCCATCATCGTTCCTGACCAGATACTGTAGAGAGAGGACCCCTCTGCTGTCTGTCCTCACTGACACTTTACAGGATATTGCCAAAGCTTTGGTGGATGGTTTGAGTAAGGACATCTTGTATCTGTCAAACAAAAACAAATCAGAAGCTGTAATGACACTCAATTACTAATTATCCAGGAATAATAACTAAACAAACTAACAGTTTATTGAGTAAAATCATCATGGAATCTGGCGACATCTGGTGGTAAAAAAATGTAACTCATGCTAGTACAGTGGGATAGGAGACTTAATTGTTTAAGGTATATTGGTTAATTGTTCAAATGTAAGTAAAATAAGGGCAACATTATTTTGTAAATAAGTTCTGGAAACTAATTAATCCCTTGGTCGTAGTTTCATTTTAAATGACACAACTATCCCGACTTTTCGAAAGCAAAGGCCACTAACTCCTCATTCTTATTTTAGTTTGAACTCCTCAGCTGATGGCGACGCTCACCTGTTGGTTTGCGTTTTGTTGCACTGGAAAAGCTCCATCATATCCGAATCCTTAGGGTAGTCATAATGCGCATTTCCAGAGTTTCCAAATGTTGACAACCTGCAGAGTTAAAAGGGGGTTCGATTTTAATGGCAGTGTAATTCCCAATAAAATAACCAATATTAAGTGATGGGTTGTACATGGAATGGTTTTTTTTATTTTTATTTCTTGATCATAAACCATAGAACAATGAAAAGATCTGACAGGTCACCTGAAGTACGGCTGACTGGGGGACATGGTGATCTGCAGCACCTCACTAGTCATGTCCAGCTCAGAGAAGGCTTCCTTTAGACTCTCTGACTGTAGAATGACCTACGAAAGGAGATGGGACAAGAGGAGCAAAATTAGTTTACAGCATCTTCTGGATTTCCTGATTATACATCATTATTCTAGTAATTCATATATGATCGTCTTAGACTGAAGCTTATTCAGTTTGAATGATCAAAAACAGCAAATGAACCTTGTTTGTAACATCAGAGCTGGAGAACTCAAAATCAATTGGTTCTTCTGGTTCCTGTGTATTAATTTTACAGACAGTCACTACGCCACCTTCCTCCAGGAACAATGTCAGAGGATGACCATACCCCCTGTAGCACAACCGTAGAGCTGTTGATACTCCTGAAACATCATATAAAATATGAAGTAAGAAACATGTAGAACAGCTCATTTCTGGTCACGCTCCTCCTAGTTTTTACCTGCTGCTGTGTTTCCTCCAAAGATGTTCAAGCAGTCGAGAAGAACAGTGAGGTTAATTTGAAAAACAACCAAGTCTTCTTTTAATGTGAACTCTTGAAAGACATCTGCCTGAACGAAAAAAAAAAGAGGATTTTTGAAGCAGGTCTTTTCAAATATAGAAGCAGAAAAGCATGGTCTCTCTGAATGCTTCCTTAAAAAAGAATCAGCAGAAAAACCCACCTGAATAAAGGCATTTGCTTGCATGCATTTGCTATCCTCCACTGTGACCTTCAGGCCATTTGCTGTTGCTGTGAAGATGGCGTGGTCCTTGCAGGTGATGGCTTTCAGTATGTTGGAGAGATTGCGCGCATTATCCAAAATGGCTAACAGAACATATTGCTCATCTTGACTCTGAGATATTGTGGACAAAGGCATTGTTGTGCTGGAAAAAAAAAACATACAACAACAAATATAATGTCAGTACTTGCAACAGGAATGTAAAAGTTTTCCGATTCAATCAGAAGAGAAACTGCTGATTGGAGATAAGATTTAAAAAAAACATCCTACTAATTGTATGTTTTGTTCAGTGACTTGGATAGTTTTGCATCTGTCTGCTGTTGTTCCATTTTTTTTTTTTTTTTTGTTGGGATCCTTTCCTTGCGCCTAAATGTCTCTCGTCTTTGGTTGTTCCTCTAACTTTAGTAAATATGCATGTTGTTGTCCTTTTAGTGCACATATTTAGGCTTTTTGTGTATTTAATAAGCCTGTACTCTTTTCATGTGTACTTGTGAAAAGGTTACATCTCATTTACCTCTTTGGCTAAAATTAAATAATTCTTTGTCACTCAGTGAAAGTCGTATGGAAATAGAAACACGTTTTTTTTTTTTTTTTATAAAGGAACACATTCAACTAATAATTAACTAAGTCTAAAGTGAAATTATACATTTGACAAAACTTTAAAAAGCAATTCATGAATAAATAGGATAATAAAATTTAAAAAAGTGCATTTAACATACATTCATTTTCAAAATGTATAAAAGAGGCCATGAATAAATGTGGCAGATTTGGCGTTGAAGAGATTTTTTACTCAAATTTTTAGCTGATGTAAGTAATAATAAGACATTTCTACTGTAAAACCCAGTAAATTATATATTATAATTATATAATATATAAAATATATGTTATAATATTTTGGCTAATGAGACTAATTTGCATTGGTTTGCCCTAGTGAAAATATAGATTGGGTAAAAACGATGCCAAATTAGGTCGGTTTAGCCGAGAGATTGGTTGAACACAACTTCCAACCCAATTAAAACAAAAAAATGTGGAAAAACTATTATGTTTGAATAAAAATGAATAACGCCTTTCATTTTGCTCATCATTGCCCAATTTGCACAAACTTTCACTGTCTGCTTGAGTTTATTTCACTAAAATGGCAAAAAAACTGTGCACCTTAAATTATTGTTTACACTTAAAAAAAACTTACAAAACATTTATTTTATACACACCAACCATTAACAATTTCAAAGGAACTTAAAAGGGGAAAAAAAGAAAAACAATAAAAAAAAAAAAATCAAAGATTTTATTACAAACTGTAGTTCTGCACTCCACCAGTAGGTGGTGACATGTTCACATGGAGCCTCGTGAACTGTTGGGATCATTGAAGCAATTTGGCCAAACGGTTCAATTCCTCATGAGGCCTCATCTCAACATCACTAGTTGCTACATTACCTTTAGGTAGTAGGCAGTATATTTTTTATGTCATCTGTATGTAAGAAAATATTGCTCAAGAAATTACAAGCTCTCAGCAATCACTCACAAACTCAGAAGTCTGCATGCACTCCGACGATGTTTAGAAGAAATCCCAAAGTGCCCGCCCAATGGGGATAATTTCCGCTTTCATCATCAACCGCTTAGCGGAAGAAGAATTTTTGTGTCGGAACATCACGTTCCAGAGAGTTCGGTCAGCCGCAGGAACTTTAGTGTGATTCAAGCTAGCTGCGCCGGTAGCGACTGACAACATCGGTGGTTTTTCCATAGTGTATTAAAGGTAAGGTTATTTACCTTTATGTAGTTTTTTTTAAAAGACACGTGCCTCTTAAGCCTTTAGCCCATCTCTTAACTGCGTAGAGCTAACCGGAAGCTAACTTTGGCTAGCCGTCGGGGCTACGGTTAAAATCAATAAATTGAGCTTTATACGCCGGTTATAATCCCACACGTCTTGTTTTAAACGTGATTTACGTCAGATTTACTTCTATTGGTCAAAGTTATAATTAAAATCGAGATAAAGTCTTTACGCACATACTGTAATAAAGTTACACCATTTTAATTCATAGTTTTCCGTTGCGTAAAGTCAGCCGTTATATTTAAACAGGTCAATATGAGGGAAGTGAACCTCCAGCTTGGTAGAGACAGACCAGGCATCCACGGAAAAACTTTACCGACTGCTTAAAGTATTCTTATAATGGAGTGTTAGGAGCCAGTGTAAAGGGAATCATTGATTTCATTAAGCACAACAGGGTTAAAGTTGTGTTTGCTTCAACAGTAGTTCGTAGTGAAAATCTGTCCTTTCTGTTTCGGAGTGAAATCTATTTTTCCCTGATGTCTGTGGCCTCCTTCAGCAGATAATAGTCTCCCACCTCATGTCAGTTTTGGTTCAGAAGTAGGTAATGTTTGAGGTTAACTGTAGCTTGAATTTGCTAGAGTTTGGAGCCGTCAAGCTTTTGCAGGATGTGGAAAAAATTAACTCCAATTGATTGAGGCCCCAATCCCCAACTTCAAGGGCAAATCCTGCCTTCATCTAGTATGATAAAGATGATCTTTTCCACTTGCATAGTGGAAATTACCAGCGTATTGTGTTCAAGTGCTTTCGTGGTCATGACAGAGAAAAGAGAAACATGTTAAGCCCTTGTCACATCTTGATGATCTAGCCAGCATGTGCCTGATATACTAAACATTTGGGGAATAAAAAGCTGGCATACCTTGGATAAGTTCGGGGTCAGTTGTGTAAAGTTCTGAGCACACTGGCACACATCGACATACGGCAAGTACGTTGACGTGTGCCAGTGTGTACTCATACGTGGGCCATACGTTACAGGCAAGTTATTTGATCGTTGACATACGTAAGTGCAAGTTTCTCATAAGTCATGGTGTCCAGCTTATCCAAAACTTATGAATATTTTGCGCATGACTTATGAGTAAGTTATCAAAACTTACCTCCAAAGCATACCAACATATTTGACGTGTTCCTAACTTACGGCTTCTGCATAATGACGTATGGGCAGTGTTTTGGTATCAAAGGAGGTTCACAGGAGAAAAACTTCATTCAGACTTCATCCCCTTCATAGGGTGAGCGAAAAGGTGAATGTGACGGATCGGAGACATGACACGGCATCTGCTGCAACTGCAAACCTTTGTTCTCTTTATTTATTTTTTTGTAAACAGCAGGGTTAATATCACGATCAAAGACATCTTTTTATGCAGACCGGGTGCCTCCAGGCGCATTGCTGCCCCCCACAGGACAGTGGCTTGTGCATCATTTCATGGGCATTATTCTGCTGTGCATTATGCATAAGTTAGGCTGTCGATTGACAAAATTTGGGACTTGTTATGAATATTCTATATATACACTCAATATTTAAAAAAATACATAGAAAGTTCAGCTTATGTCAGCGTTTTAGAAGATTCTGGGACGTCAGTTATACATAGGGCTGGGTATTGTTCAAAAATTTTCGGTTCCGGTACCAATACCGATACCTTCACTTCGATACCGGTTCCTGAACAATACTTTTTTCGATACCAGTTTTATAATATCAATTCGAGAAAAAAAAGAAAATTACACAACATAAAAAAGTACAAATCTTGAGTTTTATTTTAAGCTCTGTTTTTCCATTTACATTTTTCCTCTTACATAAAAAAAAAAATTCAGTGTCTAATATTCACTGTTACATTGTGAGGACCTTTTTACTTAGCAGTTTTCCTTTAGAAAAATTACCATGTCTGACAAACAAGCCCGTTGAATGGGATCCTACTGACAGTGCACCGCTGGTATGTGGGGGTCTGAGTGGCTCCGACTGAAATATTGGAAGGCCGGATGAACTGACTGCACTGATTAAGTTTTCAGGTGGATTTTCCCACTTAAATCTTGATCGCAGCAAATATAGCTGCAAGGCAAATAAAGGATAGAGTAGCTCCGCCCAACGTGCATCAGACGCACTTTTCTACCGCGCAGCCAGAGCAGCAAAGCTTCTTCAGCCGCGCGTCAGAAGCTGGTACAAGCAGCAAAAAAGAAGCAGCAGACGTGATTTTGCTGGCCCTGCTGCATCCAGTTTGAAAGCAGCATTCTCCATGAGTGTCTCGCATTATTCACTCCGCTCTGGCTTTGCTCTGCCCACGGGCTGCTGAGAGGAGGATGGTCGCGCTGGCTGCGGTCCGCTCTTCTTGCAGTCAAACACCGAGCGACTTTCTGCTCTTAAATTATTTCCGTGCACGATATATTGCATTGCGCACTATTGGCATCAGTCTTAATAAAGTGAAGCCGCACTTTTGATCTGGGGGGCATTTTAAAGGGGTTCCGCGACGCTCACAACCAGTTCACATGAACCCTGGCTGTAGGCGTGACCACCTGTGTATTTTTCCTGGATGACGCAATCATGTTAAGTGTTACAGCCAATCACCGAAACTTTGTACCGAAAGACGAGGCATGTTTCGATACTCTGTAGAACCGAAGCATTTCGGTCGGTACCATAAAAGTACCGAAGTTCGGTACCCAGCCCTAGTTATACACTGGCTAAATTGTCAAGTTGTGACAGGGGCTTTGGATCTACTTTGGCAAGGCAGTCAGACTATCTGATTTATTTGCTACAAGAAGAAAAGGATGCATCAAATGCTAACGAGCATCTGAGAAAATCAAACAGTTACGGTCATTTAAAAAAGGACAGTGGTGTCGGATGTAGTAGTTTGCCCTAAAATCAAAGGGCTGTTGGTTCAAGCCCCGGCTCTGACTTTTAATGTCGTTGTGTCCTTGGGCAAGATACTTCACCTGAATTGTCTACTGGTGGTAGTCAGAGGGCCCGGTGGCGCCAGTGTACAGCAGATTTGATTCTATCAGTGAGCCCAGAGCAGCATTCAGTGTGTGCGTGAATGACTGAATGTAGTGTAAAGAGCCTTGGTCAAGTCTCTTAAAGGAAAAGCCCAGTCTTCAAGAAATGATCAATGGATAATTATCTATACCTAAAACTAATCGATCGCGGTGATTTAATGAATTTGGTGTTAATCAGTAAAAACATTATAATAATAATTTTCGTTACAATCACAGAGTCTGGGAGCGGCCATTTTTGCCAATATATAGTATCACCTCACTCCTGACATCTTCCGGCAGTGATGTCACGGTTGCGGCAAACCTAACGCCATTCTCCTCGCTTTATAAGGACAATCGATGGAAACTACTGGACACATCTGCAATAAACAACAATTATTTAAGATTTCCAAAAGACTTCACTATTGAATTCGCAAGAGCAATAGTTATATGTAGCCAACATTCCGAAGAAGAATGTTTTCAAGATGACTTGGATAATGGCGCATTGTGAAAAACACCAGATTGGGACTTGCCTAACAGCCGATACCGTGACGTCACAAATGAGGCGGTGGCAGTAGTGCTCTTTGACAAACATGGATGTATCCAGTAAAGCACAATCAAATGAAAATTACTCTTAGTTAAAAACACCTAGCATTTATTGGACAGTATGTAATAATTTCATATTTAAAGTACTTTTAGTACATGAAGGCAGCATTAAAGCAGGGATCCCAGAATCAATATACCTGATGAATATTTCATTCAGCCTGTCAGAGATCTGGGATTGAGGAATTCAGTTAATGAGCTTTGGCACCAGGGACTGAGCATCTAATGGTAACACATAAAAACCACTTCATACCTTCAGGGGGAAGTTATTATCTTAAAATAACTCCCAATGGTTATTAATATTACATATAGAATTATTCTATAAAAAAACTTTTTTTTTTCAGTTTAAGTTTATTTCTATAGCACTACACAAAATTACATTTCATGCAGGGCTAATCGAGCAAACATCCCAAAGTTATTTTTTTACATGGAATATGACTCCATGTAGTCTTGTTAATTTTAAATGATTAATTGTATTAAGTTAAGACTTTAATCAAATTGCTTAAATGACCTCCGCTTTATGTGATCAAGTTATCCAGAGTCCTATTAATAACCTGATTTATTTATTCAGACTTGTTAAACTAGGTACGCTAAAGGTTGCTAAATGCTGGACCTTGAGACTAGAGCTTGACATCTGTTTTTTACCAAATTAAGTTGAAGATTACAAGGATTTTAATGAGCTTAAATATTTTCTGATCTGGTTAAATGTTGAATTATAAACTTGGTTCTTGGGCAATTTTTTATGTTTTTGTTGAGCTGTTGCCACCTTACCAACTTCATCAACAGTTTAATGGTGGGATAATTAGCCAAGACTTTGTTAAGTTGCTTTTACCATTTAAAAGACGAGCAGGGTGTAATCTGTTCTCTACTCGAAAAGCATTGGCATCTCATCAAACTGGATGGAAATCTAAAACCTGGCATATGTCTATCTAGAAGTAAAATATGCCGATTTGAGATTAGTTATCTTGTTTTGTTTCCAATGAGAGAAGCGTCTGGATATTTGCCTGCTGGTCAGTCATTGCTTTTGAGATACATATTTGATAATAATATATTGAAATAAGCAGTAGAATTGCATCATCTATAAGATTTTTATCCCTACTTACAATGCGAGATTAATCCTTAAGTAAAAACAAAACTTCATTTTTAAGATGTTTTATCTGTCATCCTGTTACAGGCTTAGAAAATGCCTATAATTTAAGGAATATCTGTGTTAAGCTTAGAAATATATATTTATACAAAACAATCCTTTTATTTCCATGTTTTTTTTTGTTTGTTTTTTTGATAAATTGTAATCTAGTTCAGTATATATTATTAAAAAGGCACATCTTCATGTTGTCTGTTTATGAGCTAATTAGGAATGGTACCATAATTGCTAATATTCAGCTACATTTCACTGACTATTGAATACTGTGATTTTTTTATTTTGTGTAATCTTTTCGTAAATTTCACCCCTATCATGTTTTTTTTCTGCTTCAGTCTTCATCTAGACAGCCTGTGCGAGCTGCAGTCATGGTGTGCATTCCCTGCATCGTGATTCCTGTCCTGTTGTGGGTCTACAAGCGATTCCTGGAACCCATCATCTATCCTGTCATTTCGCCCTTCATTAACGCCATCTGGGGCAAAAAGGCTGTAACAGACACAGGTACCGACCAAAAGGGCAGTGAAAAGACAAATGGGACATGCAAAGTAAGGCAACACAGATATATAATGGCATTCTATTAAATTAAGACATAATTATTTTTGTGATCATATTTATAAATGAATCGCCTACTAAAAACAGAATTCTGTGTTTCAGCCTGAAAGCAACGGGGAAGCGACTGCCAACGGAGCTACTATAGCATCTGATAAGAAGGCTGACTGACCTCTGTCACCATTTCTAATGCAACAAAGACTGGAAATATTTTCAATGCATCATTTGGAGACAACATGCATTGTTGGTCTTGTTTAAATAATGTGACTGTAAAGCTGGTTGAAGCAAGTTCAGTTTTTCTTTCATCTTGTTGAGGTTGGTTTGATCCGTGTTGTAGTTTGTTTTCAGATTTCAGTCTGAACAAAACGAATTAAGCACTTTAATGAAACGATGAAAGGAAACATTCAAATTAATGCTAATTTATTTTAAACCTGACCTGTCACTTAACCTATCTTAACTCTATACAAAGATTGCTATAAATACATCAAAGTGTAGAATATTTAATTTTAAGAGATGGTTATAGTTATACTACTTGTAAAACTGGCTAAATATTGCTTTCTTTTCTTTTTTTTGTTACTGTTTTTAAAACAAAGAAATTAACACCTGTTAGAGAAAATAAGGTTATTTGTATGATGCTTTACATTCCTTCAGATATACCTGGATAATCTAGATCATTTGAAAAAGAAAATAAAGTGCAAATTAAAAACATGCAGATTAATCATTCAATAAAAAATAAAACAGCAGTTTGGTTACAATATTTAATAGATGTTATTTTGAAAAAGCTAATCGCAAGATTTTTACAGAAGTCTGTTTCTGAACAAGTGGTTTAAAGCATAGAAAATTCCAGATTGTTAATATTGTCTGAATAAAACTTGTCTGTTTAACATTTGTCCTCAGTTGCTGGAAAGAAAATGAGTTTCTTTTATATTCTTAAATTTAAACTATCCATTCAAGGTTTCTGTTCATTTTACCATTTCAGTATGAAAGCAGTGAACCAGATGACCTTCCATATGCCCCAACTACAGCTTGAGACAAAATTATTTCCATTCTATTTTTACATCTTTGAACAATGGCTTTTCTTCTACTCCATAAAGACCAAACTTGTGGAGTTCTGTTGGCCTTTATAATGCTGTTGAAGAATGCTCTCCAATGAGACTTACCGGTATGTGGCCCTCAAAGGACATCCCTAAAGGCGAGAGGAGTCTTAGAAAAGTATTCGGACAGATACCATAAATTCTTATGATAAAGTTATAACATTCATTTTTTCCCCCAAAAGCTTAAGGACTAAACCTTTAGCAAATTAAATAAATACATGGTGGCAGACGATTGACTCCTGTTGTACCCCACAGGCTAATGAGATTTGAAAGGCATTGATTACAGTTGCATACTGTTTGAAATGAATATCAAGGAAGCTTGAGAGATTTTTGTGAGTTCTTAAAAAAAAAGAATATGTTTATCACTTCAAACTGAAAACATTGAAGATGTATATCAAGAAAAAAACTATTCCTACTCCGCGAAGGTTAATGGAATGGTGAAATGTTGGTTGGTAAGTGGATTAGGGCAAATTGATAACGCTAATAGAACCAGAAACTTGTCGACCACTGACTCCTTTAAATCTCAGCAGTTTATCAGGTAGTAGAAACTTTTTTTTTTAACACACGTTCAGTCCAGACTCCATATTGTTATGGCAGGAACTATTTGTTTGCAAGATGCCAGTAGACACTGTTATAAAAGACTGAATAATAAAAAAAAAAATCAAAATTAGCAAAGTACATTAACTACAAATTGAATAATTAGAAAAGTGAAAACATTTCCTTTACAAAGGAAGTAAACAGATATAAACAACACAGTTAAGAAAAATAAGAAAGGATCACAGGTTAATGTTCACATATATTTTTAAGGCTTTAATAATAGAATCTTTTTGTCTTTTAAAATTGCTAATTTTTTATTATTTTTTTAAGTTGCTGGGTAGAGTCTCAGATTAGCCTTGAATTGAATTTGTATTGGACCACTTAAATTTTATAGAAGGAAGAGTTCTGGTCAAGTCTTTCCTCTTATCACTTAGCTAATTTTGATTTAATAATACAGATCAAATACATTTTCAGTTTTGGGCCCCAAAAAAAAGAAAAAAAGCAATGGCAAGCAGAAATACAACTTGGGAACAAAAGAGGTGGAAAATTGTTTTTATAACCACAAAATGTACAAGAGTCACCAAGGTGTCTGGGTAGTATAAGAGTAACAAATCAGTTACCTAAAGAAATTTACTATATTTCTTTAAATCAATAATTTAATTTCAGTATACTAAATAATTATTGTAATCAATCAATCTACCTGTTAACTACCTGTCATGGATGTATAGTTCTAGGAAACCAGAGGGCAGATAAAATGGAAAAGAAGGCAATTCAAAATCCTATTAGTTTTACAGTTAATACAAATAAATCAGAAGGAAAGAGTATTATTAAAGAAAAAGAAAAGGTGGGATAACAATAAAACAGGAAGATGGTTTTATAAAAATCAGGAGATAGTAGGAAACAGAAGATGAAATGGAAAGGAGGAACAAGGTTAAGAATTGGGCATAGAGGACTTAATTATACACTTTTCAAAATTCAAAAGCATACTACTGACATACATGATTACTGTGGAAAATATGAAACAATAGAACATGTTATACTGGAATGTCATAAATATTAAAGCCAGAGAAGATATACAAGGAGAGAGTTTTAATGTATTAATGAAATGATTAATATAATAGATATTTTGAGGAAGAATTTGGGGAGTAAACATATACAATAATTATTCAATAAAAAAAAAAATATATTTCATAGAATTTGATTATAGAGTGAATGTGTGTATGATATAGACGGGTAGAATACAAAGTTATGTATAAGTATGTATATTTGTGTGTCTGTATGCACGTGTGTGTGTATATATATATATATATATATATATATATATATATATATATATATATATGGGTTTTTTTTATTTGAATTATGTATATGTTTATTAGTAGAAGTTAGAAGAAGATAGTCCATCACGAACCCCATTCCATACCAGTAATTGGCGGTAATCCTACTCAAAGTGTGTTGCCAATCGCCAATAAATTCAACAAGAAGAAGTCTACTTTTTTTTTTTTTTTTTTTTTTTTACTTTTAACAACATAGACGTATATAAAGAGTAGACCCGCATTGACGGTCGCGGCGCAGGAATTACGGCGGCCATCTTGGAGCGGTCGAACTTCAACCCAATCCCGCTGGTTTTAAGCTGGTCATCAAGTAGCCTACTGTTTCAACTTTATTCTTTTTTTTATTCTTCTTTTCACACAAATAGAATTTTGCTTTTTTAAAGTTACTTTTGAAAAATAACAGCAAAACAAATATAAGTTTCACCATCACTTCAAATATTAACAATGTTTCTGAAGTTGTAAAAATGTGTATACAATAAAGATTGGAGTTTGAAATTTGAAACAAGCGTTATTATCTTTTCAATCAAGCAGAGAATTTATGAAAATGCAATACAAAATCTCAAATACATAAATAATGCAGAACAGTGCAAAGCTTCAAATGTTTTACTTTATCTTCCTCCCTATATATATAGCAGATTGCTCTTTAGATTAAATTAGAAAATTTTGATTTTCCCTGGACTTGTTTTCACTGTGGTCTGTGGTCTTCCATAGAGATATTACCTAACAGGTGATATCTGTGAAGAAGACTGCAGATCCTAGTGAAAACAGGCCTGGGTAAAGTGAACAGCAAATACAGTGTGCAACTTATCAATGTGCAAAAATTATGACAAGTTTTTTCGTTCAGTCTGATGAGCAGCACAAACTACTCTAATAACTGCTATCTGTTCAACTGCCCACAACATCTGCCTTGTCACTGTAATAATAATATATAATATCGTTCCCTAGCAGCTTTAGAAAGTTTGTCTGGGTAGGGTATCCGTTCAGTTTTCTTGTTCTTTTCCATTTAACTGATAATCCTCGCTGCTGGCTTGCAGCGCTCTCCTCTTGTTTTCTGCTGTTTTGTTTTTCTTCCGCTCACCACAAAAATTGCGCTAGGGGGCGTGTCAGTCACGTGACTGGCACAGACTAATAGATATCCATAATAAAGGCTTTATTATGGATATCTATGGCCTCAGCACTGTGCGGCGTTTTTCTGTTAGAATCGACGGGCTATTGACGTCAGGGCTCGAGGGATAACTTTCCACAAGTCAGATGAACAGAAGATGATTTATGAAGATAAGGCTGCACCACATTGCCAAAGTCACCATCCTTGAACACTTGCACAAGAAAAAAGCTCTGCAAAACAGTCCTTTTGCAACATACATACATCCTGTCTGAATATTATATTACTTTTAACCACACTAATATTTAAATGCACTGAATTATTTGGTATAATAGCTATAGTTTTAAAGTTTTCAGAAAAAAAAAAACCAATGTGAAAAATAGTTCAATATGCCACGGAAGAGGATTAGGGCCAGTGGAAAAAAAAAAGTTAACTGATTTTTAAATTTTATTTCAGTTTAGTATGGGAAAAAAGTCAGAATTGTGACTTTTTTCTCAGAATTCTGACTTTAATCTCAGAATTCTGATTTTAATCTCAAAATTCTGACTTTTTTCTCAGAATTCTGACTTTAATCTCAGAATTCTGACTCTTTTCTCAGAATTCTGACTTTAATCTCCGAATTCTGACTGAATTCTGACAATAGAAAAAGTCAGAATTCGGAGATTAAAGTCAGAATTATGAGATTAAAGTCAGAATTCTGCGACAAAAGTCACAATTCTGACTTTTTTCCCATACTAAACTGAAATAAAATTTAAAAATCAGTTTTTTTTTTTCGTTTTTTTTTCCACTGCCCCTAATCCTCTTTCGTAAACATTCAGCGAGCTATAGTTGACTAAAATTAATTATGTGCCTGGTCAACACATTACACTCAGCAGAGCAGTCGACCGCCCCAAGATGGCGCCCTGTTGGCGCTGTCATCATAAGGGCAGGGAACAGTCGGAGAATAACAGCACACGACTACACCAAGTTGTTTCCTTGGGCGACACGTCACACGCCACCACTTTATTTTTCCTTCATTCACCAACATTGCACATGCTCCACAATTTATAGTCACACCCATTAATGACGTCATTGAAGAGCACTCATTAGAATACACATTACAACACCCCCACTTGCTCTTGCACTATACAATCGTCATTCCAATTTTTTTTTTTTTTTTTTTTTTTTGAACATTTAAAACAAGTTATTTTACATTCCAAACATATAATGCATAAATTTTCCCAGTTTTGGCTTTGTGGCAGGTTTGGTAAAAACGTCCGCAACCATATCTGCTGTTGAGCAGTATACAATGTTTATTTTTCCATCATAAAATGCAGATCTGACAAAATGATACTTGATATCAACATGTTTACATCTCTGACGAAATACTGGGTTCTTTGACAAAGCTATTGCTCCTTGATTGTCCTCAAATATTGTAACTGGCATATACATGCAGTCTTTGTCCATTCCACCCAACAACTGTACAAGATACAAACTTTCCTGTGTTGTCGCTGCCAATGCCATATACTCTGCTTCGCATGTAGACAGAGCCACCGTTTGTTGTTTCTTTGACTTCCATGAGATAACTGGTCCATTTTTATTAAGGCTAAAACAATAACCCGTAACGCTTCTCCTGTCACTCTGATCAGTAGCCCAGTCTGCATCGCTATATGCTACGAGCTGAAGTTTCTGCTCGCTCCTCTTAAAGCATAAACTCTTGTCTATTGTCCCTTTTAAGTATCTCAACACATGTTTTGCTGTTACCAAGTTACACTCCCTTGGTTGTGACAAATATTGTGAGAGTTTACTTACAACCCAACTAATATCAGGTCTTGTGCACATCATGAGATATATTAGGCTTCCTATAAGCTCACGATACAATCTTGGGTCTACAAGTTTGCTTTCACTTTCAAAGTTTAACTTCTGTTCACATGGAGTGCATCTAGTACCACATTCAGACATACCAAATTTCTCCAGTATTTTAGTTATGTGCCTTTTCTGGCTAACTTTTATTTCTCCCTCTGTCTGTGTAAAATCAATGCCCAAAAAATGTTTAAGCGGCCCCATATCTCTCATCTTAAACTTTGCTTTCAGCATGTCTTTAACACTGTCCATTAGAGAATCCTCACTTGTTGCTATAATAAGATCATCAACCCAAATGACTAGAATCACTCTATTATTTGCTGTATGTTTTGTATAAACACAGTGATCTGCTTCATTTGGTACAAAACCGTTTTCAGACAAATAATCAGATAACATCTTATTCCAGTTGCGTCCAGATTGTTTTAAACCATACAACGATTTGTTAAGTTTAAGAAACTGTTTTTCACCAAATTCTGAGTCAACCATAAAACCTTCAGGCTGTTCTATATACACCTCACAATCAATAGGAGCGTGTAGATAGGCTGTTTTAACATCCATCTGATGTAATTTCAGATTATACTGAGCTGCCATCTGCATCAAGCTGCGTATAGACGTCATGCTAGCTGTTGGTGCAAATGTCTCCCCATAATCTATACCAGCTTCCTGGCTGTAGCCTTTTGCCACATATCTGGCTTTAAAAGTCTCAGCTCCATCTGCATTCTCCTTGATGGTATAAACCCATCTACCCCCCACTGCATTTTTACCTTCTGGCAGCGTGGTCAGAGTAAATGTGTTATTTTCCTTCAAGGATTCAACCTCTTCCTCCATAGCTTCTATCCACTTCTCAGATTCAGGTGAAGTCAGGGCCTCTTTAAAACTTTGTGGTGTATTACACACTAAACGATAGCAATAATCAACATTGTCAAAATTTTCCGTGGCAAAATCATCACTCTCTGCCTTACATTCGTAGTCCTTTAAATACAGAGGCACTTTTTTCTCTCTTTTGGAGCGTCGTAGACAATGTTCTTCATCTTGCCTGAGATTTGTGTTCCCCACACTTGAAGGTTCAGCACGCATCTCTTTTGTTCCTTCTGACACCTGCTGTTCTACTTTTAACTCTGACTTAACAGGAACAGTTTTTCTGTAATACTCATCCTCCAACTCCTCTGGTTCAGTCTGAGTTTGGCATTCATTTTCAGGTTTAGTTAGAAATCTGACTAACCTGTGTTTACACACCCTTCCTGTCACTGGATTATAAATCAAATATGATGGGCTGTTTTTATCATAACCAACAAAAACTCCTTCATCACACCTTGGGTCTAACTTTTTCTTATTTTGTTTGTAAGAGTAGCACACTGTTCCAAACTCCTTCATTTTAGAAAGATCAGGTTTCTTGCCTGTCAACATGTAGTACGGCGTTTGCCCCAGACGATTATTAAAACACCTGTTGCGTATAACTGCAGAAGTCATCACAGCATAAGTCCATAATTCTTTAGGCAAATTACTCTGAATCAGCAAACACCTGGCCATCTCAAACAGTGTTCTCCAGCTTCTTTCAGCTGTCCCATTTTGATGGGGAGAATACGGCGCAGATGTTTCATGTCGAATAGCATTTTTACTCAATAAAGACTGATAATCTCTTGACATGAACTCAGTGCCGTTATCTGATCTAATGCACTTTACTTTTCCATAGGGGGCTACATCTGCAATAAACCTTTCAGTAGCTCTGACTGTGTCACTTTTAGCTTTTAGAAAATAGACAAATATTGCACTTGAAAAATCGTCCGTAAATGCAAGTGAATACCTAAATCCTTCTTTTGCAGCAGGCTCAATAGGGCCAGCTAGATCCGTGTGCACTAGCTCAAGGGCCGTTTTAGCTTTTGCATCAGCTTGTCTATTTCTACTCTGGGTAAATTTCCCTTTAATACACGTTTCACAGTCTAGTTTAGTTTTATCAACCTTCCCTTTGATTTTCATACCTTTCACAACATTTTCTAGTTTTAATACATCTTGAAAATTACAGTGACCTAAAATCCTGTGCCACTCTTGAATGTCATAGCAACCCAAAACTTTATCGTCCTCTTTGTCAGCAAAGTCATTTTCATCGAGAACATCAAGGAAATAAAGTCTATTGTACACGTTAATGTCAAACTTGTTCCATCCTTGCAGATGAGTTGATCATGTCCTTGTTGAAAGTTGACTGAGGCTCCCTTTGCCGTCGCTGCTTTAACAGAGAAGATGCTCTGGGGGTAGGTGGGGATGTACAGCGCCCTCGTTATCGCCACCTTCACGTTCCGTCCCTCGGTGTCTCGCAGCCACACCTCTGCATCGCCTCTCTTCTGTGCCACGCCAGTTGTCCTCGTCCCATCAGCAAGCTCCACGAAGTGTTCCTCCGGTCGGAAGGCATCATCAAACTTTTTAAACTTGCTTAGATCATTAATTATGTGAGACGTTGCACCGGTGTCTACCATCAGTCCTCTTTGTTTCAAGCCGCTCATCTGGCTGTCGCTCATCTTGAAAACAAACGAGTGATCATCCCCTTCGATGGCCCGTTTCACACTTTCTTTCTTCTTTCTTCGACAGTTGCTCTCTTTATGACTGGAGTTTTTACAGAAACTGCACCATTGTCTCTGTGCTTTAAAGTTCGTCGGACATTGTCGCACTTTGTGTCCCTTCTGGCCACAGCTGTAACACGTAAACTCTGGGTTTGTTTTTTGTCTCTGCATCACTTTGCTTGAGAATCCACTGGCTGTCATCACATTATCTTCATCCATGTTAACTTTTAACTTTTCGGTGCTTTCATAATTTCTCAACTTAACTTTGAAGTCACCAAAGGTTAATTTGTCATCATCACTTTGAGTTATGTGAACAACAAATGGCTTAAATGGTTCAGGCAAACCTTTCAAAGTCATGGCTATCAACAGTCCATCACTCAGCGTCTCTCCAGCATTTCTTAGCGCTGTAATGGCAGTTTCAGCCCGAATAATATAGTCTGTGACAGTCTCGCTGGCAGCTTTCTGGAGGGATGTCAGTTCTGTGTAGAGGCTAATTACCCGCGGCTTTCCTTTGCCCGCATAATGATCTCGCAGGATCTGCAACGCCCTCCTGCCGTCATCTGCCGCCTCTCTCATAACTAGAGACAAGCTCTTGTCATCTAGACACTGGATCAGCTCGGCGTAGGCTTCCTCGTTTTTATCAGAGTCGTCATCTTCATCTTCATCTGCATTCGGCTCCACCTTACGCAGTATTGTTTCTTTCAAGCCGTGCAGCCGGAGATGTCCCAGAAACTTTGCCTCCCACAGCTCATAATTTCTTTCATCTCCATCAAAGCACAATCTTTGCCATCGACTTCCCATCTCCCTCCTGGGCCCAGAACCTGTTGGCGCTGTCATCATAAGGGCAGGGAACAGTCGGAGAATAACAGCACACGACTACACCAAGTTGTTTCCTTGGGCGACACGTCACACGCCACCACTTTATTTTTCCTTCATTCACCAACATTGCACATGCTCCACAATTTATAGTCACACCCATTAATGACGTCATTGAAGAGCACTCATTAGAATACACATTACAACACGCCCCTAAATCTCGTCAGCCCCTATAGGCAAGAGAGGTCAATGCGCGGTCTACTCTTCATATATGTCTATGTTTAACAACACTTTATTTACATAATTCAAACATATAAACAATAGACGTAAAATAAGTGTCAGTTAAAAATCACTATTAAGGTAGAAACAAGTGTCAGTTAAAAATCATTAAATGAGGAGCTTGTTAAAATGACACAGTTAAAAATTTTAAAACCCCTCAACTGAATAAAATCCTCCAAGTTCTGTGTGGCTCTGTTGAAGAAGAAGAAGAAGACGACGACGACATTACGTAGAGTTCACCGCTTATCGTACGTCATCACGCAATGGGTGGCGACGTGGAAAACATGGAGGATAAGAGTACGTAGAGTGGGGCTAGCAGTGTTAATGACTATCTTATATCAAATGTTTACCTCTGGTGCGTTAAAACTCAGCAACCAGCTGGTTTAAACCTAAATCTCCGTGGGGAAACCGTTGTTAGAAAGCACCGCAGGAAGCCAGCCGCAGCCAGAGAAACTGCGAGAGGCTTTTCTGACAGGTAAGCCGAGCTGTCAGCTGATTGCAAACATGCAGTAAACGTTAGCTTCTATGCTTGATTTGAACTCACTGGCTAATTGGAAAGTAATCATAAACCAACCACGGAGGGTGTCATTGCTTTTTTAAATCTAGCCAATTGTCTCCGTGTCTCCGCTCTTCTTAATTCCTTCACTTAAAGCAAGTCACTTGCTAACCTTAAGCTAATGTCTCGGATATAAACGGGATAAACCTGAAAATTTAATTATTCTGCAGTACAAATTATTCAGGCGGTGATGGAAGGAAAGATCCGAAATGCAGTTCTCTATTTACATTATGTTGCTGTCGTGTAGTACTTTATAAAAGGAGATTCTGCTGCTTATAGTTAAACTCTTCTGTCACCTAATTCATTGTTGCCTGTTTGCTAAAGGCGAGTCATTAAAAGACAACCAAATATCCTGGTTGGTTAGATTCATCCTGTTAATGAAGACAATGCTCAGCTGTAAAGATCAACTGATACAAGTTTTTAAAAAGCAGATACCTTTTCTTTTTTTTCTTTTTTTTTTTTACATCAGTCTAATCAATCCCCAATATTTACAGACGATTTTTATTTATTACTTTTTTTTGCCTGATTCTCGAGGCAGATATTTCCTTTTTTCCCTGTCATTTACATGATACAAATGACACAATGACGGTGACATCGGTTACCAGGGGCGGATTAAGAAATTTTGGCCCCCTGGGCCTGACATGGTCTTGGCCCCTCAACCCCCCGCGCGTGCGGGCGCACAAACACGCACCCACTATGCAAGAAATACTGTATACTGTGAACAGACATGCACACTGTCCTGTACAGAAGAGTGCACATACTGCACACACACTATTAGGTATACCACACAGACACTGACAAGCACAGGTTTCACAAAGACACAGGGGGAGGGGATAAATGGCCTAAAAATAAACATTTTGGAAAATGATTATGCCCACTTCAGTGATGGTGCATTGGGTCATTTGAGAGATATTATGTATTGGAAGTTGGTAGCTATCATGAAATAAACCCCCCACCCCACCCAAAAAACTAAATCGGACATGATTTTTGCCCCCTTTTCCTCCCTTCTATCATTAAAAATAAAATAATATCTTAGGAAAACACTTTGGCATAACGGCAGCTGTGCAGCAAATTGAGGCTCAAAGTCTGTATCTATTTGTGGTTAAGCTTGAGGAGAAGGAGAAAGGTAAAATGATAACATGCATCGGAGAGCACCACAAAGAAAGGTGTAGGCCAGTTCATGGTACAAGGGCTGCATGCAGGTCAAGATTGCCCATTTCCAAGAATGCTATAGTGGCTGGACAGGCCCTGGACATGTCCTGAACTCAGTGTCAGATGTGGCTGCCGAATACTTGGATGAAGTGAAGCAGCTGACAGATCTCATGCTGCCCCATCTGAAGACTGTCCTGGCCAGGCAGAGGATGGATGAGGAGACCTTCCCAATGGACCCTGTCAGTGAACAGGCTAGTAACATTGATGGCACCCCTGTGCACAACATTGGGATGGAGAGACAATGTGGCAAGGTGGACTACAAACTGAAGACGTTGGGCACACTGAACGCAGTCAATAGGTCAATAATTTTACAGAAGTGCCAGGAGCTTCAGAGGTTTCAAGGCAGCAGCACAAGCAAAAAGGGAGGTTGAACTCAACTGGAGTAAATTCATGAAGGCAAAATTCGAGAGTAGGGCAGATGAGAAACAAGAGATGGCTCAAAGAAAGGAGAGTAAGAGACTAGACATGCTGGACACACTGAAATCTTTTGATGGCCCCTTCACGATAGTGGGGAAGTTGAAAAGTTCCTTGTGGATGAAAGTCTGCACAAGAATGCAAAGCTGCAGAGAATGAAGCTTGAGGTTCAGTTTGCCAGAGAAAGCACCAAGCTTCTGCCTAAAGTCAATCCTATCTTCACAATCCAGGTGACACTTCCCAGAAATGGCGAAAGTGCAATTCTCCAAGTCATAATGGATACTTAGAATTTTATGGTGGTGGTAAGTATTCATGAAAACAGGTAGCCTAACATTAGTGAATGGGTGAATTCTGGAAATAACCTAAAAATCTTACACAGTGCACCTTTAAGCAAGGGGTTTCTTTCGTGCTTTCAATTTTGCAAAATCATCCACCACATCATTGAAGTCCAACTCTCTTGTCAGCTCACTCTCAATTGCCATTGGAGATAACGCATTTAATCTTTTCTGAGTCATTCTTGTGCGTAGCTCATTTTTTACTCTTGACAAAAGAGAGAATGAGCGTTCTCCCTCACAGTTACTGACCGGTAGAGTGAGAAAAATCTGTAGCGCAATGTATGTATTAGGAAACGTAGGCTGTAGTCCAAAATGTATTATTGTTTTGAGCAGTCCTGAAGGGGTCCTCTCCTCATCAGTGTTGTTGAGCTGTATAAAAGATTTGAACTGTATAAGCTCCTGTCCAAGACTTTCATTGAGGTCAGATGGGTATGATTCAGTGAGAATCTTGGCCTTGTGAAGGACTGAAGCATTGGACTCTGTATCCAAAGAGAAAAGGACACTGAACAAATTGTTCAGATGTTTGTAGGCCTCCAGACGGTGATTAAGGCTTGAACTCAGTTGATCAATAGAGGCAATAAATGTCTCTATTTGAAACAGTTGCCTTCCCTCAAGCACAACATCTGGGGATGCTGATTCATCAGCAAACTTTTTACGTTTCCTTGTCCGTTCAGCCCTGTAAGATGGGGTGCCACCCAACATGTTTAAGGCTTTCTGCTCAAAATGATCAAATAGATCTCTTTGGGAGAGAACAAAGGTGCGCAGAGATTCCAGCAATCTAACTGCTGTACCAAGGTCCATGTCTGCTTTTTGAAGTTGCAGACTTGTGGCCTGAAATCTGGACAGAACAGTGTCCCAAAAGCCTGCCATGAAGGCCATCTCAAGTGAATCCAGCTTCCGCACTAGACTGTCAGCTTCAGTTCGTGTGTCTGGTTTCTCTGTGTCATCAGTGGAAATAACCTGTAATGCTGCTTTTATTTTACTGTAGTTCTGCCACAGTGCTTTGGTAGATTCTGCACGGCAACTCCAACGCGTGTTGGATAAAGCTTTAAGTGTGAGATCTATGTTGGAATTGCCAAATACCCTGTCCCATCGGTGCGTGGATGCAGTTGTGAAGTTGTAAATAGACTGAATCAAGTCAAAATACTTAGAGACTTCATTTCCACATCTGTCAATGCTGTTGACTCCCACCAAATTCAAAGAGTGAGCTGCACATGGAATATAGTGTATTAATGGGTTGCTTTTCTTTAAGTGAGCCTGTAACCCATTATACCTCCCTGACATGTTGCTGGCATTATCATAAGCCTGCCCCCTGCAATTTGACAGCTCTAACCCTAGATTTTCCAACACAGACATGACACAGTTAGCCAAACTTTCACCTGTATGGCTAGTAATGGGCTCAAAACCCTCAAAGCGTTCAACAACACTGCCCTCTTTGCTAACAAAACGGAATATGAATGTCAATTGGTCCACATGAGATAAATCTGGGGTTGAATCCACAATGATAGAGTAGTATTTGCTTGCTTGCAGTTCATCTGCTATAGCCTGTTTGGTTTTTGCACCCATCAATTCAATGAATTCCTCACAAATGGTGGAGGACAGATATGAGGTATTACCTCGACCCATCTGCCCAAACTTTCTGATGTGATCCTTTAGAAAGGGATCAAATTCAGCCAGGACCTCCAGAATACCAAGGTAGTTCCCATTGAGAGGAGACCCTAACGATTCATTTTTACCCCTAAATGCAAGGCCCCTTTCTGCAAGAAATTTAATGACTGCAACAACTCTTTGTAACACCTGCCTCCAATAGCTGCTCTCTGCCTGAAACTGTTTGAACAGGTCTGCATCAACTGTGGCACCTTTGGCGCGGTTCAAGACTGCTTGCATGCAGGTTATGTGCTCAGCACTTCGCTCATGTTCACCAAATCTTTCTGAGTGTTTCCAATCACAATAGCCTGTCACAAAAGAATGCGTTTTTGGGGAAAACAGTTGGCATGCAAAGCAGTAAACATTACCAGTAGAGGGAGAGTACATCAGCCACTCTCTTTGTACTCGTTGTCCATTGGGCAAGTGTGAAGTAAAATGTTCATTGTTTAGGCATCGGGTTTTGCCTCCTAGCCCACTGTTCCTCACAGAAGCTGGATAATGGCTGTGATGGTTGTGAAATGATTTTGCACCTCTTTGAATAAGAACTTCCTTCATTGACTCAGTGAGGGTCTCAGCCCATTTAGTGGGATCACTAGGTAGAGTTGTCACTGTAGATGGTGTTGAAGAAAGATTCAGCTCATTTTCTATGCTGTCCAGAGGTGCAGTGACCTCACATTCATCCGAGCAACTGGCTACTGCTGAATTGGTTGAATCATAAGCATCAGAAGCATTTGGTTCAGTGTCTACACTTGTAGTGGTCTCAGGATCTTGGGAGCTACATGCTAGCTCAGGTGCATTGCTAACCTTAGCTGAATTTGCAGTAGCATTTATAGAATTGCTTTCAGCAGATGTCTTTGTACTGAAGAAGCTGGAGATATTTGGAACACTCTCAAGTAAAACTGATTCCTTTTTTTTCTTTTCTTGGTGAATTTTTTTTCTAGCTCCTCCACTTAAACGTTTATGATCCATATTTCCCTTCTTTCTTTGCACATTGGCTCTTTGCCTATCACAACAGATAAACCAACTATGTATGTGTGTGTGTGTGTGTGTGTGTGTGTGAGTTTGTTTGTGTGTTTATGATCGGTGCTGCTTCCTTCAAGTGTGTGAGGTGATTTAGAAAACTAGCAACCCAGCATCAACACTCCAAAGCAGAGAATAACAGCTTACTAGCATAGACAATTGAGAGCAGAGAATCAACTGATTCGTCTGATAGACAGCAGGAGAGCAGAGTGGTCAGTGATGATCGAATCAAGAAAATGTCTAAATGGCAAGGGAACAGACTGATTTGTACTGAGGAGAAAGAGAGAGAGAGCCAATTATAGTGAAATATATTCCAAAAGAGCCAAGTGACTAGCTGAAGGCAGGGACAAATGCCTTGGAGTGAACAACAAGAGTGCAAAGTACCAAATGGCAAAATGTGGGAAGACCAACAGGCAGATCTGCTTTTACCACTTATCTTCACAACCAAAAAGTCGCTAAATGATGGTTTTAGTCACTAGCCAGGTATGGCCAAAAGACACGAAATCTAGCGGCAAACTCGGTCAATCAAACTGACAGTGAAACAAATATTTTGAAAAGATAATAATTGTACAACTTTGTGCACTTTTGTCTTCTATCTAAATATTTTCACAAAGGACACCAAAATGTTGCTATCTGCAGGCAGCTTGCTAGCTATGATGGCAGCAAAGATGTCTGCCAGACAGGAGAGAGTGGTCAGTGACGATCGAATCGAGAAAATGACAAAATGGGTCAAAGACCAAAAAGTTATTAACTGACAGCAGTGACAAATGTCAGACTGTAAACTTTTTCGAAAGAAAAGGACAAAATGGGAAGATGCTGATAGTAACAGCAAAATGGAAAATATAAGAATTTCCAAGTAATGCTCAACTCAAGTGTGTGTGTGTGTGTGTGCGCGCGTTAAACTTCTTGTTGAATGATTTCGAATTATCTCTGAGTCTGAACTGAGGGAAAGGAAACCAAATTTTGAGCAGTCTCTCACGAGTTCAAAATACCAAATGAGGAGATTCTAAAAGAACAGACCGGTTTATGAAAGACTCGATGGGGGAGGGGCACAGCTAAGAATACTTGAGTGAGATTCTTTGATCCAAATTCGAGATAGAGCTTTTTGATAATGATAATTTGTCAGAGTAAGGTTGTGTAATCAAAATTTGAGAATGAGCTTTGTCAATCAATCAAGAATATTTGCATTATGTTCTGTGATCAAAATTCAGAAACAACCTTTAATAATTGATCAAGAATATGTGAGTGAGGTTGTGTGATCCATCCAATTTGAGAATTAGCTTTGATAATAATGATTGAGAGCCTCTGGCCCTCTGTGGATCATGGCCGCGGGGCCAATTTTGCCTGGCCCCTTGGGGCCTCTGTGGGTCGTGGCCGCGGGGCCAAGTTGGCCTGGCCCCTTGGGGCCTCTGACCCTCTATGGATCGGGGCCAAGTTGGCCTGACCCCTAGGGGCCTCTGGCCCTCTATGGATCATGGCCGCGGGGCCAAGTTGACCTTGCCCCTTGGGGCCTCTGACCGTCTGTGGCTTGCGGCCGCGGGGCCAAGTTGGCCTGGCCCTTTGGGGCCTCTGGCCTTCTGTGGGTCGTGGCCGCGGGGCCAAGTTGGCCTGGCCCCTTGGGGCCTCTGGCCTTCTGTGGCTTGCGGCCGCGGGGCCAAGTTGGCCTGGCCCTTTGGGGCCTCTGGCCTTCTGTGGGTTGTGGCCGCGGGGCCAAGTTGGCCTGGCCCCTTGGGGCCTCTGGTCTTCTGTGGGTTGTGGCCGCGGGGCCAAGTTGGCCTGGCCCCTTGGGGCCTCTGACCGTCTATGGATCGTGGCCGCGGGGCCAAGTTGGCCTGGCCCCTTGGGGCCTCTGACCGTCTATGGATCGTGGCCGCGGGGCCAAGTTGACCTGGCCCCCTGGGGCCTCTGACCCTCTATGGATCGTGGCCGCGGGGCCAAGTTGGCCTGGCCCCTTGGGGCCTCTGACCGTCTATGGATCGTGGCCGCGGGGCCAAGTTGGTCTGGCCCCTTGGGGCCTCTGACCATCTATGGATCATGGCCGCGGGGCCATGTTGGCCTGACCCCTTGGGGCCTCTTACCCTCTATGGATCGTGGCCGCGGGGCCAAGTTGGCCTGGCCCCTTGGGGCCTCTGACCGTCTATGGATCGTGGCCGCGGGGCCAAGTTGACCTGGCCCCCTGGGGCCTCTGACCCTCTATGGATCGTGGCCGCGGGGCCAAGTTGGCCTGGCCCCTTGGGGCCTCTGACCGTCTATGGATCGTGGCCGCGGGGCCAAGTTGGTCTGGCCCCTTGGGGCCTCTGACCATCTATGGATCGTGGCCGCGGGGCCATGTTGGCCTGACCCCTTGGGGCCTCTTACCCTCTATGGATCATGGCCGCGGGGCCAAGTTGGCCTGACCCCTTAGGACCTCAGGCCCTCTGTGGGTCGTGGCCGCGGGGCCAAGTTGACCTGGCCCCTTGGGGCCTCTTACCCTCTATGGATCATGGCCCCTTGGGGCCTCTTACCCTCTATGGATCGTGGCCGCGGGGCCAAGTTGGCCTGGCCCCTTGGGGCCTAAGATTATTATTTTTGCAAAAGTAGTTTTGCTTGGGTCGCGGCCGCGGGGCCAAGTTGGCCTGGCCCCTTGGGGCCTCTGGCCCCCTGGGCCTGGGCCCGGTAGGCCCGGTCATTAATCCACCTATGCCGGTTACTCCTTCACTTCCCTGGAAAGTTGTTTCATGTGATTAATAAAAAAATGCTCTGATTAATAGAAATTGCTACAGATAATGCCATGTTATGAATGGTTATAAACTAGATTCACATGAGAAGGACAGTCTTTATATGTATGTGTTAAGGAATTTGTCATTTAGTCTTGATAAATGACCTGGTGTTATTTTGCCAGTTTTAAATGGAGCAAGGCATTAAAAACCGAACATTTGGTGTATTTTAAGATCCGTAAAAACTGCAGCAGACCATAAGAAAATAACCCTTTACTTGTTTTCCTCTAATGACTATGAAAAAAAAAATCTCTTTCCTATTTTTGGATGTTAAGTCAATGGATAATAGTGTGCATGCATAATCTTTGGTTACATTAATGAACTCTTTCTGCATTTTCCAGGATTTTGCACTACCCAGTAAATAAGCACTGAAGATTGAAGCCAGGGAGCTATGGGTGCAAACACCAGCCAGGTCACTGACCTGTCCGATAATGCCAGCCTCAAAGCCCTGGTGGGGACCGAGTCCATCTCTGAAAACGATCCCTTCTGGAATCAGCTCATCTCCTTCACCTTTGTCAGTCCTACAAACAGGTAGAAAAAAAAATCAATTCTGATTGAAGTAATATGATGAAAACAGTCCATCTTTCATTTAACCCACAACTTTTATTCCATGTAATTGCCTCTGAAATAGTTAATCGGCTGTGTCTTGTTGGTTGCTAGGCAAATGGAAGAAACTGTGTGGTTTATTGTTGCATATAGGTAGCTATCTTGTCTATGTTAAAAACTGAAAGTTGCTGTAGAGGTAGTAACTGACACCTCATGGAGAATCAGAATCTGAATCAAGTTTATTGCCAAGTAAGTTTGCACTTACAAGGAATTTTACTATATACAATATATAGCAGAAGTCACTAATTAGCGGACCGGGGTCCAGATCTGGACCCACCTGCTGGCTAAGCCGGACTGAACCTGATTTAAAACAGCTATAAATTATTGCATTTTGTCCGTCGACAGTTTCTAACTTCATTTCCGCCGCTTCTCCTGTTAACATGGTAAAGCTCTCCAGAGTGCCGGGACCTGGCTGCACGTGATACAAATTAGCCAATGAGCTGTCAGTCTGAGTTGCTGCTGCTGCTACTTTTAGACACAGCAGGAAATTCTGTGGCAAGCCGGGCGATGGGAAAGAAGGAGAAGATGATGAGAAAAAGATAACAGAGAAAGTGTGGACTGCTGGAAGAAGTGCAAGGGACTAGTGACAGAAAATTAAAATGGCTTGTTTAAAGATGACCCTGCACATTTTGAATACGTTTGGCTCAACCTGCTGCTGTGAAGCAGGATTCTTCACCATGAACATATTCAAAAATAAATATCGATCCAGGCTCACGAATTAGCAACTTGATAGGTTGAAAGCCTTGCAGGGGAGCGTGAAGCCCGATTCTCTCCTCAAGCCATAAAAAAGAAAGGAAAACAAAAAAATCATTTCAGGTGTTTTATAAAATATATGAATCAGGAAATTGTCTATATACAAAACGGAAAGATTGTTGTTCTCAACTTCAAAAACACTTTAGATTTAAATATGGAAAAATATTCTATTTTTCTTTATAGATTTTTATTTAAAAATTTGATATATAAAAGGATGCATAAAAACCTCATTTTATTCCAGTGTTAAATGCTGTTTAAAGTAACGGATTATAATTAAAAAGATCTCCGGATCTTTACTGGTTGTTGATTTTCTTTATTTGAACCCCACTGATTTTTAATTGGTTACCCCTGATATATAGAATATAGCTAGATGTAATAGATCACCTGAGAGTCCAACACAGTGTCAGATGTGCCTCCTAGAACTTTGCTTCTCTTTAACAAGATTATATGGTCATATGATCTGAGGTCAACTTTAGAATATTTATTGTCTAACAGAGAATGGAGAAAACCTTTGTCATGGTGACTAGAACCCATCTTTCTGACCTTCGAAGTTGGTCAAAAGGTTGTTTTCGTTGCACACAGAGTTAGTAAAACACAAGAACACAATTCTATACGCACTCATCATAAAACTGCTTTCAAACCTGCGGTTAATGTGACCAATATTTGTTTCTTAAGTTGTTTCTTATGCTCAGAGTGAAAAAGTCCTTCAAATTTTCGCCCAGGATTCATAATTAAACTACAGAGGATGTTTGCAGAGCTCAACTGAAGGATCCGCCTGGGTATCACTTGTGCTTAGGATTTTAGTTAAAGGTTAACGTGTAGTTCTTTCCTGAATAAAGTTAATGATAAAGAGAAAACTGCATTCCTGTTTGTAGGTGCTAAATGACATGCTTAAACACTGGCCCACTGAAAGAGCTTTTTCTAGATTATAGGTTCTGTTTCAGGTACGTGGGGGGAATTCCTCCAATGTGCTAAGAGAGAGGATGAGGTTAAATTAGCTGTGATCTGTTGTAGCAGATTCCTTAAGTGTTTTAAGATAATCCTCCATGGATCAGCCTTGGTCCATTAAGTTAATCTTCCTCGCCTTCTGTCCTATTTAACATGTCAAGGTGAAACAACATCTAGAGAGTTTTGTTTTTCTAGTTCTTGCGACTTTAACTTTTATTATTCCCAAAGAGGATTTTTTTCACAGCTCTTCTTTAAGAGAAGCATCAATGAAACCAGCATACAGTCATGGCCAAAAGTTTTGAGAATGGTTCAAATGTTAATATTTACAAAGTCTACTGCTTCAGTTTTTATAACGGCAATTTGTATATACTCCAGAATGTTATAAAGAGTGATCAGCGTAACAGCAATTAATTGCAAAGTCAATAATTGCCTAGAAAATGAACTTTATCCCCCAAAACCCATTTCAACATCATTGCAGCCCAGCCTTAACAGGACCAGCTAACATTGTTTCAGTGATTGCTCCATTAACACAGGTGTGGGTGCTGATGAGGACAGGGCTGGAGATCAACCTGTCATGATTAAGTAAGAATGACATCACTGGACACTTTAAAAAGAGGCTGCTTCTCTTCTTTGAACCATGGTTATCTCTTAAGAAACACATGAAGTCATCATTGCACTGCACAAAAACAGGAAAGAGAATCGCAGCTAGAAAGATTGCAGCTCAGTCAACAATCTATCGCATCATCAAGAACTTCAAGGAGAGAGGTTCCGTTGTTGCCAAAAAGGTTCCAGGGGGCCCAAGAAAGACCAGCAAGCGCCAGGACCGTCTCTTAAAAGTGTTTCAGCTGCGGGATCGGGCTACCAGCAGTGCAGAGCTTGCTCAGGAATGGCAGCAGGCAGGTGTGAGTGCATCTGCACGCACTGGAAGGCGAAGACTCTTGGAGCAATGCCTGGTCTCAAGGAGGGCAGCAAAGAAGCCACTTCTCTCCAGGAAAAACATCAGGGACAGACTGATATTCTGCAAAAGGTACCGGGAGTGGACTGCTGTGGACTGGGGTAAAGTCATTTTCTCTGATCAATCCCCTTTCCGATTGTTTGGGACATCTGGAAAACAGCTTGTTCGAAGAAGAAGAGGTGAGCGTTACCACCAGTCTGGTCTCATGCCAACTGTAAAGCATCCTGAAACCATTCATGTGTGGAGTTGCTTCTCAGCCAAGGGAGTCGCCTCTCTCACAGTCTTACCTAAAAACACAGCCATGAATAAAGAATGGAACAGAATGTCCTCCAAGAGCAACTTCTCCCAACCGTCCAAGAGCAGTTTGGTGATGAACAATGCCTTTTCCAACATGATGGAGCACCTTGCCTAAAAGCAAAGGTGATATCTAACTGGCTCAGGGAACAAAACATAGAGATCCCCTGATCTTAATCCCATTGAAAGCTTGTGGTCAATCATCAAGAGACGGTGGACAAATGAAAACCTAGGAGTTCTGACAAAATGCAAGCATTGATTGTGCAAGAATGGACTGCTATCAGTCAGGGTTTGGTCCAGAAGTTGATTGAGAGCATGCAAGGGAGAATTGCAAAGGTCCTGAAGAAGAGGGGTCAACACTGCAAATATTGACTTGCTGCATTAAATCATTCTGTCATTAAAAGCTTTTGTTACTCATAATGATTGTAATTGTATTTCTGTATGTGATGACAACATCTGACATACACACGAAAACCAGAGGGCAGCAGATCATGTGAAAATATAATATTTGTGTCATTTTCAATACTTTTGGCCATGACTGTAGAGCTGGGAAAATGTATCTACACCATTACTGAATCCTTTGGTGTTTGTGACACTCATTCATGTTGAATCATCAAAAGATTGTTAAAATTAGACAAAGATAACCTAAGAAAAAATAAAAACCTGCTTTCAGCTGTTGAGGTGATTTATTGTAGAAAATAATTAAACTATTCAAACAAACCTGGGTCTGTGTTTAGAAGTAATTTTGGTCCATTCTGCTTTAGAGATTTGTTATCAATCAACTACGTCAGACGGCTCAGAGGTGGACCTTTGATCAAAAACCAGAAGCCGTTTTTCTTCCTTTCAGGGTTTTTCTGTCAGAGCAGAATGCAGGCGTCCATTAATGTTATCTATTCATCGTAGAGTGGAAGCAGCAAAACAACCCCGGATTATCTCTGAAAACATGGTGGCCTGTTTGTGAAATGGTGAAATCAGGATAATCAGTTTCTTTTCCCTCATTAGTTCCAAAAAATCTTTCTCTAAAAGTCTTTGGGATCATCGCGATTTTTCGGGCCTACATGAAATCAGATTCCTTGTTGTTTTTTTGTTCATCTTAGTTTTCTTTTTTATTGCCTTAAAGTACAGTTAAATACAGTTTTTGCAAATGTTTTCTATATTTTAGTCTGACATTCACTAAGGCTAATTAGTGGTCTTTTTTTTAACAATATGGCGGTGCCTGCAGGCATCGGCTACAGACGGCTCCCGACAACTCCACAAAATATGCCGCCTAGAATGCTACAAACTAGGCATCAATCCTACATCTTGCACTGCTATGAACCTTCCACATCAATGCCCTTTGCACCATGTCTCTCCTACACCGTTTGCATTATAATCACTGCTACACTTTATGAATAGAAATGTTCATTTCACTCCTAAGCTGCTGCTCGTTCACTCTCCGAGAGCTGCATGTATCAAAACTTCATTTGTATACACTCTGTGTATACAAAATTACATAAAGTTTGTGTAAGTCAGTAAAGGCAGCAGAATATATTGTGAATATAGCATCCTCACATTATCAGTGTATGCAATGCTCACATCACACAGGCCTCTTTGGAGTAAACAATCATTGACTAATATATGTAACTCTTTCGGGCTGTGCCTAGCTGGGCTCCATGGGTAAAAGTCTGGTCACCAGGCGCTTGCCAGCAGAGATGGGGGATCTGGAGTCAACAAGTCATCGCTTGTATTTGTTCTGCCCAGCCACTGAACCAGGTGAGTCCAATCTGGTTTAACCTGTGCAGATTGGACTCACCTGGTCAGAACAAATACATGACATAGAGATGCCTTGTTGACTCCAGATCCCCCATCTCTGCTTGCCAGCGTGCCCCACCTCCAGGCCTGGCTCCAGAGTGGGGCCCCGGTGACCCGCGTCCAGGCGAGGGATCACTTGGTCCATTTGTCTTCCTCATCATAAGAGGTCTTTAGGCTGCTCTTTGTCTGGTCCCTCACCTAGGAACTGTCTGCCTCGGGTGACCTTAGAAGGGGCCCAAAGCCCCCAGACAGCATAGCTCCTATGGTCATTGGGACACTCAAACCCCTCCACCACAACAAGGAACCTTAATTAATAAATAAAATCAGCATTGGAAACTACTCAGTTCATCTCTCACTACATGCTGTACTAACATGCTTTACCTGCATCATCTATCTTTAACCACAGAGCAGTCCTGATCATATTCTGTTGGGTATATGGTGGAAATGAGAGGTTCTCCTATAGTTATTCCTCCTGACACCCTGATGGAAAGAAGAGTGGGTTTGTAATATTTGTCACAGCCTTGTTTTAGGGTTTGATGGAGTGGAATTACCCTAAAGGTATAGATATCCAGCTTCGGCAAGTAACACTGTCACTCAGCACATAGCAAACACCATAAAACAATCTTCTCTCTGAAAAGAAGATCATTAAATGCGACCAAATCTAACCATTGTAAAATAATGATAAAATTAACAGTTCTTTTTTTTTATTTAATTTTTTTTATCAAAACATTGTTTTTCTTTTGAGCATTGACAGAAAATGACCAACTGGTAGAAAAATGCAGTTAGTAAACGGTTTATAGCGGGTAAATTAGTGTCTAAGAACCACAAAAACAGCACGGAAAGTCTCAGCAGATAGTTTCAACTCTTTTCTTTGACAGTCTAAACCTTTGAGCTCATAAAGTGTCATAGATCCTTTGGCTACTAAAAACATTCATAAGTAATTTTCCTGGTGAGTAACCTTTTTAGACTGAATGAAATGATGAAATCTAACCATGGTGACGCTACATAGTGTTTTTTGCATTAGTAAACTGTTGACTGTATGAATATGTCCTGTTCTATGTTTTGAAGGGCCGATGGAAAACAACAATAAAGTTTTATCTTGTCTCTTATCTTAAAGATCAGTATTCATTTACATTTTTTCTTTAAAAGAATTCTTTAAAAAACATACTGTCCCAGACAAACTAAAATACCTAGCTGTAATTGAACAAACATACCTGTCAGCAGGTGCAGAAGTCTCGACTAATCATTTCCTGAACATTACAGAAATAATCTGATTTCAGTGATTGCCTCAAAGTGTTACTCAACAAAATTTCGGTCTTGTTTACTTATTTTATTTATTATAAGTCCTTGTTCTCTTTGCTGTAGCTTTAATACTGGTGTTTTTTTTGTATTTGTTTTGCAGTGGAGACTCAAAGTTACTTGAAGAGGCCGTCATCCCCCTGGCCAAGGCTCTCAGTATGTCTCCTTGTTGCACCAGATTTGTATTTCAAATTAAACTCTAATTATCCATTTTCTCTAATTAAAAGAAAACGGATAGTTTATTTGAATTCTCCTTTTTTTTGCTGTTGCAGAACAACGTTCAGATTTTTATTTGTTTCCTATTTCTTTTTTCTCTCAAGTTCAAAACAATCCCAGGACGGGGAACTTTGGTGCTTTAGTGAGGGTTTTCCTGGGGAGAACCAAGGAGCTAAAAATTTCCACAGAATGCCAAGAGTGAGTATGCAAACTTGTAGAAAGGGGGAAAATAGATTATCTCAATGCTTTAGAGATGAAGGAGAAGATGATATGCTTGTTGAAGATGGTGGCTTCAGTTTTTTTTTTTTTGTCATGAAAGATTGAACATCACAGGTTGGTTCTTTATTTACTATGGTCTAATGATGACCTTCCTTCAGTGGATCCCAGTGAATCTCATCCTTTATTTCCTGTTATTCCTCTTGCAAATGTACATTTCCATGTTCTGCTCGTGATAAATATGTAATTTGTATGGGTAAACATTTAGCACTTGAGAGTTGGGGGGGGGGGGGGGGGGGGACAGTTACAGAGAAAAATGTAATGATGCAGCTTTTTGTTCTGTTTTTCTGTCACAGTCAGTTATTCATCTGGCAGGCGCATAATGCATTGTTCATGATTCGTTGCCTGGTGAAGGTCTTTATCAGAGAGATGAGTGAGGAAGAGCTGCACCAACAGTTCTCCTACCAGGAGAGGGCGCCAGGCTCCTGTGGAGGTGAGCTGTGTGTGGGGAACTTGCAGTTTAATAATGTCAGGGTTTAGACAATGTTGTTTTATATTTAAAGAATATAGAATATCTTAACCCAGGGAATTAAAGCATACATTATTTTTTTTTTTTTAGCTTCTGTGCCGAATTACCCCAAATTAAACACAGTTCAATAACTGTGTTTAATATTACAATTCTGTGAGAGAGAGGTAGAGATTAATAGCTTGATTTTTGGGGACTCTAAAAAAGCAGTTTAATATATATATATATATATATATATATATATATATATATATGGTTTCATTTGTGTCTAATATGTTCTTTTACCAAAAATGTAGAAAGTGGGAGTGAGGACCTCCTGGAGGAGCTGTTGTTGAACCTCGTTCACCTGATTGTTGAAGTACCCTTGCTGTAAGTATCTCTAAGTGTGAGTACTTAAAGATGTGTGTCAGTAACACTTCAATTAAAACGCACTGATGTATTGTATACTCTATAACCATAAGTCACAACAGTACTTATTATTTCTCAGCCTCTAATCCTTTCAGTAAATTGAGATTACCACTTGTAGAAGTTATAGTTTTCTCTGTATAATTACTTAAATATCACTTTAAATCAGTGTGAATTTTTATTTTATTTTTTTGTCATTATTGTGTCTTTTGCTAGCCTGGAATGCTCACTTCTCATCCCCAAGGAAAAGGAAAATCCATTGCTGTGTATACAGGCCTTGTGCTTGCAGCTTAACGGATAAGCTGGGAACACAATCAGTTGTAAAATACAAAAAGACAACTATGTAGGAGAAACATCTGAAGGCAAAGAGAAAGTGATGCTGAGGGAAAAAAAGAAAAGCCTGGAAATCAAAGTTCATGAACATTTCCAGTGCGTAGGAGAGAAGAGAACATCATGTTTGAAAAATAAAATCAGCCTTTACTCCCACTGGGCAGTGCACACACTAACTCTGAATTAATGAGGGAATACTTCAGTGAGTGGGTGGCTCATCAATGGCTGAATTATTTGACTGATGGTCTACTAGACGTACAGGGAGACTGCAGCTCTGCAAACTATTCCGGTGCTCTCCACAGAGGCATCTAAACTATTTCAAACCAGTTCACAAAAAAAAAAATGACATTTTGGTAATTCCTCAATATTGCAGTGTCCATTTTTTTTCTTTCTGTTCTCATGTCAGTACTGAGTCCATTTTAACACTGTCTTCTGTCTAATTACTCTCCATTCCTCCTTAATATAATTTTTTTCTCAGTTGTCTCTGGACATCAAAACCTGGCTCTTGTATAAATGCATTCAGCATTCCAACATTATTCATTGTTTCGAGCTTAAAGGCTCACTGTTTTTCTTCCCTTCACCACTTTGTGGCTGTCAGCCCATTTCCTCCGTACGTGCTCCTGCTTTGGGAACCGGGCCATTCTTCTGGTATGACCTCTGCAAGTCTGCAGCAGATTTCTGCACCCTCAGTGTCCTTATTCCACTCAAAAGACAGATGTTTTTTTCTTTTTCAGTTGAATGAATCGAGAACAAACTTTTAATCAAATCATGCAATATTTACCTGATAAAGGATGTTTAGATTATCTTTATTCATATGTGTAAATTTCAAGCATTCTTCTGCATATTATTGGAAAAGGATTCACTGTTGTAAACATTATTAATTCATATTAGGAGCATATTACAGATGTAGTGTAGATCATCAAACTCTCTTTACAATTTATATTTACAATTAGCTAGATTGGCAAAGTTGATAAATTTAAATATTTGTTAAGGTAGAAATTGATTTTAACTGAGATTTCAAACAGGCTTGCTAGAAACTTTCCTCTGTCAGCGCTATAATTTGCCTTTAAACCAGGTTTTTACAGACTCTGATTCCTTAACTTAATTTCTGACAAAAACAATTTGCAAAGAATAAAACTAACTTTTACTCAAATTCCTTCAGATACAGCTCCTACATTTAAGAGTATGAGCAAGGATTTGGCCCCAGTTAAAAATCAACCATTTACAATAAGCTGTCTTTTTCTTATTTCTTAATAAATGTGAATCCATAATCTGCTTCTATTTCTGCAGAGACCTCACCTACAGTATCCTGTTTGAAGCAGTGACAACATTGCTGACTTTCTTCTCCTATCAACTCTTCCACAAAGAAATCCTCCAAGAGGGATTGATATATCAACACATCATGAAGGGTCGATGGTGAGAATGGCTTTTCATTATTTTATTGTTTAGTTTTGTTTACTTGACTTTTAATCCATCTAAAAGTTAGAATATTACATGATAAATAAAAGTTTAAAACACACATGATGCTGCCATCTAGTCCATTTATTAAAATTAAGGGCACATAAAGTAAGGCTTGGAAATAAATAGCATTTGCATTATAATCACAATTTTGCAAAATTAGATATTCAAATAACAGATTTTGTCAAAATTTCTCACCCCCCAGTATTTGGATATTTCTACCTGTTCAGCAAAGATTCCAACTTGCTACCTAAAAGAAATCAAAGGTGGTCTTATCTCTAAACCTTTATCATATTTTATCACTTTAAAACCACAAACACTATTTATTTTAAAGGTTGAATGGAAATAGAAATTGTATTTTCTTCACTTTTTATTTACAAATTATAAATATGAAAAGTTTGATTTTAATATGTATTCAGCCTCTTTTTATCTGTTACACCTGAATAAGATCTATTGGAACCATTGATGGTTGACTCAATAATATTTAGTAATTAGTAAAAGTATCAACTCTGACCCCACCTTTTTTGCTAAGGCCACAGAGGCTTCATGGAGAACAAGGAGCACCGCTGACAAGAGGGTGAAGCAAGGACAGATTTTCAAAAAATATCCTTAGACTAAGGATACGTTCACACTGCACCCTGAAGTGACCCAAATCCGATTTTTTTGCCCATATGCGACCTGGATCTGATCTTTTCATGGCTGTCTACAGATCCGTTTTTTTTTCTTTTAATCTGACTCAGGCCACTTGGCTACGTGGCCCTGAATCCGATATGAATCTGATCTTTTTAAATGTGACCTCTGAACGGCCAGGTCTGATTCATCCTTGCAGAAGCGGCAAGAAAAACGGCAACCATGGCGGATGATGCTCCGTAGAGTAGTATTTATGTTTAAACATATTGAAAAGATTGCGTTTTTATGGTTGGAAAAGACCGCTAGATGCGCGCCGGCACTACCATCCTTGTTTACTTCTGGAAAAAAAAAGCACGCTGGCCTGTGACGTCATTGCGTCCACTACTGTGCATCACGAAAAAAAATTGGATTTCACGAAATCATCAAGGCCTGCAGTGTGAACGTAGCCTTTGACAACTTTTATTGTCATTTTGCATACAAATGAATTTTCGTTTTGTAGAGCTTTCATAACATTTCCATTCCTTAAAGTGCAGCAGTGATCAAATGTAAACAGTGTGGGAGAAAAAATATGGCACAAAAAAAAAACTATTGATATGGAAGTTCAGAGCATTAAATATGTATGGTGCAAATATGCAGAGTTTCGGATTGGTGTAATCAGTGAGATGCGGAGTCAGTGACATGATTAAGAACAACAGTTCAGCTGTGTGATGGCGTCGGGGAAGATGCTATTTCCGAATCTTCTTGGCCTGCATCGTATGCTGCGAAGCCTCTTCCCAGAGTGCAGCAGGAGGAACAGTCCATGATATCCTGTAATAGTCCATAATAGCCAGAGGAATAAAAGCATTTGAAGTTTGCCACCAATGGAAGAGGCACACTGTGCACATGGGAGAAGGCATCCTGGTCAGAAAAGTCAACATAGTGGAAGAAAACTAAGACTGCATTTACCTTCCTTAGCAGATTGTCCTTAAAGTAACACCTGGTGGCAACATCCTGCTTTGGGAATGAATTTTTTTTAGCTGATCATGATTGATTGAAGGATTTAAAGATTTAATGACTGCAACAGACTGGACCAGCAGAAAATTAACCCTAGAATGGTTCACAGTGGCCCGGTCAAAATCAAGAGCCAAATCCAAATACATTTGTTGACAAGAATTGAAAAAGCAGGCTCTTCATCTAATCTGATTAATCTTAAACCAGTTTGCAAAGAATAATGGTTGAAAAATGCATCATCTAGATAAACAGGGCTGATAAAGGAATACCCCTAAAGACTTAATGTTATAGCTCCAGTAGTATTGGCTGTACAGGGTTAAAGAAAGAATGTCCCCTATACCTGTTCGAGGTCTGGAAAAGTTTGGGAAACCCTGTTTCTCTTTCCTGTCACTTCACTTTTTTACACACATTTTGTTTTTACTAATTAACTTGCATAATAGCTCAAAGAAATGCATTAAAGTTTGTGGAACTAAAGGTATTTAACGTTCTGCTGGTTTTATGGATCAATTGGATTAAATATAATTAAATTGAAATCTGTTATTTACAACTTTTAATAAAACCTGTCCGGTTTGTCTTATTGCTGATTAATTTGAGTTCAAAAAGTTACAGCTTCATTGTTCTAACGTGTCTGCTCCTCTTTTTTTTTTTAGTTTGGAACTGACTAGCCGCTTGGTAAAGACCCTGCTCTATAACTTCATCAGGCAGGAGAAATGTCCTCCTGCGGCCCACATTTTTGAGCCGAAAGCTGAAGGAGGCCTTCTTTACGGGCTGGCGTCTGGAGTGGCAAGTATGTCCACAAACATCACCAAAATAAGTGCTGTGAAACAAAACAAACATTTGCTTTCATTCCCAATGAACATTTATTTTTATATATATTTGTTTTATAGACAATCTCTGTTGTTTTCTTCTAAACCTATAATTATGCTTTCGTTTTTCTTTTCCTGCTTCTCATAAATGAGTTGTTGGCTCCTTCAGGCCTGAAATATGTTCCAAGAAAACATTGCGGTGACATTCTCTCAGCAACTTATCAAGAATTAATTATTAATTTTCTATAAAAAAGCTGTAGTGTAAATTTAATTAACTTAAAGTTATAGTTAATCATTGCCAGAGAGTGAGAGAAATCTGATTAATGTGGACGAGAGTGAGCAGTAAAAAAATAATCCCAGATTTATTGTTTCAGACTATTTTCAAAGGCCTATGTGCGTTGATGTGTGTGTGTGTTTGTGTATTGAATTTGTGTGTTAATGTTAGGGGAGGGCAGGGTTTCCCCCACGGATATATGCTCTTTGTTGGTTGCAGACTCCTATCAGTGAGCAATCATCATTCAGCCCAGCCTGTCTGTCTCTCTGTGGCCAGTTGATCGGCTTGATGAGTTATGGTCCCTTGTCGTGTCATGTAATCCCTCAGAGCCTGTCTGTCTGCAGCCGCTTGCCTTGAACACACACAAGCCGACAGAGACACAAGCTTTTTTACGTACACTTGAAACACTTGTTCTCCTTCTCTGTGTCAAATGATTTAAACCATCATGAGATTGGTGGGGCGGGGGGTACAACGAATTGATGTTTTCCGTGTGACCACAGCGGATTTCTGTGGTATTTTTCTCCTGGCTTAGTCTTTGTGAAAATACTAATCATTTAACTTGGAAAAGTTACATCTGGTTATTTTTATAAAAATGTTTTCATTATTCTCAAAAGTGTGGCATGCAAGTCTGAAGTTTTCCTTCATCCTTTTTTTTTTCTTTTTTTTAGAATGAGGAAGTATTAAGATGTTTTGGACAGCATCAATGAAGTCTTTTTATAGATTCTTAGGTGGATTTAGCTCCTGGGGACGTGAATATTCCTTAATCTAAACCATTGTGCTATAGACAGGGCTCTATGCTTACAGTCATTTATCCAACAAACAGGTTCTCTAACTGGATTTTCCTTTATTTACCTCTGACCATCTTCCCATCAACCCTGCCCGTTGCCTCATCCTTTCACTGACATGTCATACCATGTTGATGGCATGATCAGTATACAGTGTTGAACCAAACACTGAGCTTTAAATGGAGCATCACAAACAGGTCCGTGTTGTTCTGAGTGCACAAGATCCAACTCCCAAACATATTGATTGTGACAATCTGCAAATAGTATGACCTTCTTTCATCTGTAGCGCTAAACACACCACTTTGACAAAAATTACAGATTTGTAATGTGCACAGTAATCTCTGTGTTGGTTAGCCAAGAAAATTAGATGAAGAGCTGCTTTAAAGTGTGCAGCAGTTATCAACTGACAAAATGTGATTTAATGAGGTGTATACTTTGGCAAGGCTCTTTGAGCTGATTTATTTCTTTTAGAAACAGCTTGAATCAATTGGTATAAGAGTGCAGATATATGCAGAACCAAAAAGCTGAGTTTTTTTTCCAGTTTTGTGGAAATATTTTTTTCAAATGAGACTACTTTTGATTGTAAAATAAAAAACCCTTCCAAATATCATAGTTAGTACTTTATATGTCATCTTTTGGTTTTATATCAACTTCAATTAACTCAAAAAGTTATATTCTTCATCTGTTGGCTACTCACAACTAAAACTAAACTGTCTTTATATATATATATATATATATATATATATGTATGTGTATATATATATATATATATATATATATATATATATATATATGTATACAGCTGATCTCGTCCCTGCTTTTTGCGGATGACGTAGTTCTGCTGACTCCCTCCTGCCAAGACCTACAGCATGCGCTGGGGCGGTTCGCAGCCGAGTGTAAAGCGGCCGGGATGAGAATCAGCTCCTCCAAGTCCGAGGCCATGGTTCTCGACCGGAAAAAGGTGGCTTGTCCCCTTCAGGTTGGAGGAGAGTCCCTGCCTCAAGTGGAGGAGTTCAAGTATCTTGGGGTCCTGTTCACGAGTGAGGGAAGAATGGAGTGGGAGATCGATAGACGGATCGGTGCGGCTGCCGCAATAATGCGGACGCTGCACCGGTCTGTCGTGGTGAAGAGAGAGCTGACGAAAAAGGCAAAGCTCTCAATTTACCCGTCGGTCTATGTTCCTACCCTCACCTATGGTCATGAAATTTGGATCATGACCAAAAGAACGAGATCCCGGATACAAGCGGCTGAAATGAGCTTTCTCCGCAGGGTGGCTGGGCTCTCCCTTAGAGATAGGGTGAGGAGCTCGGTCATTCGGGAGAGGCTCAGTGTAGCGCCGGTTCTCCTTCACATCGAGAGAAGTCAGTTGAGGTGGCTCGGACATCTTCTTCGGATGCCCCCTGGACGCCTCCCTCTGGAGGTGTTCCAGGCACGTCCCACCGGGAGGAGGCCCAGGTGACGACCCAGGACACGCTGGAGAGACTATGTCTCTCGGCTGGCCTGGGAGCTCCTAGGGCTTCCCCCAACAGAGCTGGAGGAGGTGTCTGCGGAGAGGGAAGTCTGGGAGTCTCTGCTTAGTCTGCTGCCCCCGCGACCCGGTTCCGGATAAAGCTGGAGACGACGAGTACGAGTACGACGAGTATATGTATATGTGTGTATATATATATATGTATATATACAGTAAATTCTCTAATATTGGCCTGTATTCCATTAGTGGCCGGGTCTCTAATAATGGCCTGTCTCGCTGATGGCGGAGGTAAATAATGGCCGGTCTCTAATACAGGCCGGGGCTATAAACGTTTTTTCTGGGCACACCTCAACATTATACTTGTGGTAGTAACATACAAGTACCACAGCCCTGCGCGGCTGGATGACAGGCCCTGACTGCTGCCCGTCTGCGCGAGGAAGAAAACAGACACGCAGCAAAACATGAGGAGGACGAAGAGGAACTGTACAATAATGAACTTGTGATAGAGACTGGCGCGAGTGATGAGGAGAATACAGGGAGAGATGAAGAGGAGGAGGAAACTGAGGAGGAGGAAACTGAGGAGGAGGATTAAACAGAGTTGGAGGATTTTTTTTTTTTTTTTACTTCACACCAAGCGAGACAATTAGAGTGAGCGAGGAGGTGTCTAAACCTGTAAGTTGCTTTTTGTTATAAAACAGCCTAATTATCACCATGTATGGTTAAGTGTTTACATTGCACTAGTTGCACTACTGGTATGTTTGCTACGTTTTTTTCCACTGGAATTTAGCCTGAATTACAGGTAGGCTATTTGTTGTTAAATTTCTGTATACCGTTATGGTAACTGTTCTTGTTCAATAGATGAACCTAGTATTTTATAGGTTCAAATAGACACAAAATCTCATTTTTTATTCATTCCACTGGTAGTCTGTTTTGCTCAAATAGCAATAGAGGCCTGTCTCTAATTCTGGCCTCCTTCCAATAAAGGCCTGGACGGCGATGCACTTGAGTGAAATAAAGGCCCGGGCCTATATTAGAGAATTTACGGTATATATATGTGTATATATATATATATATATATATATATATATATATATATATATATATATATATATATATATATATATATATATATATATATGTATATGTGTATATATGTATATGTGTATATATGTATATGTGTATATATGTATATGTGTATATATGTATATGTGTATATATGTATATGTGTATATATGTATATGTGTATATATATATATATGTGTATATATATATATGTGTATATATATATATATGTGTATATATATATATGTGTATATATATATATGTGTATATATATATATGTGTATATATATATATGTGTATATATATATATGTGTATATATATATATATATATGTATATATACACTATATTGCCAAAAGTATTTGCTCACCCATCCAAATTATTGGAATCAGGTGTTCCAATCACTTCCATGGCCACAGGTGTATAAATTCAAGCACCTAGGCATGCAGACTGTTTTTACAAACATTTGTGAAAGAATGGGTCGCTCTCAGGAGCTCAGTGAATTCCAGCGTGGAACTGTGATAGGATGCCACCTGTGCAACAAATCCAGTCGTGAAATTTCCTCGCTCCTAAATATTCCACAGTCAACTGTCAGCTGTATTATAAGAAAATGGAAGTGTTTGGGAACGACAGCAACTCAGCCACGAAGTGGTAGGCCACGTAAACTGACGGAGCGGGGTCAGCGGATGCTGACGCGCATAGTGCGAAGAGGTCGCCAACTTTCTGCAGAGTCAATCACTACAGACCTCCAAACTTCATGTGGCCTTCAGATTAGCTCAAGAACAGTGCGCAGAGAGCTTCATGGAATGGGTTTCCATGGTCGAGCAGCTGCATCCAAGCCATACATCACCAAGTGCAATGCAAAGCGTCGGATGCGGTGGTGTAAAGCACGCCGCCACTGGACTCTAGAGCAGTGGAGACGCGTTCTCTGGAGTGACGAATCGCGCTTCTCCATCTGGCAATCTGATGGACGGGTCTGGGTTTGGCGGTTGCCAGGAGAACGGTACTTGTCTGACTGCATTGTGCCAAGTGTAAAGTTTGGTGGAGGGGGGATTATGGTGTGAGGTTGTTTTTCAGGAGCTGGGCTTGGCCCCTTAGTTCCAGTGAAAGGAACTCTGAATGCTTCAGCATACCAAGACATTTTGGACAATTCCATGCTCCCAACTTTGTGGGAACAGTTTGGAGCTGGCCCCTTCCTCTTCCAACATGACTGTGCACCAGTGCACAAAGCAAGGTCCATAAAGACATGGATGACAGAGTCTGGTGTGGATGAACTTGACTGGCCTGCACAGAGTCCTGACCTCAACCCGATAGAACACCTTTGGGATGAATTAGAGCGGAGACTGAGAGCCAGGCCTTCTCGTCCAACATCAGTGTGCGACCTCACAAATGC